GATTCATGTTTTCTTTTAAATCCACAACTAGAATCCCTCCACAGCCTCATAGAGGATCTAGATACATTTTCTAACCTCTCTGGATTACAACCAAATTATGACAAATGTACTATATTACGTATTGATCACTAAAAAATAAAAATGTTACATTGCCATGTAGTTTACCAATAAAATGGTCTGATGGTGATGTGGATATACTCGTAATACATATCCCAAAGGAAATAAATGATCTCACTTCAATACATTTTAATAGAAAGTTAGCAAAAATAGATAAGATCTTACTACCATGGAAAGGAAAATACCTGTCAATTTGTGGAAAAATCACCCTGATTAACTCTTTAGTATTATCCCAGTTTACCTATTTGCTTATGGTCTTGCCGACACCTAGCGAACAGTTTTTTAAATTATATGAGAAAAAATATTCAATTTTATTTGGAACGGCAAGCCAGACAAAATTAAAAGAGCATATTTATATAATGAATATGAATTCGGAGGACAGAAATTATTAAATATTAAAGCATTAGACCTATCACTAAAAGCTTCAGTCATTCAAAAGTTATACTTAAATCCGAACTGGTTCTCAAGCAAATTAGTAAGATTGTCTCACCCAATGTTCAAGAAAGGCCTTTTTCCCTTTATTCAGATTACAACCTCTCACTTTCAGTTATTTGAAAAGGAAATAATCTCCCAAATGTCACTATTTCTAAAACAAGCTATAGAAAGTTGGTTGCAATTTCAATTTAATCCTCCAGAAACGACAGAACAAATAATGCAACAAATATTGTGGTTAAATTCAAATATACTAATTGACAAAAAACCTTTATTTTTTGACAGAATGTTTAAAAAAGGTATAATCTTCGTAAATGATATCATCGGTAGGACTGGTGGAGTTATGTCGCACATGCAGCTAACAAAAACATATGGAAATGTCTGCTCTACCCAAAATTACAACCAAATAATTGCAGCCTTACCGCAAAAGTGGAAGAGGAAAGTGGAAGGGGGAGAAAGTAAGGAACTTGTCTGTCGGCCTTGCATTAAAGAACATAATTGGTTAAGGAAAACTGTGATAAATAAAAAAGTATATCAGTTTCACTTAAGGACCAAAGGATTGACAGCCGTCCCATATAGATTGCAAAATAGTTGGGAAGAGATCTTTGACGTACCGATCCCATGGCATAGTGTTTATGAACTGACACGCAAAACGACACCGGATTCAAAAATCAGAATCTTTCAATTTAAATTATTATATACAATTCTTGCTACCAATAGAATGTTATTTATATGGGGGATACAATCTTCCCAGCTCTGCAGATTTTGCTGTGAAGAGACAGAATCATTAGATCATTTGTTTTGGTTCTGTCCATTTGTAGCTTGTTTTTGGACACAGGTCCAGGAATGGCTAAAGGATTGCAATATTTACCTGGAACTAACCTTGCAGATAGCATTACTGGGTGACCTGAAAAGTCATAGTCAATCAATCAATAATATAATAATACTTTTAGCAAAAATGTTTATTTTTAATTCACAATCTGTAGAAGCAATGAGAATAGAAAGGTTCAGAACTTTTATAAAACATCACAGTACGGTTGAAATATATATGGCAAATAGAAATCCTATATGGATGGTGTTAAGAGATAGATGGGAGGTATTGAATAGAGTTGAAGGATGGGACTAATAACAAATAACAACAAATAATAACAAAGATATCTAATAATGTAAGCATACTGTGTCCATAATAAGTATATAGGTTGTATGTTGGGAGCTTTTGGGAAAGAGCACAGTTAGAAAGATATGGCATATAGAAGCAAACCGGATGGACATCATGAAAATGATCGGAGAGGTTGAGAGTAGAAGAAGTTCAGGAGCAAAAAAAAAATATATATATATATATAATATAATTATTGTAAAATTAACTCTGTCCATAAGGTGTAGATAGTAATTATAGACCGGAAGTAGAGGCCTGGGCATTGTTGTTCACTAATTTACTCCAAGTAGGGAAAGGATGGTGGGGTTGAAAAGTAATAAAGGGGAGTATATATATAAAAAAATATATATTAAAAAAACATGGGGGATTGGAAGTGATGCAGACATTACATTGATAGAAGATACAATCTATCTGCAATATTAAGCTGATCCATCCCCCCCCCCCCCCCCATTAAAAAATAAATAAATAAATAAATAAATAAATTATATATTTTTTATTTATTAATAAATAAAAAACAAAAATAAACAATGCTTTGATCACTGAACATTGTTCAAAACACCAGAACATCAAATGTTCTGTTTCAGCATAATTTCCCCCCTAATTTTTTATCAATGGTATTTGCAATGAAGGTGAACATTATTTGAATTGGAGCATACTTGATTGATATGTAGCTGTACCATAATGGAGTAAATGCTTGCTTACTTAAATGTGCCGGATGATGGCATGCCATAGCTCTCTGTTATTCATGATAGCTGGAAGGTCCTCTGTTCTGAGACCAGTGTCTCTGCAGATGTTGTCCACGCAGGTTTCATGTGGTCTTCCAGGAGGTCTGCGCCCATGAGAGGATACCCACAGTATGAGATTGCTGGTGACTAGCTCGAGATGCCTGAAACAGTGACCAGCAAATCTCAGCCTCCTTAAACGAAGACAAATTGACACACAATGTAATAATCACTTTTTAATCGCATTAAACAAAAAAGGACTGCAGAGCAGGAACTCTGACATTCATCAGTGATGGCCAACAGTTTGGCCATTTTATTTTACACAAAGAAATCTCAGCTCCAAGCCATAAACAACTATTTCACAATATTTACATAGATAGAAATCCAATACCAAACCCCAATAACCACTGAGCTTTCCAAATCAGTCGAACTGGAACCTTGAACACTGAAAGCAGGACCTGCTTATGAACGTGAAACACTATATAAACAATAACTTTAAAATCACAATTATTTACACATCTTCATATCATGTCCTTATCTAAACTGTACTCAACTATTTACACTTTTGTAAATGCACATGGTTTGTATAAGAATATTTTGGATCTTGATTCCTATAGTACAATGCATTTCTACTTCTGACAACAGTTTGACTTGTGCCTCCATAAGGATAGCTACCATTTTAGTTGACTACCTAGTCTTTAACATTTCAAAATAATATTCAAATATTTCATTAAGATTTGCCCGAGGCAAATCCAAGTGGAGGAAGAAAGCTCACTGCATCGCAAAAGAAAAGTTGCATCGGCTCTGAGTGACTGGGAGGTATTTAGTATTTACTAGGTACAGTACGTGCAGTAAACCCAAGCACCAATAAGAAAAAAACAGCCCCCTAAAGAGGTTCCCAATAATGTAAAATTATTCTGTTAGACTGTGAGAAGTGTGTATCCTGTTCAACAAGAGTGAGGTGACGTTTAAGTGGTAAATCTCTTAGTGGTTGATTCACATTGACAAATGTGAGGAGGGTTGAAGAACAACAACTTAACCTCCCGTGGGTTTGCATTTGTGGGGCGTTGTGAGGCTAATGATTCAGGTGAATATGATATTTTAACACTTCAAAGAATACAATAGTATTGCTTAAAAATGTGTCTGTGTGTCTGCTTTAGGTTACTGTGCTATATGCTGTGTTCTAGATGTTGGCTTTCCTAAATAGCCTGTACATGTGGTTAGCTGCACACTGTAATACACTGCATATTGCCAAATGTACAAATGTTCGCTGCAGAGATGAAACTACCATAGAAGATGAATACATGCAGTTCAGAACATAAACCAATATTTGACACCATCCTGTAGGCTCAGAGTTTGACTTAACAACAGTATTATACGGACATGAGCATTGGAAAACTCTGGAAATAAATATGTAGACATAAGTCAATAATACAATGAAAACACAGGTAATAAATATTCACCTTGTGTATCCTGTATCATTCCAATGATAAAACTGGGGGGGACAAAAATGCAATTTCAGAATGTGGGGCCCCCGTTCCCAGTGAAAGTTACGCCCCTGGTTAGTCAGAAGGGAGGCAGCTAAAATCACACAAGCACTCGGAAGGACACAGACACACAAACACACATACAGCGAAGGGGATGCATAGATGAAATTGGAGATCCAGAGGTAAACCCATACAAGGCGGTGAATGAAAACCAAGTCAAGAGCACAAGACATGACAGATATCAAGGTAACCTTGAGTTCCAGTCTCTTCAAATGTTAACATTCAATTGATATTCACATCTCAAATCTCCCCGGCAAAGTCTACCGAAAGTAATGTTATTGTAATATCTCTGTTGTTATAGTTTTACTAGTCTAGGCTTTGTTTAACTATACACTTCTCCAGATAAAGTCAGAGGCAAAGGGCTTGAATAAGGCAGGTTTTAAAAGAAAAACAGTTAGGGTTCAAGACGAATAACATCGTCAACAAAAAGTAATCAACAGTATGGGGGAAAACAACACAAATCAGTCCATAAAACAGACACAGTGACATGGGGATGTACTTGGTTTGTTCCTTTGAAAACCCATGTCTTTGTACAGTGAAGTCAATTGCCGATGTGAAACGTTAAAGGGATTCTTCAGGATTTTGGCAATGAGGCCCTAACCCTTTATCTACTTGAAGGAAGTTAGAGGTAGTTTCGCGAGCCATACCTATAGACGTCCAGTCATTGCGCTTACGCTAGTTAGCATTGGCTCGCAAAACTACCTCTAACTTCCTTCATACTGTACACAGAGACATAAAAATGGTATCCACGAGTTCATCTGACTCTGGGGAGGTAGATAAATGTCCTCATTGCCAAAATCCTGAAGTATCCCTTTAATAACAAAAAATGAATGAATCAGCTCGACTTCAACTGTAATATATGAAACTCCCACCATCAAAAAAGTGTGACCTCAAATATATAAATATCAAGTACCTCTTGTCCCTTCTCTTTGAAAATAAATCAAAAAAAGATCTGAACTGTTGCCATAACATGAAAACCTATTTACATTTATGTACACATATTGAAATAAAAGAGTCATATATATGTACACATATTGAAATAAAAGAGTCTATATATTATACATACATACATACATACATACACTGTATATCCTTCCCTGATCAGTTAAGGCCAAAGTGCTATGGGTGCACAGCTTCTCCACACTTTGTGTAGGCTGCTTTTGCATTTAAATGTTCCTTATTTTTTATTCCAAAACAAAATTCCAAAAAGCAATATAACATCAAGCTCACAAGGCTCTTAAACTAGTGCTACATTCTGTCTCAAACATATAACTAAGTAACTAGCATCTAGAATAAAACTACCAAGCCTTTTAACACCAGTTCATCTTTCTTCATTAGAAAAGCAAGCGTTGTACAGCATATACATAGTGCCAGCAGACGCATTAGGACTTCCCAGAGCCTTCTGGGACATCCTGTGGACTTCCTGTAATGCCCTCTACCACTTAAAGAGGATCATGGATAGTCTATTTGAGTCAAGGAGGGTTGAAGCGGATGGAGAGGATAACAGGGGCATACCAGAGGCCTGGTTGGCGCTGGTGTCGTCAGTACAGTGTGACCAGAGTCTGGGGTCTGGGGGTGAGCTCCAGGGAGAGGAGCTCCAGGAATAGGGCCAATCAGAGCATGCCGAAGCCCTCACTGCCCTCACTGATGGCCAGCTTCAGCATCTTGTGCAGCTCCTCATAGGAGTCATAGGTAGGGAGGCACAGCTGGTTAAAACTAGAGAGAGAAGAATCCACAGATAGTCAGTCAATTGACAGTTGTGTATGTGTGTGTTCTACAAGATGTGTAGTGTGTCTGGTCATTATTCATGTAAAGAACTGAAACCAACTATATAGTACATGTATATGAGCCAAGTATGAATGTGAGAGTGAATGTGCATATACTGTAAATGTCTGTCTGAGTGTGTGTGTGTTTGTGAGGGTGCGTGCATGCCCGTCCACTCACCAGGTGTGTGCGGTGGGCAGGGTGCTGTGTGTGGGAGCAGCGATGATCTGGAAGGAGGGGCAGAGGGTGTTGAAGCCCCCGGGGGGCAGCTGGGAGGAGCCGGTGGTGAACTGCAGCAGGCGAGCCAACTCCTCCTGCGTGAAGCTGGACACCACGGCCCAGAACCACTTCATCACCTAGGACAACACGACACCAGAACACAGTCAGCATGGTGCTCAACACTAACATTTATCACATCTCCATCAATGCTGTGGCAAAGCAGTATCTTTCACCATGTACTATGGATCAGAACTGGTGATGTCACCCACCTTCTCTCTGAAGTGCCAAGACCCTCCTACGACCACAGCATGGGCCTTGAAGTCCTGGACATCGATGTCCCCCGTACCACACAACAGCAGCTGGGGAAAAACAGACATTTAGACATTACAGGGCCATAAGAGTGAGATTTGGAACGTATGACAGGGAATGTGATTTTATGCAGCATACCTCCAGCTCATTCTCATCAAATATGGCCAAAAGGTTCTCTGGAACAAGTTCATTCAAACCTGCAATTCACACGAGATTCCAGATTAGACACAGATGTGAATGTGAAATGACTCCATACTATATCTTTGTTTGTATCCTTACCTTTGAGAAAGTGCTCCACCTCGTCTCGCACCTGACTGGCGAGCCTGTACTGGGCCAGCAGGTTCAGATAATGCATCTTGTTCTCATTGTTGACAGCAATCTGAGCTCCTCCAGATATCAGCTCCACCACCTGCAGTGACACAGTAACAGAGCTCAGGACATGACTGACAACACATAACAAACCTTACACTACCTCTACTTTATTTAGGAGTCCTAAGCAGTCTGCCAAGGAAATCATATGGATTTCTTCTGTTTAGTTAGTGCTTTCTTTTTTCTCTGAGATGACATGGTGGATAAGGGAAGTCATGTCAAATAGAATGATTGCCTCATCACCTTCTCCAGCTGTCCTGACTTGCTGTACTTCTCCTCGGCAAACACCAGGTCCATTTCACTGACATCATTGTTTAGGATGACACAGACTTTCATTTTGTAGAACTCCTGATCATCCGTCTCAAAGTACTGCCGTGGAAAATGAAATAAAAACACAGGAAAATGGTATTGAAATAAACACGTCATTCTATCTTGGCGAAACAATAAGGATGACTTATCCACATAGAGCGGCAGGTTCAGATCTTAATATGTTCTAGAAACACCACAACATACGCTATGAAATCAACAGATCTCCTTTCATAGCCTTGTGAACAATGCAACACTTACTGTATGATACCAACTAGCCGAAGCATAAAGTTAAACATTGGGAGTGAGGTCTAACTCCAGTTCCTCTGGGCGGATGTGGGACTGGGGTGGAGGGCGTACCTTGTAGTTCATCCTGAGTCCGATGATCTGGGCTAGGAAGGAGCGGGTAAAGCGAGCGCGGACCATCTGTTTGTAGGCCCCGCCCAGGGCTGACTCATACAGGCACTTCCCCACCACGCGGCCCGCAAACTCATACATCTTCAGACGCAGGTGTGCCGGCCGCTCTGCGTTGGGGTGGACCTGGGAATACAGACATAAACATTACCTCACTATCATATTGGAAAACCCCCAGCACTAAGTCAGTATTAGCCGTATTGTGTTAGTTGTGCTGGTGAAAAGGGGAGGTCTTACTAGGCCCTGGTTGTCGTCACTGAAGCGAGTGAACAGCTGATTGGTGGTGTCAAACAGGGTCTTACAGATGAGCTCAAACCACTCCCTTCGTGGCCCTCCCCAGTCCAGCGCTAGGGACCAACACAACACACATACTTAGTCATTCAACAGCCCTCCCCAAAAACAACACTAGCTGACTGTCCTGTCATCTGCAGTATGTTGAGTGTTGATCTTACCTTCCTCATCCTGGAACACCACCTCAAAGTTCTTACTCCAGTCCGACACGGAGAAGTTCCGGGTGGATTTCAGAGACTGGGGAGAGAGATTTTAAAACATTGTAATTTTCACACTCATTGTCATCATATGAGTCTGCTGTAGCAGTTCTTAATCTCACTGCGGCTCAGAGAGTAGTTGCACGGTGGGTTCACTCACCGAGTCCAGGATGCAGTGGCGTGTGATCTTCAGGCAGGTCTTGGTGCGAGGTCTCTTGGAGTGGATGTGTCTGAGCTCCCTCTGGAAGAAGCTCACCTTGTCCTGGAACGTCTCCGAGCCGCCTGTCAATGGCATAAAAACCATAAAATCGCAACGCTTCTACAGATCTTAACCATGTACTCCCCATGGATACTGAATTGGAAGAGGAAGGAAACTAGGGCTGACCCCATTTAGTCGACTGGTCAATTGTTTGGTCGATAGGCTGTTGGTCGACCAAGATTTCTTTAGTCGAGCAGTAGCAAAAAATAAATAAAAATGTTCATGGTGTGGAAGACACCTGTCTGATTCAAGCCTGTCAGTGGACTAATCCATTGTGGAGGCCGTAGGGATGGCATAGTCCATCACTCTAAGACATGTGCTACTGAAATTGTATATGGTTATATTACATAAGAACAATGGCGCAACACTAATAAAAATTATATTATTTTATAATAAATGAGCTTTCTCTCGCGTTGGATAGCGGTCGCGGTTCTGAAACACATCAGTGCGCTGTTGAATTGGCGCCTTTTCCTAGACCATGTTGCTATGTGCATAATAGCAAATTAACCAGCATATTGTTGTTGAGAACAATGCGGCGGAGACAGCAGGGGAGTTAGGAGACGAGAAAACATCCCTTGCCTTAGTTGTCTAAGGAAAGTGAGGAGAGAGGAAACTCCAACTTAATTAGGTCTATAATCAATAGCCTAACTAACTAAAGACATACAAGACCACTGATAATCTCCCTCGATCTGGGGCTCCACGCAAGATCTCACCCCATGGGGTCAAAATGATCACAAGAACGGTGAGCAAAAATCCCAGAACCACACGGGGGACCTAGTGAATGACCTGCAGAGAGCTGGGACCAAAGTAACAAAGCCTACCATCACAAACACACTACGCCGCCAGGGACTCAAATCCTGCAGTGCCAGACGTGTCCCCCTGCTTAAGCCAGTACATGTCCAGGCCCATCTGAAGTTTGCTAGAGTGCATTTGGATGATCCAGAAGAGGATTGGGAGAATGTAATATGGTCAGATGAAACCAAAATAGAACTTTTTGGTAAAAACTCAACTCGTCGTGTTTGGAGGACAAAGAATGCTGAGTTGCATCCAAAGAACACCATACCTACTGTGAAGCATGGGGGTGGAAACATCATGCTTTGGGGCTGTTTTTCTGCAAAGGGACCAGGACGACTGATCCGTGTAAAGGAAAGAATGAATGGGGCCATGTATCGTGAGATTTTGAGTGAAAACCTCCTTCCATCAGCAAGGGCATTGAAGATGAAACGTGGCTGGGTCTTTCAGCATGACAATGATCCCAAACACACCGCCCGGGCAACGAAGGAGTGGCTTCGTAAGAAGCATTTCAAGGTCCTGGAGTGGCCTAGCCAGTCTCCAGATCTCAACCCCATAGAAAATCTTTGGAGGGAGTTGAAAGTCTGTGTTGCCCAGCGACAGCCCCAAAACATCACTGCTCTAGAGGAGATCTGCATGGAGGAATGGGCCAAAATACCAGCAACAGTGTGTGAAAACCTTGTGAAGACTTACAGAAAACGTTTGACCTGTGTCATTGCCAACAAAGGGTATATAGCAAAGTATTGAGAAACTTTTGTTATTGACCAAATACTTATTTTCCACCATCATTTGAAAATACATTCATTAAAAATCCTACAATGTGATGTTCTGCATTTTTTTTCTCATTTTGTCTGTCATAGTTGACGTGTACCTATGATGAAAATTACAGGCCTCTCTCATCTTTTTAAGTGGGAGAACTTGCACAATTGGTGGCTGACCAAATAATTTTTTCCCCCACTGTATATAGGCTACTGTATCAATCAATCATTAATTTGTTCATGTCATCACACAGCATACGAGTCATTCATGATTTGAAATGCAATCAAGCATTTTAGTTTTAAAATAAAATGAACCTTGAATAAATAGCGTAAACAATAAATAAACCGTTCCATTTCGTAATTCACAAATGAATGAGACTGTTTTTAGTCTTAATAAAGGCTTTACAATTATACTTTTTTAAAGTTACAGACTTTCTTGTACGCTTATAATTTATTTAATGTTGTTTACATTGTTCCAAACGGTCAGAAAAATTATATTGTAATCTGACAGCACCTGTTTGACACACATAATATGCATGCAGCACTTGCTCCTTACCTTCTTTTTCTTGCTCTCCAGTATTTTCCACAACTAGTCAAATGAATTCCTCACATCTGACTTCCCCTTTACCTCCTGAGCAACCAGTAAACATTCCCCTGTTTCGAGTTTATTTGTCACGTCCTCTGCATCCAGTTTGCTGTCAAATGTGCTACGGTGTTCTGAGTTTGTTATCACCAATTTATTGATGTGATTATGATATACAGTGCATTCGGAAAGTATTAACACCCCTTGACTTTTTTCACATTTTGTTACATTACAGCCTTATTCTAAAATGGATTAAATAAAAATAAATCCTCATCAATCTACATACAATAACCCATAATGACAAAGCGAAAACAGGTTTAGACATTTTTGCTAATTTATATACAGTACCAGTCAAAAGTTTGGACACAACTACTCATTCCACGGTTTTTCTTTATTTCTACTATTTTCTACATTGTAGAATAATAGTGAAGACATGAAAACTATGAAATAACACATATGGAATCATGTAGTAATCAAAAAAGTGTTACACAAATCAAAATATATTTGAGATTTGAGATTCTTCAAAGTAGCCACCCTTTGCCTTGATGACAGCTTTGCACACTCATGGCATTCTCTCAACCAGCTTCACTGGGAATGCTTTTCCAACAGTCTTGAAGGAGTTAGCACATATGCTGAGCACTTGTTGGCTGCTTTTCCTTCACTCTGCAGTCTGACTCATCCCAAACCATCTCAATTGGGTTGAGGTTGGGGGATTGTGTGCCTTGAATTCTAAATAAATCACAGACAGTGTCACCAGCAAAGCACCCCCACACCATAATACTTCCTCCTCCATGCTTTACGGTGGGAAATACACATGTAGAGATCATCCGTTCACCCACGCCCGTCTCACAAAGCCACGGCGGTTGGAACCAAAAATCTCCAATTTGGACTCCAGACCAAAGGACAAATTTCCACCGGTCTAATGTCCATTGCTCGTGTTTCTTGGCCCAAGCAAGTCTCTTCTTCTTTTTGGTGTACTTTAGTAGTGGTTTCTTTGCAGCAATTTGACCATGAAGGCCTGATTCACACAGTCTCCTCTGAATTTTTTTAACACTTTTTGGGTTACTACATGATTCCATGTGTTATTTCATAGTTTTGATGTCTTCACTATTATTCTACAATGTAAAAAAAATAGTACAAATAAAGAAAAACACTTGAATGAGCAGGTGTGTATAGTAGTGTATATAAAAATACAAAAAATACCTTCTTTACCTAAGAATTCAGACCCTTTGCTATGAGACTCAAAATTGAGCTCAGGCGCATCCTGTTTCCATTGGTCATCCTTGAGATGTTTCTACAACTTGATTGGAGTCCACCTGTGGTAAATTCAATTGATTGGACATGATTTGGAAAGGCACACACCTGTCTATATAAAGGTACCACAGTTGACAGTGCATGTCAGAGCAAACACCAAGCCATGAGGTTGAAGGAATTGTCCGTATAGCTCCGAGACATGATTGTGTCGAGATCTGGGGAAGGGTTCCAAAAAATATCTGCAGCATTGAAGGTCCCCAAGAACACAGTGGCCTCCATCATTCTTAAATGGAAGAAGTTTGGAACCACCAAGATTCTTCCTAGAGCTGGCCACCAGGCCAAACTGAGCAATCGGGGGAGAAGGGCCTTGTTCAGGGAGGTGACCAAGAACCCAATGGTCACTCTGACAGAGCTCCAGAGTTCCTCTGTGGAGATGGGAGGACCTTTCAGAAGGACAACCATTTCTGCAGCAATCCACCAATCAGGCCTTTATGGTAGAGTGGCCAGACAGAAGCCACTCCTCAGTAAAAGGCACATGACAGCCCGCTTGGAGTTTGTCAAAAGGCACCTAAAAGACTCTCAGACAATGAGAAACAAGATTCTCTGTTCTGATGAAACCAAGATTGAACTCTTTGGCCTGAATGCCAAGCGTCACGTCTGGAGGAAACCTGGCACCATCCCTACGGTGAAGCATGGTGGTGGACGCATCATGCTGTGGGGATGTTTTTCAGCAGCAGGGACTGGGAGACTAGTCAGGATAGAGGGAAAGATGAACAGAGAAAAGTACAGAGAGATCCTTGATGAAAACCTGCTCCAGAGTGCTCAGGACCTCAGACTGGGGCGAAGGTTCACGTTCCAACAGGACAAGGACCCTAAGCACACAGCCAAGACAACGCAGGAGTGGCTTCGGGACAAGTCTGAATGTCCTTGAGTGGCCCAGCCAGAGCCTGGACTTGAACCCGATCGAACATCTCTGTGCAGCGACGCTCCCCATCCAACCTGACAGAGCTTGAGAGGATCTGCAGAGAAGAATGGGAGAAACTCCCCAAATACAGGTGTGCCAAGCTTCAAGCTTGTAGCGTCATACCCAAGAAGACTTGAGGCTCTAATCGCTGCCAAAGGTGCTTCAACAAAGTACTGAGTAAAGGGTCTGAATACTTATGTAAATGTTATATTTGAGTTTTTTTTTAAATATAAATGTAAAAAAAAAATCTAAAAACCTGTTTTTGCTTTGTCATTATGGGGTATTGTGTGTAGATTGATGAGGGAGAATAAGGCTGTAACGTAACAAAATGTGGAAAAAGTCAATGGGTCTGAATACTTTCCGAATGAGCTGTACTATAAGTCAGGCCCTATTGGTCACGTGCATGCGATGCATACATGTGTCACGTAAAGAGAGCAAGGGTTGAGGGACTAGGGAATGTAAATGGCTCTAATTATGTTGCAGCTTCAGCAACACGGACAGCGCGATAAACACTGTTGATGTTCTGTGGTGGTCGCTGCAGCAGGGAGGAGAGAGAGACAACAGGTGCTAGTCACACAGTCACTCGCTGTCATTTTTTTAACACAGCGCAGCAAGTCTGAGCCCGGCCCGGCACAATCAAATCAATTACGGTTGGACTCCCTCTAGTCAATTGTGTGTCTTAATTATTTAATCAAACAGTGCGCTTAAAGCATGAGACAAGCTCAGTGAATATAGTTGATTTGATTAAAATACATAGCATGTGGAATATACACGTTTTAAAATGTTGACCAATCAATTGGTCGAATGAACAGATGACTCTCGGTCGACCAAGATTTTCTTTGGTCGGGGATAGCCCTAAAGGAAACCAACCGATATTCTTGTGCAGGAAACGGATGAAGGTGGCAGCCATGATGTTTCTGTCTTTACAGCTCAGCTCCACTGGCGGCTGGATCCCATCATCCACCACTAGAGTCAGGTACTTGTGAACAGGGTCAGGGCCGTAGTATGTGAACTGGGAGGGACAGAAGAGGAGGGTGAACACACCAGCTCTTTAAATCTACTGATAAAAGGTCAGAAAGTATTATGTGGACATCATACAGTGTTTCACAGCAGGGCTACTTGTCCTACCTTTGTCCCTGGACACACTCGAAAGGTAAAAAGGCGCCATGGAATAATTTTCAGGTAAAACTCCTTCACGGACAGTTGCTGTGTGGCAGAAAAGTAAATTGTCCAGTCAATGACAAAAGTCTGCAACACACCCGACTGTAGAGCATGTGCTATTTCTATTAAAATAGCCTTCCCTTTCTAACCCCTCTTCACCCACCTTTGGGGATATGTAGCAGTAGACCTTTTTTGGTTTCTTGACCTTCTCTGGCTGGCCCTCTACAGGGGAGTCATGCTCATCCTCCTCGTCCCCCATGGAGGGCCGTCTCTGAGGGGCCATCAGAGCAGAGGCTGGGAGCTGCCACGAGGAGTTACTGTTGTTACTGTAGTTCCCTGTGCCATAGAGGTACGCCTCAAAGTAGATGCTGATCCCTGGAGTGGACACGTTCTTCTCCACACAGTTCTTCTCATTCTCTGTGGGGGAGGTGGAAGAGCAGCAGTTGAAACACAGGAGCGATGTAAGAGATTTGACTACACCAAGAACGAAAGTCTTGATATATACTGTACAGTATCTCATTTTGAGTATGATAGGCTGACAATACATGTAGCAACTTGGTGAAATACTAATTGATCAACTCTATCCTACCTCCGTCTCCCTTCACCTCGGCCTGTGTAATCGTACCATAAAATAGGACCCTTACTCACCACTGAGAACGATGATGTCAAATTCCCCGTTGCTGATGGGCAGGTCGTTATAGGAGATGCGTGCCCGGAAACAGCCCTTCTTCCTAAGGGTGATCTTCAGCAGTACCTGGCACAGCTGCTTGTTGGATGTCACTGACTTACTGTAGTACTCCTCCAGGCTGTCGTCATCCACTGTGCCCAACTGAGAGGAGGAAGACACTAAATGGATTCCCATTTTCCACTTTCACAGTCTAAAATCCGGAAACAAATGACTTTATGCTGTTATATGAGGATTGCTATATTGGGTCCCAAGTGTCTTACCGAGTGGACGTGGACACTGTAGTTGACCTCGTCTATGAGTGAGGTGGAGTTACTGGTGGGGTTGCCATACTCGTCCCGGGGCTCAATCTGCAGGGTGTGCTGCTGGCCATATACTAAGACCAGGGTGGAGAAGTGGTAGGCTATCTTCGTTTTGGATGGGACCACTGTCCCTGAAATGAACACAGAAAATAAGGGGAACAGATGAGTATTGAAGGAACGTTTCAAATTAAAGTATGTAGTGTTTGCCAGTACAATACATGCAATGGCCCTGAGACAGCAGAGAAAAACAAGTCTCTTTCATTTACACAAAAGGTTCAAGTTGCTTCCATGTTAAGGGACCATTTCAAGCCTAATTGATCAAAGCTGTAGAGCATGATGAAAAGTCAAAGCAATCCAAACATTGTAATAAACAACCAGACGAAAATACAATGTTCAGAAAAATATTGATTTTGTCTTAAATAAGGTTGATGTCAAGTTCAGCATCACCTCATGCTATATTTTGTAAACAAAGTCAAACTACAAAACTGATTGTGATGAAGAATATTATTAACAGCCTTATTATCGTGCTATGAGGACAAGCAATGGAAAGAACATTGGAAGTAATATTGGCATTATAATCAGGGGTATCAACATTTCTGGTCTGGGTGGCCATTCATTCATTCTTACTAGGCAACGTCAAAGTTATGTTCTTTATCATGAGCAAAAGCACATGATTATCAATATCAATTACTTAAACGTCATCATGTCATCCATGCTTCGTATTAATCTTACAAATATAGCACAGTCCTGTCCTGAGATGGGTTAGTTACACAGTCCAAAAGGTCATGACCTTACCTGGCTGGAATATCTTGTAGTAGGGGCTGTAGGCCACGTTGAGTCCTCCCAGTTTGACAGCCACCTCATAGCGTCCAGCCTTTCGGACAGTGAAGGTCACTTTGACCACGTTGGACTCAGGCTCCTGCAGCACCTCCTGGGTGACAGGAATGTCTAGGGCCAGCTCTATGTGGGTGATGTTGACCCTTAACCCCACAGGCCGGTGGGCAGGGAAGGGCTGGCCGTTCTTATAGAAGAGCTGGGGTAGAGAGTCAGAGCAAACCATGAGAAACCATGACAGGAAGTCTAGCACCACAACTTCTGCCAGAACACCATCGTGCCAACAGTCTATTCATTGTGTGCTTTATGATCCCAATAGAAACCTGTAGTCCCCTGTAGCTCAGTTGGTAGAGCATGGCGCTTGCAACGCCAGGGTTGTGGGTTAGTTTCCCACGGGGGGCCAGTATGAAAATGTATGCACTCACTAACTGTAAGTCGCTCTGGATAAGAGCGTCTGCTAAATGACTAAAATGTAAAATGTAAATGTAAACCCAACAAACAAGCCAAATAACAGAATCACTGATTTTAATCTGCAGAAACAAAAAAAATGACATCCAAATGTATCCTTCCTCCACACTCTTTTTAATATTTGAGGTAGGTGGTTGTGTTTTAATACAGAAACTAAACTCTTAAAATCCAGAAATGACTGAAGTAGACTTCAGATTTCAAGCCGTTAGGTAGGTAAGGATCTTACCTGAACACGGAAGCTCATAGTTTGGCCTACTTCCTGTGGGTCCTTCCAATCCCATGACACCTTGCAGGAGCGCGGGTCCAGGTAGTTCCCCCGTACATAGTCGTAGATGCTGCGGTCGCCCCTCCTCCCAGGGTCATCATTCTGCAGGAAGCTAACCACCCGTGCAGCGAGCTCACATAGGAACTTGATGGTAAAGACAAACGCTATGATGGAAACAGTAATTCCACCTGCCAGGGGGAGACATTGTGTCAGAGACCTAAATGTGATTAAATGCACAGCACACTGAGGATGGCTCATACTGATCTTATTAGTAGAGAGACCATTTGCAATGCAATACTGGAAATATTACTTCAAAGAATGCCCTCCAGGTCTATTTGATTTAATGAGCTGCAGAGAAGCAGTAATTGTATGGGTAAAGCCTGAATCTTGGGACACAAACAGTATCACAAGTTCAAATATGTACTAGTATTTCAACAAGTTCTATGTTCTTCCTGATAATTCTTAATTACAAGTTAGTTTAGGCCCCAGGCCTGGATGACAGGCGTCCATCCCCTACTTCAAACAGCTACGGTCAGTAGAACTCACTCACCAATCACGTAAAACATGAGGTCCCTTATCAGAAAGCAAAGTGCCACAGTACAGCCAAATATAAGAGCTCCCGCTGAAAGAGAAACAAAGACAGACAGCATACTTCACTTGACTTTCACAGCACAGGAGCTTTCAACAGACATTTCATTTAAAGCTGACGTGCTCTAGTGTACACGATTCATTCTGAGAGCCGCACTTACAGATCAACTTGGAGGATTGACCTGTATTTCACTTTTGCTTTCTGATTCATCTGTAGATAATAAACCTTTAAACGTAGAACACACCCAGGTTGGACTCTGCATCCAGGACATTAATCAGGAAGCCTATTAGGTCCATGTTGTCCTGCACTAGCCAAGTACTGCAGTATGTGGACTAGGGCTGACTCCGTTTAGTCGTCTGGTCGATAGGCTGTTGGTCGACCAAGATTTCTTTAGTCGAGCAGTGGCAAATATATAAAAAAAGACACCTGTCTGATACACACCTGTCTGAGTGGACTAATCCACTGCGGAGGCCGCGTTAGAGTGGCACATCAATATCACCAGTAGTACTAAATAAAATGTTTGTTTGGTTATGGTCATTTCTGTTAATACATTCAATATAGTATTATTACAGTCTTACCATCATTGTAGGAGTGGACACGTTGTTTGCAGAACGCACAACCTAGGCTACACTTGTGAGAAAAAAGTTAATTATATTTACGAGTTGTCAATTTATTCATTGTCTTTTGTTTGGAGCGCTTCTGTCAATCTTGAGTAAGGACATGCACTTGACTATGCATAGAAGTAGGCCTGGGCTACCTGGCCTGCGCGCAAACGTAGGCCAAAAGATTTGCCCATTTGGGGATCTGATACTATTTCTGATTGTCTTAACTCACCATCACTGTGGAGCTTCTCAAAGTAATTTTTTCTTCGCCTCAAACCGCAAGTAAATGAAGTCTTGTTTTTACATCCATTGAGAATGACAATAGTTCCTCAACGTAGCCTATTTGAAAAATATTTCCAGCTCTCTCCCTTTTGATAACCACTCAGCATGAAAGGGGAAAAAAATGTCATGCTCTGATTTGATCTGCAAATAGCCTTACGCTGTATCTGTCTGTCCGGAGCTCACCGGTGTGGGAAACTCTGAGGGCCCAGAATATTTTATACAATGTTGCAAGTTTGCTAGCATGAGCTTCTGGCCCGACCAAGTTAATAGTTGATACAATGTTTAAAGTTCCTTGCAGACAGGCCATGCGTAACCATAGTGATTCATAGGATATTAATTCATCAGGATATTTTCTACCTGCAGGCTGCAATGTTTTTAATTTGTTGGCTTTATGTAGGCCATTTTTACATATTGGCAATGGCAATAGAAGTTACTTTTAGATTTGTTTCATTTTAATAGAATTTTGATTAACCACATAACATGAATTAAATTAAACAGTTCCATGAAAATGTGCATATGAAAATCATAACTGGCACGCAGATCAGTAGAAATGGTGCGATAACTTGGAACTCCAAATGGAAAAGGTTGCTGACCGCTGGTGTAGCCTATTACCGGCAACTTCAGGAGAGTAATGGCAGAATCTGCAAAGGCCAGCAGCAGCGGGCAGAGGGAAGAGGAGGGTGTTTTTTTTACCCCTTTTTCTCCCCAATTTCGTGATATCCTAATTGGTAGTTACAGTCTTGTCCCATCGCTGCAACTCCCGTATGGACTTGGGAGAGGAAGATCAAGAGCCACGCGTCGACGAAACCCGACCCTGCCAAGCCGCACTGCTTCTTGACACACTGCTCGCTTAACCCGGAAGCCAGCCGCACCAATGTGTCGGAGGAAACACTGTCCAACTGGCGACTGAAGTCAGCATGCATGCACCCGGCCCGCCACAAGGAGTCGCTAGAGCACAATGGGACAAGGACATCCCGGCAGGCCAAACCCTCCCCTAACCCGGATGACGCTGGGCCAATTGTGTGCCGCCTCATGGGTCTCCCGGTCACGGCCGGCTGCGACACAGCCTGAGATCGAACCCGGGTCTGTAGTGACGCCTCTAACACTGCGATGCAGAGCTTAAGACCGCTGCGCCACTCAGGAGGCCCACATTAAAAAATGTCAACCAATCGATTGGTTGAAAGAACAGACGACTCTCGGTCGACCAATAGTTTTTTTCTTCAGGAACAGCCCTAATGTGGACACTGTGTTTATTCACCGATGCACCATACAACAAAGGCAAATCAACATTTTCCAGGAATAGGAGTTAGGATATTCTTGGCGTCAGAGAAGATACCTATCACAGGATGCATAGCTATTTGTTCATTGAGAGTGTATAGGCCAATGAGAATCGATGTGTGTACTACAGTTTGTAAATTATTGACATAATGGAATGTAGACTTCATGGCCCCAAACCACTCATCTCTTAACTCTTTCCCTGTCCTCACAACACTATGGCATGACATCATTATACCATAAAAACATCATATCAGGATAGGGTAAGGAAATGGTACATTGGAGAATTGTAATGTAACAACATAGGCCTAGGCTACCTTCTTTCACATTATGTGGTTGCACTTTTTTACAATCCAAAACATCCACGTATAAACAACAACATGCAGGCGCACACAAACATCCACAAAATCATCCCTGCCCAGACCCACCTGCTCACCCCCCGTCTTCAGCACCCATATTACTCTCCGCCACATGGCTTCAAACTGCACCATTTTGTATCTCTCCGTCGCCTACGCACTTTCAACATTTAGATAATAAAGCATTTGACCTTTCCATTGTGTTAACGATGAAGGATTGATTGATTTCCAGTTTAAGTATACGTTTTCTCAAGATGATTGACGAGAAAAGTATCGTCCAACCCATTGGGTATCTCACTGCACCCTCATATGCCATGTCTTGAAATATGCAGACAGACGGATTAAAAGTAAATTTACATTGTAATACTTCTGACAGCCAACTTTCTAACTCCACACATAACTTTTGGACTTTATAGCATTACCAGAAGGCATGGATTATTGAGTCATTGTTAGTTTTACACTTAAGACATGACCCGTTGTGCTGTAGAATGTAGCATACGCATCTTCAATATGTACCCATTGTTCCTCTTTAATCCATTTAACTATATGTCACAAGTAAAATCCCTGAGTGCGAAGTTGATACAATTCCAGGTCTGGAAGGTTAAAACCACCTTCTGACTTATGAAGATGTAAAACTTTCCTTTTTATTTGATGAGTTTTATTTGCCCAGTCTGTTATGACTGAGTATACTTGTTTAAAGAATCTATTCGGTGAAGTAATTGGTTATACCAAGAATAAATATTAAAATGTTGGGAGCCATGCCATTCTGAAGAGGTTTATTCTACCTGTAAAATGTATGGGAAGATTGTTCCATTGAATTAGATCTGCTTTCATATTATAATAATAATAATAATAATAATAATAATAAGCCATTTAGCAGACGCTTTTATCCAAAGCGACTTACAGTCATGTGTGCATACATTTTTGTGTATATTGTTGAGTAATGGGATAAAGTTGCCTTTATACATTTGTTGTCACTAATTTGTTGTCACTTATTAAGTATCTTAAGTATTTTATATTTGTTGTGGTCCACTTAAAGGATTGCTGTCGATCATGAGTTATCATTTTTACTATTTCCATAATTTCGTTTTTTCCCATGCAAATCTTATATCCTGAGATTTTAGAAACAACTTGATTGGAGTCCACCTGTGGTAAATTCAATTGATTGAACATGATTTGGAACGGCACACACCTGTCTATATAAGGTCCCACAGTTGACAGTGCATGTCAGAGCAAAAACCAAGCCATGAGGTTGAAGGAATTGTCCGTATAGCTCAGAGACAGGATTGTGTCGAGGCACAGATCTGGGGAAGGGTACCAAAAAATATCTGCAGCATTGAAGGTCCCCAAGAACACAGTGACCTCCATCATTCAAGTTTGGAAACACCAAGACTCGTCCTAGAGCTGGCTGCCCGGCCAAACTGAGCAATCGGGAGAGAAGGGCCTTGGTCAGGGAGGTGACCAAGACCCCGATGGTCATTCTGACAGAGCTCCAGAGTTCCTCTGTGGAGATGGGAGAACCTTCCTTAAGGACAACCATCTCTGCAGCACTCCACCTATCAGGCCTTTATGGTAGATTGGCCAGACGGAAGGCACTCCTCAGTAAAAGGCACATAACAACCGGCTTAAAGTTTGCCAAAAGGCACCTAAAGGACTCTGACCATGAGAAACAACATTCTCTTGTCTGATGAAACCAAGATTGAACTCTTTGGCCTGAATGCCAAACGTCACGTCTGGAGGAAACCTGGCACCATCCCTACGGTGAAGCATGGTGGCGGCAGCATCATGCTGTGGGTATGTTTTTCAGCGGCAGGGACTGGGAGACTAGTTAGGATCGAGGGAAAGAGGAACGGAGCAAAGTACAGAGAGATCCTTGATGAAAACCTGCTCCAGAGCACTCAGGACCTCAGACTGGGGCGAAGATTCACCTTCCAACAGGACAACGACCCTAAGCACACAGCCAAGACAACGCAGGAGTGGCTTCGGGACAAGTCTCTGAATGTCCTTGAGTGGCCCAGCCAAAGCCCGGACTTGAACCCGATTGAGCATCTCTGGAGAGACCTGAAAATAGCTGTGCAGCAACGCTCCTCATCCAACCTGACAGAGCTTGAGAGGATCTGCAGAGAAGAATGGGGGAAAATCCCCAAATACAGGTGTGCCAAGCTTGTAGCGTCATAACCAAGAAGACTCGAGGCTGTAATCGCTGCCAAAGGTGCTTCAACAAAGTACTGAGTAAAGAGTCTGAATACTTATGTAAATGTGATATTACAGATTTTTATTTGTAATACATTTGCAAACATTTCAAAAAAACTGTTTTTGTTTTGTCATTATAGGGTATTGTGTGTACAGTCGTGGTCAAAAGTTTTGAGAATGACAAGTATTGGTCTTCACAAAGTTCACTGCTTCAGTGTTATGGAGATATTTTTGCCAGATGTTACTATGGTATACTGAAGTATAATTACAAGCATTCCATAAGTGTCAAAGGCTTTTATTGACAATTATATTAAGTTTATGCAAAGAGTCAATATTTGCAGTGTTGACACTTCTTTTTTAAGACCTCTGCAATCCGCCCTGGCATGCTGTCAATTAACTTCTGGGCCACATCCTGACTGATAGCAGCCCATTCTTGCATAATCAATGCTTGGAGTTTGTCAGAATTTGTGGGTTTTTGTTTGTCCACCCGCCTCTTGAGGTTCGACCACAAGTTCTCAATGGGATTAAGGTCTGGGGACTTTCCTGGCCATGGACCCAAAATGTAGACGTTTTGTTCCCCGAGCCACTTAGTTATCACTTCTGTCTTATGGCAAGGTGCTCCATCATGCTGGAAAAGGCATTGGTCATCACCAAACTGTTATTGGATGGTTGGGAGAAGTTGCTCTCGGAGGATGTGTTGGTACCATTCTTTATTCATGGCTGTGTTCTTAGGCAAAATTGTGAGTGAGCCCACTCCCTTGGCTGAGAAGCAACCCCACACATGAATGGTCTCAAGATGCTTTACTGTTGGCATGACACAGGACTGATGGTAGCGCTCACCTTGTCTTCTCCGGACAAGGTGTTTTCCGGATGCCCCAAACAATCGGAAAGGGGATTCATCAGAGAAAATGACTTTATCCCAGTCTTCAGCAGTCCAATCCCTGTACCATTTGCAGAATATCAGTCTGTCCCTGATGTTTTTCCTGGAGAGAAGTGGCTTCTTTGCTGCCCTTCTTGACACCAGGCCATCCTCCAAAAGTCTTCGCCTCACTGTGCGTGCAGATGCACTCACACCTGCCTGCTGCCATTCCTGAGCAAGCTCTGCACTGGTGGTGCCCTGATCCTGCAGCTGAATCAACTTTAGGAGACAGTCCTGGCGCTTGCTGGACTTTCTTGGGCTCCCTGACGCCTTCTTCACAACAATTGGACCTCTCTCCTTGAAGTTCTTGATGATCCGATAAATGGTTGATTTGAAGCCCTTTTTGTGCAAAGCAATGATGACGGCATGTGTTTCCTTGCAGGTAACCATGGTTAACAGAGGAAGAACAATGATTTCAAGCACCACCCTCCTTTTAAAGATTCCAGTCTGTTATTCTAACTCAATCAGCATGACAGAGTGATCTCCAGTCTTGTCCTCGTCAACACTCTCACCTGTGTTAACGAGAGAATCACTGACATGATGGCAGCTGGTCCTTTTGTGGCAGGGCTGAAATGCAGTGGAAATGTTTTTTTGGGGATTAAGTTCATTTTCATGGCAAAGAGGGACTTTGCAATTAATTGCAATTCATCTGATCACTCTTCATGACATTCTGGAGTATATGCAAATTGCCATCATCAAAACTGAGGCAGCAGACTTTGTGAAAATTAGTATTTGTGTCATTCTCAAAACTTTTGACCACGACTGTACATGTTGAGATAAGCATAGTTTAAAGTATAAAGCATAGTATAAAAAAACGATTTAATCAATTTCAGAATTTTCTGAATACTTTCCAAATGCACTGTATGAGCTTTGTTCAGATGTTGAAATCAAGTGGCCTACCTTATTATTCAGAATGAGAACGAGTTGCCAATTACTTATATAATAGTTTTATGCTTATTTCACATTTATAAAACACAGACTAAACAGCTACTATAACAACCTTTATTTGACTAAAATGCTGCTAGCGATACGTGGTACCGTAACGCACGTGCGCAACAAACTGAGCATACATTTTCCAGAATGAATGTTCATTGGTACATCCGTTTCAGTAGTGTCTGCTCTGTTCGAAATTTAAGGAGTTGAAACATAAACAGGGTATGGTTCGAAAGGTTCACTTCTCCTCTTACAGTAAAATAATGTCTCCATGTGTTTCGGTGTCCATATGACCGATTCAGTTGGATCAAACCTCAAATGCAAATAGCGAGTTGAAACCATTTGTCAGAGAGAAAGAAGTGATCTTTCATTTTTGTTGTTGTGAGTGGTAGGGGGAGGGGCTTTGGAGAAAGAGGCGAAGCAAGAGGTTAATTTACAGTGTACATTAAATTAATATATAGTGGATGGTGGGGGTCTACTTGGGGAGAGTGGGTCCACCGAGAGACTGAAGTGAGATGAGTGGAGGCCCCACAGACACCACAGAGAAGTGTCTGATGCCCTCCCAGTCACCCCATCCCCATCCCCCGGAAAGAGCCCCTCTCCAATCTCACCAATAACCACCATTGAATCTTAGCTATAATGACAAACTCGACATCTTCTCCTAATCTATCCAGAACTCTTATTCATTTTACAGCAGGTTTGCAAGTCACAAAAATAAATTAAATGACATTGTAGTATAGTTAAATACTTCCTTCTCTCTCTCCCAAGCCATACCCATCCCTCTCCAGCTCCCTCTCCCTGCTTTCTCCCCCCTTTACCCCACCCAAGCCAAGCTTGTCACAACCTCCTATCTTTTCCCACCCTCCCTACCTCTCTGACACACCTACACCCATTTCCGCCCAACATATACCCTATGCATCCAAACACCCATTCTCTCCCACCCTCCTACACATATTCATATTCACCACCTATCACCAGTTTTAACCGGCAGGTAGACTAGCGGTTAAGAGCGTTGGGCCAGTAACCGAAAGGTCGCTGGTTCGAATCCCTGAGCCGACTAGGTGAAAAATCTGTCTGTGCCCTCGTGCAAGGCACTTTACCCTAATTGCTCCTGTAAGTCGTTCTGGATAAGAGCATCTGCTAAATGACCCAAATAAATATATACAGTACCAGTCAAAAGTTTGGACACACCTACTCATTCCAGGGTTTTTCTTTATTTTCACTATTTTCTACATTGTAGAATAATAGTGAAGACATCACTATGAAATAACACATATGGAATCATGTAGTAACCAAAAAAGTGTTATAATATTTTATATTTGAAATTCTTCAAAGTAGCCACCCTTTGCGTTCATGACAGCTTTGCACACTCTTGGCATTCTCTCAACCATCTTCATGAGGTAGTCACCTGGAATGCATTTCAATTAGCAGATGTGCCTTCTTAAAAGTTAATTTGTGGAATTTATTTCCTTCTTAATGCATTTGAGCCAATCAGTTCTGTGACAAGGTAGGGGGGTATACAGAAGATAGCCCTATTTGGTAAAAGACCAAGTCCATATTATGGCAAGAACAGCTAAAATGAGCAAAGAGAAATTACAGTCCATCATTACTTTAAGACATGAAGTTGAGTCAATCCCGAAAATGTCAAGAATTTAGAAAGTTTCTTCAAGTGCAGTCGCAAAAATCATCAAGCGCTATGATGAAACTGGCTCTCATGAGGACCGCCACAGGAAAGTAAAACCCAGAGTTACCTCTGCTGCAGAGGATAAGTTCATTAGCGCTACCAGCCTCAGAAATTGCAGCACAAATCAATGCTTCACAGGGTTCAAGTAACAGACACATCTCAACATCAACTGTTCAGAGGAGACTGCGTGAATCAGGCCTTCATGGTCGAATTGCTGGTTCAAACCACTACTAAAGGACACAAATAATAAGAAGTGACTTGCTTAGGCAAAGAAACACGAGCAATGGACATTAGACCGGTGGAAATCTGTACTTTGGTCTGATGAGTCCAAATTTGAGATTTTTGGTTCCATCCGCTGTCTTTGTGAGACGCAGAGTCTGTGAACGGATGATCTCTGCATGTGTGGTTCCCAACGTGAAGCATGGAGGAGGAGGTGTGATGGTGCTTTGCTGGTGATACTGTCTGTGATTTATTTAGAATTCAAGGCACACTTAACCAGCATGGCTACCACAGCATTCTGCAGCGATACGCCATCCCATCTGGTTTGGGCTTAGTGGGACTATCATTTGTTTTTCAACAGGACAATGACCCAACACACCTCCAGGCTGTGTAAGGGCTATTTTACCAAGAAGGAGAGTGATGGAGTGCTGCATCAGATGACCTGACCTCCACAATCCCCCGACCCCAACCCAATTGAGATGGTTTGGGGTGAAGGAAAAGCAGCCAACAAGTGCTCAGCATATGCGGGAACTCCTTCAAGACTGTTGGAAAAGCATTCCAGGTGAAGCTGGTTGAGAGAATGCCAAGAGTGTGCATAGCTGTTATCAAGGCAAAGGTTGGCTACTTAGAAGAATATAAAATGTATTTTGATTTGTTTAACACTTTTTTGGGTACTACATGATTCCATATGTGTTATTTCATAGTTATTCTACAATGTAGAAAATAGTAAAAATAAAGAAAAACCCTTAAATGAGTAGGTGTGTCCAAACTTTTGACTGGTACTGTATATATATATTTTTATATACACACACATACCCACACACACGCACATCCATAAAACAGTTATTGACATATATGCACTTACTGTTTCAGCATGACTATGTAGTAACAGTCAACTTCTCCTTTACAACATATTACCTAGATCTGCTCATCTGTGTGGCTATTGCTTGATAAAACAGTGAAACGCTAGGTCCTTGCAATACATCAGTATCTTCTACAGACAGCTATTGAATCCATGGCAGAAGCTTTCCAACACCTATCCAACAATGCGTACAAAGTGATCAGGCACTCACCGATAGACCACTTCTCATTCAGCCGCCTCTCAGCAAGGTTGTGCACCAGTTGGATCTCGTAGTCTTGGTCGCGGCTCCCCCTAGAGGCCTGGAGAACCTTAACACCCGTGGACAGCTTGATGTAGTCTTCGTAGTAATATCCCCACGCAGCCAGAGAGAGCTGCAACTGGCTGTCAAACTGAGCTAGATCATCCAAATTCATACAACCCAAGGTCTTCAGTCTTCATTTGGACCACAGTGCAACATGGTCAAACAGAGAGAAAAACTGTCAATTTTATTCATTTCACCTCTAGCATGGCCACAGTCTCACACAGGACAACACAGAGAGCGACTGAACAAGAAGAACCTGACTTTAAACAGGGCTGTGGTCTGTTAGCTAGTGCCTTAAATAGGCTTCTGTGTACTCTACCATGCACGCAAAGCAAATATTGGTTTATCACCTTGTTCTGCACTGCACCATAGTAAACGTAACATGATCTACTAAGTTACATTTACATTAAGCCTTAAAGGGGCAATCTGCAGTTCAAACAACAACAAAGCGGTCAAACCGCCACTGATTTGGTAAATAGCTGAGGGATGGGGCTGGATAAATGTAACCACTCTTAAATTCATAGACAAAGCTATGGATGCAAGGAGATCAAATGAGATCAAAATTATAGTTTTAACCATGTTGAGGCAATACCATGTTTGTTTACAATTACTTTGTTTAGAAATAAAGGAGTAAAACAAGTTTACATTTTGGGTTCTGATGGGGTAAGAAGATTAACTACGCTCATGAGGGATTTATAAGTTATATTCTTCAAGAATCAAATGGGTATTAATCATGAATTTAAAAGTCCAGAAATGGATGTAGCAATCACAGATTGTCTCTTCAAGAGTTATATAAACATTAGAACGTCAGATAGTCATAGTGTGGTATGTATTGAGTCATGATGGAAATGGATTAGTATTCCTATGACAGATGTATTAAATGGTATAGTGTAATCTACTCAAGGAGCAAAAGCTTTCCAGGGTTGACAGCTGCTGTAGCCACAATAAACACAGTATAGTAACCACTATAACCCAGCTGCTCATGTTTACAATACATTACTTTAGGTAGGGAGTGTCAGTGCTTAGACAGACGTGAGCTCATCCTGTACTACAGAATCTGCAAAGAGGATGTCAAGTTTACAATCCCCTCTGTATGACTAACCTTTGTATCACATTAAAAGATATGAATGTGATACAACTGAAAATAGAAAACATTTGTCTTTATTTATTCATACATAAAAACAGTTAGTTTCTACTATTATACAGAAAGGCCTATATGCTGTCTGACTACAGTTGAACTGAGTCCACTGAGAGCTACCCCCACATCTGCAGGATTGCAGAACATCGACTACTATATTGTATGTGTAACAGCCCCTTAAGAGCACTCATTACTGCAGTGACCCTCTGAAACACTGCAGCCTCCTGAGCTCAATGTCACCAAGCGCAGCCAGCCATGAATGGGGAGTCTGCCCCCAAGTGGCCAAAAAAGCAGACACAAAGCAGTATCTGTTCTATGGTTGTTATTTTCAGCCATGTAGCCCATCTCTCAGTGAAAGAGACCTCTCAGTGTTTCACGAAATGACTGAATTCTGTTAGATATAAGTGCAGAATTGTGTAGTAATGTTAGCTGTGTTTATGTGATGAGTTTGAATCTGCCCATGACAGGTGAGAGGTAGGTAGTACTATGCTAATAACATGGTGGTGGTATGCTTACGTATGATAGTAGTGGTCAAGGCTCTGAGAGCAAAGCCACTCCTGGAAGGCAAAGTCTCGCAGCAGCTGGATGTGAGCCTCTGCGATGTCCCTCCAGCGCCGCTTCTCTCTCACCACGTCCTCCAGACGAGTCAGAACACTCAGGCTCAGCTCCTCCAGAGTCTCCACATCTACACAAACAGATGCAGACAGACAAAGGCAAATCAGCCAGAGCAGAGCAGACATGCCAGGATGAGGATCTATTCTAGTCTATAGCCTTATCACAAATAAATACACCTCAGCATTACCATAATGAGGCGAACATAAGAACATATTAAATCACTGAAACGACAACATCATGCGCTACAGGAAATTACACCAAGAACTGTACCTCTTCAATGGCAGAAGATAAGCTGTCGAGAAGGAATTTCACCCATTGGCCTAACCTTTGTTTAAATGCCCTTTGAACTGTGGTAGACTTTTGTGCAAACTCCAATGGATGAGAAAATTCAAAGAGAATCAATTATGGGATGCTGTTTATTAACTACAGAGCAAATAAATGAAGATTTGACTGTGTATGGCTGCAATTACATTAGCCTCCTTCCCATCAGCAATAGTTCACAGATGCCAAACTGCCACTGAAGATGTTCCATGTCATTCATAAACACTGAATAATCTCAAAGAGTGGCGGCTATTTTCTCAACTGACCTTCAAATAAGTGTTTGTATTCGGAGAGACTGTGGCCTTGAATCCATTCTTCGATCTGACTTTCTTTGCCTTTCTTCCAGCGCACTTCCCAGAAGAAAATCCACGAGACTGAGCAGAAGAGGAAGGTCAGCAAAAAGCGGCGGTCCATCAGACCATCTTCAGCCAGGACTCAGACTCCTCTGCTCCTCACAAAGGCTAGGCCAGGTCCAAAATACTGCACAATAAAGTCTCAAATTATCTTAATTCTCCAGCTTCTTCACTTGGAAAGACCTAGAGCAACAACAACAAAAAACATGACAGGTATAAGTCCGGCAGTTCATAAAGAATTAACCTAAACAATGACTGAGACAATTAAAAACTTGTGACCATGCTCATCTAGCTACTCAGACACTGTCACTAATCAGTAGCAGCATAGCCAAGAAGACATGAATGAATATTAATGTGTCACACTGGAGGAGTGTTGGGTGATGGGATAGGACATGTAATCCAGATGACTGAAATATGCATGAACTGGCAAGTGTCCTAAAGGGTCTCATTACTTTAATGTCATAATCTAAACCCAAGACCACCATAGTGATAAAAACATAAACTAAATGCATTGTGGCAACACCCATAGCCAGACTGTCTACAAAAACAACATCCCTACAAGATACCTATTTGTTGTCAGCCCCCCTTTGGAAGCCTTCATCAAGGTTGAAATGATACCTGCATTGATTTACATATGCCCCCTATGAATGACAACTAGGTCGAGGAAGCTAGGCTATTTCAATAAGGAGGTATTCTGACAGCATATCACAGAGTGCTGTTTGCTAAAGATCTGACGAGAAATGACAAATCTGGAATGGTGAAAGGTTTGGCAATACTGCATAGCTTCAGTAATCAATATGACTAGAAACTGGCTCTTGGGGTTAACTTGTCCTGCTAACGTTACCTGGCTGGTTGGGAAAGTAAGGCGATCAATTAATGGAACAACAACAGCAGCACCTAGTTATGTCGTTATCTCGCTACTACATGCATGCATGCGTGTGTGTGTGTGTGTGTGTGTGTGTGTGCGTGTGTGCGTGTAGAACGGAGAGCCGTAGGCTACGGCGTAGCTAATAACGACCATCATTTTGAACGTGATTAACATGTCTTAGGGCTATGCAAAATTAACAAAACTGGCAGGGATGAATTTATAGCTAGCTACAACATGATTTTAGCTAACGTCAGTTAGCTACACAAATAACATGTCGCATCATCAATTCCTTCAGAACAAGTGCATGATAGCTAGCTAACGTTAGTTACTGATAGCTAGCCTATGCTAGCTAGCTACGTTAACCGTCAATGTCAACGCAAAATAGAAATGTGGTATTCCAAAGCCAAATTCAGTGTTTCAAAACAAATGTGATAATTCACCCCTCACTCATAGCTACGTCAAATACCAATTTAAATACATTACATAGCTAATACAACGTTCATTTGAACAATAACACTTATCCTACCTTGTGTGTATTTAATAGCCAGCAGCAACCGGAAGTCGAAATGTGCAAGGCAACAAACGTCTATTGTTGATGACGTACAAACACACTTACACTAGGGCTAGCGACATACAAGAAGTCAGCTGTTGGATAACAAATCATGGTAAAATCGTACTTTAACTTATCATATTATAATGACATGATAACATGTATATAGTGGTTGTTGATTTAGCTGTTTGTATTATAATGACATGATAACTGTTTGAATGATTGAACATGTTGTTGTTGATGGAAGTTCGTATGCTTTGTTTTGCTCTAATACTATTAGTACTAGCTTAGCGAACGTAACGTGAATTTCTCGATTAACCCGTAGCTAGCTAGTAGTTTACGTTATAGTTTTTCTTTTTTGCTCTGACTGTATTATTCCCGTATGTGTATTTCAGGGGAAACAGAAGACTAAAAAGTTTGCTTCAATGAAGAGGATGATAAGTTTGAAAGATCAGAGAAGCATGCTATGTTACTACCGCCGGTAGACACGAATATGAATGTTGTACTTTCTGCACAGGTTCATAACACACACCATTTAGCGAGCTAACGTTAGTTGACTTACAAACCATGCCAACTTTGTATATACAAATTGTCAAGCTAACAAATTGGCATGGATTGTCAGAATAAATAATTAGCTAGCCAGTTTGCTTACTAATTGTTCATACATTCCTTTCTTTACTTTGAATAAGACATAGCTATCTTATCAATCATGTTCTCTCCAGTTTCATTTCCATGGTAATGACTGTGTTTCTTTAGAAAAGAGAAAGACCGTGCCAAAGTACAAAAAATAAGAAAGATCCTTCAGAAATAAAGGAAAAAGAAATGTAAGTACATCCGAGTAAACAAATACAAACGTACCAATAGCTCTTAACTGATATTCAATATATTGTCAACACATGATTGATTATAAGTTGATACCTTCTTACTGTGTGTTCACACATTCCTTTCCTACCTGCAGGCCAAAATACCCATCATGCCTGTTCTTCCAGTACAACACTCAGCTTGGTCCCCCTTATCACATCCTCGTCGACACCAATTTCATAAACTTCTCCATCAAGGCTAAACTCGACATAGTTCAGTCAATGATGGACTGCCTGTACGCCAAATGTGAGTATCTGGAAAAGTTTATTCAGCTGAAACTCAATTAATGTAACCCTATTAGACAATAACTGTATATTTAAAATTATTATCTTGCTTGTTATCAAGGTATCCCATGCATCACAGACTGTGTAATGGCTGAGATAGAGAAACTGGGGATGAAGTATCGAGTTGCTCTAAGGTAACTAGCCTGTTGTGAAGACCAACACCCAGATACATCTAGACATATAGAGACATAAAAACATGATCAGAGCACAGGAGGTTGGTGGCACCTTAATTGGGGAGGACGGGCACATGGTAATGGCTGGAGCGGAATAGTGGAACGGTATCAACAACATAAAACACATGGTTTCCATGTGTTTGGTGCCAATTCCATACGCTCTGTTCCAGACATTATTGTGAACGGTCCTCCCCTCAGCAACTTCCACTGGATCAGAGGGTTATTATTGACAGATAAATATTTGTCTCTCTGTAGGATAGCCAAGGATCCTCGGTTCGAACGACTGCCATGCACCCACAAAGGAACTTACGCTGATGACTGCTTAGTTCAAAGGGTAACACAGGTAATGTAGTTTAATGTACTAAATTGACTATATATTATACTGATCAAAAATATAAACGCAACATGTAAAGTGTTGGTCCCATGTTTCATAAGTTGAAATAAAAGATCCCAGAAATGATCCATATGCACAAAAAGCTTATTTCTCTCAAATTGTGTAAACAAATTAGTTTGCATCCTTGTTAGTGAGCATTTATCATTTCCAGGATAATCCATCCACCTCACAGGTGTGGCTTATTAAAAAGCTGATTAAACAGCATGATCATTGCACAGGTGCACCTTGTGCTGGGAACAATAAAAGGCCACTCTAAAATGTGCAGTTTTGTCACACAACACAATGCCACAGATGTCTCAAGTTTTGAGGGAGCATCCAATTGGCATGCTGACTGCATGAATGTCCACAGGGTTCGCACAAGCTGCTTAAAGTACTTGAATTTGCCACACATTCAAGTACTGCAATACCTTGAAAATCAGAAATGTTCTCAAGTTGGTACTTTAATTAAATTGCACCTTTTTTTTAAAGGTATCTGTGACCAACATATGCATATCTGTATTCCCTGTCATGTGAATTCCATAGATTAGGGCCTCATTTATTTATTTCAATTGACTGATTACCTTATATGAACTGTGATCTTTGAAATTGTTCCGTGCTGCATTTTATATTTTTGTTCAGTGTATATTAGGTGAACCCTCTAGTCATTAGAACACTGGTTTTATACCAGAGCATCAATTCAATTGTGTGTCTTTCACAGCACAAGTGCTACATCCTGGCAACTGTGGACAGAGACCTGAAGAGAAGAATCAGAAAGATCCCAGGAGTACCCATCATGTACATCTCCAACCATAGGTCAGAATTAACATTAGATTATTAATGTTTAATGGGTCATTTATGTGGCTATAACTACGTTTATAACTAGGTAATATATAGCAAATATTATACACTGAGTATACCTAACTTTAGGAACACCTTTCTAATATTGAGCCCCACCCCCTTTGCCCTCAGAACAGCCTCAATTTGTTGGCGCATGGACTCTACAAGGTGTCGAAAGCGTTCCACAGGGATGCTGGCCCATGTTGACTCCAATGCTTCCCACAGTTGTGTCAAGTTGGCTGGATGTCCTTTGGGTGGTGGACCATTCTTGATACACACAGGAAACTGTTGAGCGTGAAAAACCCAGCAGCGTTGCAGTTCTTGACACAAACCAGTGCCCCTGGAACCTACTACCATACCCCGTTCAAAGGCACTTCAATCTTTTGTCTTGCCCGTTCACCCTCTGAATGGCACACACACACAATCCATGTCTCAAGGCTTAAAAGTCCTTCTTTACCCTGTCTACACTGATTTTGAAGTGGATTTAACAAGTGACATCAATAAGGGATCATAGCGTTCACCTGGATTCAGTCTGTCATGGAAAGAGCAGGTGTTCTTGATGTTTTGTATACTCAGTGTATGGCAATAAAATGTATAGCAAGATAAAATACCTTATACTATGACATTTAAACCATGTATAACAATATTTTTTTTCACAGGTTCAACATTGAAAGAATGCCTGATGACTATGGTGCTCCAAGATTTTAACATTCAGTGGATGGACATGCAGATGGAATTTAAATTCTGTGGCTTCTGTCGAGGAGGATTTGATTTGTTTGGAGGATTTGATTTGTTTACCTGCTTATTGTATATTATCAAAGGACTTGAGTTTATGCTGGGTTTTATTTTGTGAAAACAGGAATGACAGAATAATATATTTTGCAAGCTTAAAGTCCAGCTGTGTAATTCTTACCAATCCAAACACATTTTTTGTTCCATAAAAGTGCAATAAATTAATAAAAGAAAAGTAAAATGTATCCAGTTTTTTTTTCTGCCATAGTGTGAAGATGTAGGCTATCCTTAGTCCTAGAGTTTTGATAACTTGGAGAATGCATTTATTATACAGTAAGCTCTTCATCTGTTCTGCGTGTATCCAAGAATGGTGCTAATACCATCTATTTGCTGTTAAATGTTTATATAATACGTGCCCACTTTTGTGCTGGCATTATATCAAGTTCCTGCAAGCCCTTGCATTTCATAGTTTATTTATTAATAGACTAATGTAGTTTCAGCTCAATATTTGTGTGTAAAGCGGAGGAAATTAAGTTTGGTTTACACCACCCACGGACTAGACGAAATGTGCATGTCGCCGAAAATGTAATCCGTCAGATAGAGCATGCGCAGCTGCTGGGAAATGGGAGTGTCTGAGCGGCTCAATATTGTAGCAGGCATGAGATCAGCGCTCGCTACTGTGTAGTCATGGGCGTTCAAACTGGACAATGACTTGGACTGACAAGAAGAATATGATGTAAAATGGACTAGACTGAAATGAGGCCACCGACTAAGCGGAGTGTCGAAGAAATGTCCAATCTAATCTTTCCCGGCGTTTTGGATATAGACGGAATCACCTCTCTGGGATAACGGTGCCGGATATTAGTGATTTGTAATACAGTAGTTTGTTGTGGCCTACCCTGTTGGAAGACTGCTATTTTTCCCCATTATGTTGTAGGCATTATGTGTATTCATCATTTTCCAAGGTGCTGAATTTATCCTCAATGTTGTAGGCCTAGTATAATGTTTTTAATGTTGGCTGCCAATTCACTCCTTTTCTAGTTTTGATAATTATTGTCCAGTTTCAGTATTCAAGTGATTTACTTGACTTAACCTGCATCTTATAGATCATTGTGATTTTTCTAAAATGCCAATAACAATATCGATCAGATAGTGATTTGACTATTGATGTAGCCAAAATTCCATTTAATCTCGGATTTTGCAAGCATTTGTTAATGTTTTTGAAGTTGAACTCATCTGACATAACTTAAGTGGACAATTGTACCAACATATGGAACATATGATTTTAATATCAGTGTGCCATTTTGTTCATGAGAGGCACAGTATTTGAATTTGGAGACTAATAGGCTACAGCCTGCAGTTTTTCAAAGTTCTACATATCCAGCATGTCATGAATTGCTCATGTTTCTCACCTGCTGTCGGAGTGTTACATGCTGAGAAACTGCAATCAGATTGACAGTTAAAGGGCGAGGCTGTAAGCCATCTGTGCCAGCCGGGATGCTGAGGACCACAAGGGGGTGTGTGGGGGTGGAGGAGAGAGATGAGGAGCAGGAGGATGAAGGTGAAGAGGACTTGCGGGATGGAGGTGTGCCCTTCTTCGTGAACAGGGGAGGCCTACCGGTGGATGAGGAGACTTGGGAGCAGATGTGGAGGCATGTGGCCCGGATTCACCCTAATGGCGAGGCCATAGGGAAACGCATCCGGGGAGCCAGTGATCTGCCTAAGGTAGGATGAAGGTGAAGTCCTTACCGAGCTAGACACCCTGCCTGGCTGTTGTCTTCAGTTTGAGAACTATACAGGCTGCATTCATACACAGTCTTTGTCAATAGCTCCCCCCCCCCCAGTAGTATAGGCCTAGAGCGTTCCTGTAATTTCCACACCAGTCACATTTATTTAAAGTAAACCATCATTCAAGATTGAGATAAACATGCAGTAAACCGTTCAGGAGGATAGATTTTTCAATAGCGTTGTGGGCCTAGTATATTATGCTACATGAACTTGATCAGACTCACACTTACTGGAGATCGAGTGAAGATAGCTGACTATGCAGAAAGATGGTAGTTACAACCCTTCCAGATGCACACCAATCATTGAAACACTACATATTCTGGGGGAGCACTTCTCACCTTTCTGTCATGCAACATACAGGCATACAGAATCCAGTTGAGCTGCCCATGCCATTTCCTCACCTGGTTGTAAGAAATTCAGTAAATGAACCATATGAATGTGATGTTAATTGACAAAGTATTCAGACCCCTTCCCGTTTTCCACATTTTGTTACATTACAGCCTTATTCTAAAATCGATTGAATAAAAACATTTCCTCATGAATCTACACACAATACCATATAAAAAACAGAAATACCTTATTTACATAAGTATTCAGAACCTTTGCTATGAGACACGAAATTGAGCTCAGGTACATCATGACTTGATTGGAGTCCACCTGTGGTAAATTCAATTGATTGGACATGATTTGGAAAGGGGCACAACTGTCTATATAAGGTCCCACAGGTGACAGTGCATGCCAGAGCAAAAACCAAGCCATGAGGTCGAAGGAATTGTCCGTAGATGCACAGATCTGGGGAAGTGTACCAAAAAATGCCTTGGTCAGGGAGGTGACTAAGAACCCGATGTTCACTCTGACAGAGCTACAGAGTTCCTCTGTGGAGATGGGAGAACCTTCCAGAAGGACAATCATCTCTGCAGCACTCCACCAATCAGGTCTTTATGGTAGTGGCCAGACGGAAGCCACTCCTCAGTAAAAGACACATGACAACCTGCTTGGAGTTTGCCAAAAGGCACCTAAAGGACTCTCAGACCATGAGAAACAAGATTCTCTAGTCTGATGAAACCAAGATTGAACTCTTGGACCTGAATGCCTAGCGTCACGTCTGGAGGAAACCTGGCACCATCCCTAATGTGAAGCATGGTGGTGGCAGCATCATGCTGTGGGGATGTTTTTCAGCGGCAGGGACTGGGAGACTAGTCAGGATTGAGGTAAAGATGAACGGAGTAAAGTACAGAGAGATCCTTGATGAAAACCTGCTCCAGAGCGCTCAGGACCTCAGACTGGGGCAAAGGATCACCTTCCAACAGGACAAGGACCCTAAGCACACAGCCAAGACAACGCAGGAGTCTGAATGTCCTTGAGTGGCCCAGCCAGAGCCCGGACTTGAACCCGATCGAACATCTCTGGAGAGACCTGAAAATAGCTGTGCAGCGACGCTCCCCATCCAACCTGACAGAGCTTGAGAGGATCTGCAGAGAAGAATGGGAGAAACTCAGGTGTGCCAAGCTTGTAGCGTCATACCCAAGAAGACTCAAGGCTGTGATCGCTGCCAAAGGTGCTTTAACAAAGTACTTAGTAAAGGGTCTGAATACTTATGTAAGTGTGATATTTCAGGTTTTTTGCAACAAATTCTAAAAACCTGTTTTTGCTTTGTCATTATGGGGTATTGTGTATAGATTGACGAGGGAAAACCCCCCAATTTAATCCATTTTAGAATAAGGCTGTAACAATGTGGAAAAAGTCAAGGAGTCTGAATACTTTCCAAATGCACTGTATGCTTGAAGACATCCACTGACTATTGTCAATGATGGGTTGTTTGTTTTTCGTTAAGTGTAAGTGTGTCTCCGACTGCACATTCCAGTTAGGAATTTCATTATACAAAATGACTTTATTTTCGGACCAAAACCAAGTGGAGAAAGCTGTCAAAATATGCAGCTTTACAAACCACGCGAATAAACATGCCACTACATTTACTGATGCTGTTCGGTCCAGAAGAGGATAAATGCTCCCTCTGTGCTTATGAGGAATTCCATCATATATTCAATTAATGTACGCGTTTTGAGACATTTTACATTTACCTGACACTCCTATCCAGAGCGATTTACAGGCTCAATTAGGGTTAAGTGCCTTGCTCAAGGAAACATCGACAGATTTTTCACTTAGTCGGCTTGGGGATTTGAACCAGCAACCTTTCAGTTACTGGCCCAATGCACTTAACCATAATGCACTTATAGGGAACAATTAAGATAATGATCATGGGTTATAAAACATGGTTAAGTTAAACAAGAGGACACACTCCAGCTCTGTAAATATAGGGATTGTGTGATACTAATGCCTCTGGTTGTGCTCTGCCTCTCCCCCATAGATTCCAACACTGAGTGTGCCTACATACCAGCCAACCACCAGTATCCCACAGCGCCTGGAAGTCATACAGAAATACATCAGGGACTTGCAGTATCCTTTGCCTGGAATGGTAGAATTGTTTGTCACTATTGCCAAGCTCTGGACCAATGATGACTAGCCCAGCTAGCCTGGATAAAGATATGACTATGCTATCACACTATGCTCTGGGTTGGAATTCAAGATAGGTCTCCTGAAACATGTGTTAGCCATGCACTGTATTATGTATTGCTTCATACATAATTCAGAGACATAGGCACAAGCTGATTCCATGCAAATGGAAACTGTGCCACACACAGATGTACCGAAGAAGATTATGGTGGTGACTGACCAGTAAAATAGTTCATAAGTACTTCATACCTGTCTGACTCAGTCTGTTTAGGACAATATCAATGTATGTCACAACATCTCAGAATGTAGGCCATGTTTAGACTATCATCTATTTTAAGCATAAACATTAGTACCTCTCAGCTCAAGAAGCTTATCCATAATGCACAAACGAGGAACTATGAATATCAGAAAGCACTTAACGTGGTTTTATTCCCCATGAGAATATGTTTAGTGCCCAACCCAGAGGGTCTGTTGTGTTTGAACAGTTTCCATATTGTTTCACTCCCTCTGCATTGTGTGTACTTAACAATATCCTACAGGTACAATCACACGGGAACACAGTTTTTTGAAATCAAGAAGAGCAGGCCTCTTACTGCGTAAGCACAGTCTCTTCTATCCCATTCCTGTTTCCTAACCTTACATTTTAGGTTAGCTCTTTGATTTTCCTAAGTGGATCATGGCCTTGTAGGGGTATTGTAAATGTCAGACGGTGTTAGCGACATGACTGTTGTCTGCCAGAGAGAATCTCAGGGTTTGGCGAAATAGCTTTTCCTGGGGCTGCAGAGAGGCCACCGAGGCAGCAGACAGAGGAAGCAGCTGAGGATGTTTACCGATTGCTTTCATATTGTGCTGATCATGACAGAAGCTGAAGGAACTGGATATCTGGATCAGCTGTATGTCTGTTGCTCCCAATGGCTGAGGGACCAGGAACTGTTATCATAGCCTAATATGATCTGTTTCCAGGGCAGAAGCTTCTAATGCATTTTGCTTGCTCATCCACTCAGTTTGTGACATTTAGCACCAGATTATTTTATTTCAGTGTTTCTCAAAATGCCAGTTTTCTAAGCTTTGAGATCTTTTTAGGAATCAATAGTTTCGCCTAAAGGAGGTAATCATTTTCTCTTTGCATGCCTACACATTTCCTGTAATATGTGCAAATGTCCTTCAGGCCATTTAGAATCCATTTTTAGAATTGCTACCTTTAGTGTAGACTATTTTGTTGCCTTGACTTAGGTTTTATTCTCAACCTCATATTCTGTGTAGGTTGATGGACATCGCCAAGGAGATGATGCGGGAGTCACTACCAATCAAGTGTCTGGAGGCAGTGATCCTTGGAATGTATCCTTTCCTTTAAATAGCTTATGTATTCCATGGGTCACACCGACAGAACGTGGAAATTGTAATGAGTTTCTTATACAACTGTTTTTAGCTGCACATAATTTTTTTCTCAGATTTATGAATGGGGTGATGATAAATGATGACCTGGAAATGTTGTTTTCCAACTGAGTGTTTATGGGATGTTAAAAAGAACCCAGAGTGATTTAGATAAGACAAAGCTTTATGGGAACAACCAGGGCATCCGTTTATGTGATTAGAACTGACTTGTGTGCTTACAGTCCGAGACTACTGTATGCGACTAATGTATTCTTGTTTTAAAAACAGATCAGTGGAGCTTGAAAACTTTTGTCTATGTTACCCTGTAAAGGAGCACTCCAGTGGGAGCACACAACCAGGTAAGTTATAATAGGGGTTTCCATTTCCTTGACCTTGCCTGTCCCAGTTACCTCAGCAACAGCATGCCGGGTGTGGAGCGCTTCCCCCTCAGCTTTAAGACGCAGTTCTCAGGGAACCACTTCTGCCACATTGTGCTGGGGATGCACAGCGGTGGCCGCTTCGGGGCGCTGGGCATCAGCCGGCGGGAGGACCTCATGTTCAAACCCCTGGAGTTCCGCACGCTGGCTGACCTGGTGCAGGAGTTTGAGGGGGCCTACAGGAGCTACTGGCATACCCTGAGCAAGGTGAAGATTGGTCAGTATGTGTCCCATGACCCCCACAGTGTGGAACAGATCGACTGGAAACACTCCATAATAGATGTGGACAAACTGACCAAGGAGGAGCTGCGGAGAGAGCTGGAGAGACACACCCGGGACATGAGGCTGAAGGTACAGGACCAGAGATCCCCTGTTAAAGAGTGTAGGAATGGGATGTGATGGGATGTACAGCACTAGAGCAGGACATGTGCACACATCCAGGAAGGATCCTGGGGACTGAGATGGAAAATGTCCACGAACCAAACCATCTTAGGGATCCATGAAACAAACCCGTCAGCTTCCTTATTAGAGAATTCTAGTGATTGCATTAGATCCAACCAGTCATACTTGAGTAAAAGTAAAGATACCTTAATAGAAAATGACTTGAGTACAAGTGAAAGTCACCCGGTAAAATACTACTTGAGTAAAAGTATTTGGTTTTAAATATACTTAAGTATAAAAAGTAAATGTAATAGCTAAAATATACTTAAGTATCAAAAGTAAAAGTATAAATCATTTCAAATCCTTATATTATGCAAACCAGACGGCACCATTTTCTTGTTTTTTAAATTTACGGATAGCCAGGGGCACGCTCCAACACTCAGACATCATTTACAAACAAAGCATGTGTTTAGTGAGTCCGCCAGATCAGAGGCAGTAGGGATGACCAGAGTGTGTGAATTAGACCATTTTCCTGTCCTGCTAAGCATTCAAAAAGTAACGAGTACTTTTGGGTGTCAGGGAAAATGTATGGAGTAAAAAGTATATAATTTTCTTTAGGAATGTAGTGAAGTAAAAGTTGTCAAAAATATAAATAGTAAAGTACAGATATATATATAACTACTTAAGTAGTACTTTCAAGTATTTTTACTTAAGTACTTTACACCACTGGATCCAACTGGGACTGAATTAGTCTGCAGCCTATCACTGTACCAGCAGTGAATTTAGATTAGTGTCAAATTAAATTGGATGTATGTGAGCTCCATTAGATCTGAATCTACGTGAGGGGGAAGCACAAGCCCTTCTTAATCACTGAGATTCTGACTTCTCCTTTTGACCCGTCATGCATGATGACGTGGAGTTGACCTGCCAATTCAGGAGCTATCATCCTCAAATGATGACCTCTCATGGGTTATCATCCCAAGCAGTAATGAAAGGAGCCTTAACGCAGGGCCCTGTGAATAATAAAATGAATGTGATGGCATTTCTCTGCTCCGTTGTGCGTCAAGCATGGCTGCCTCAATCAATCAATGGCTGATCTTTTATAGAGAGGGCTCTCACCCAATGGCCGCACTCACAATCACATTAAAGATTTTGAGTATTTTACCACCATCACCATCAACACTGTGCCTCCTTTAGCACATTAGGGCCTCGCATCGAGGTTCTCACCTTAGTGCTACTCTAAGTAATAGAAAGCTGATGATCGGAGTGTGTGTGTATCTATGCGCATGTTTGCTACAGTTTCCTTCCTCTGCATAAATGATGTGCTGAATTTTAAAAGACATAAACATTTAGTAATTGGAGAACTGCACTTCTCCTTAGTCTACACAGTGGATATGACCAGAACTCAACTTGTAAGCATTTGTACCTCTCATTTGTGTTTCCGCTTGTTGTTACTGTGAGGTAAACAGAACTGTGTGATTGTCTTTCAGATTGGGAAGGCAGCGCCCCCTTCACCCACCAAAGACAGGAAGAGTAACATGGGCTCGCCCCTCCGTAACCCAGGCAGCCCCATGCGCAGGAACAGCCGCATCGAGAGACGGTAATGCTGATTGTGCACTATAGTCAGATATCAGGAGCTGCTTAGTCTCACTATAGTCTCTCTGACAGCACAGTAAATACTAATTAGGTCAGTAAACAAGGTGCTAGCTGTAGTGGAGATGGCCCTGCACTGATCTGAACAAGCACTAGAGGCTATATGTCCTATGATGGCGTAGTCCAAGAGGAATCGCTGAACAGTAATCTCTCAGTTTTAATCTGTGTCATGAGAAATCATATTTTAATTTTTTTGGGGTTTACAGTCCATCTGGAGAGAAGAAAGTTCTTGATCCGAAGCCACCTCCGGACATGAATGGATATCAGATTCGAGTGTGAGGAGGATTTCACTTCATAAAATCATCCTGCAAAACAAGACCTTAGAATGGTTGGGTTCTGTCCAACAAAAGGTTAGTTCTGGGGAATGGGGCTTTTGTGTTCAGATTTCCAAATAGGTTTGTACTGTGTAAGCAATTTATTTTGGGTATTTTGCATTCAACAAACATGAGGTATACTGTACAGAGCATGGCCGTGTCAATAACTGATTAATGACTAAATGTATGTTCATTTAGTCAATAATTGGGGATATCAAACACTCGTTTTACACCAGGGGATATCAAACACTTGTGTATGCCTGCGGATCAATTCCGCAGACCTACACATTTTTTTCTTCTTTTTTTTCTCAGTGGCGTCTCAACTTACTGTTGAGAGTTAGAATAGTAGAATACACAAGGTGCAATTTCAAAATATGGTTGTGCATCAGCAGTTTTTCTCTTATGTCAGTCACTGACAGTCACTCAATGAACCCATGTCAGCTAAACATTTTTAGATTGGTAAATTAGTCTAGCGGCCAGCTATCTAAACTTGTAGTAATCATGGTTGAATTACCGACCGGGGGCCCCCCATTGATTTTGTTAGTCACTCTCAGATATCATATTAAAAACTGCAAACATTTCTCTGCACCATATAGCAGAATGTGTAGAATTGCAGGAAATTAGCTGTAAAACTACAACAACAAAAAATCCTGACCCCATGGCAAAATTAGTAGAATTGTATGAAATTAGTTATAAAATTGCTAAATCTTCTCTCCGCCCCATGGCATAATGTGTAGAATTGCAGCAAACTTGTTTTAAAACCGCAACATTTTCTCTACGCCCCATGGCAAAAATGTGTTTAATTGCAGGAAATTAACTCTAAAACTTCAATGAACTTCATAAAAGTTGCCCACCCCTGTTTTACACAGACAAATCTATTTAAATTAACAGGCATAACTGGCAGACCTATTCACAAGATCTCTTTGAAAAATAGATGTTGATTAAGTCCCCAGCAACTTCTTTCCAAATAGTGGCATGGGCCATTCAGCAGCCCTGTTGTTCTTGGTTGCTACCAGGCTTTTTGTAAAGCCAGAAGCTTGGTAGTGAAATCATTATTTTATAGTCCATTCTACAATAGGATTGGTTCAGACAGCATTTAAGGAATTCCCGAAGGCTAAACAGGTATGGATCATGTTTTTAAAGATGTGGGGTTTTGTTAATATGCAATGTTACATTTGGCTTATTAAGCTGTGTAAGGTGTAAAAATTTGCAATTGGACATATCACAGAAGAGATCAATGTTGTCAGTTATTAAGAATTGCAATTCTTGTGAGGTTTATGTGCAATCTGTGTCTCCATGTCGTACTTTAAGTGTGTAAATACATTTAATATTATAGCTCTGCTGGACAGTAACCGCTTTTGTAGTGTAGTTTGCAATCCACTTACCTTGTGCCTTTTTATGAACATTTTAAAAGACTGTGATAAAGAAGTGTTACCGGGTGAATCGTTTTTTTCAATTTCACTAGCAAAACATACTGTACCATCTGCTCTATCCCAAATAGCCAGTAAATTGAGCGATCTACACCGTGATTGAATATGGGGTAATTCAGCGTACAGTAGTCTATTCAAACCTTCCAAAGCATGAGAAGTGTGATAGGATTTAGGATAGTAAGAGAAAGTGGTCACTGTGCTCAACAGAATTGTATAAGTTTGTGGTCACTTACAAGACAAAAACCTCACACTCACAAAATGACTGTCAAACACAGTGTGAATGATTATGTTGCAGCTGATTTTTTTTGGGGTCATTATTCTTGAGGAAATATACATTTTGAAGGCAGCAGTTGCTTTTCCATATTGACATGGACTGATATGTTTTTGTTCAGTATAAATAACATTGTTCTTATTATCTTAACACATAGCCTTAGTGTGGTTGTCTAGCTACTTAAAATATTTAAAAATTGTATTCAAGGTGCAAAGAGATTTGTTTACAATATTCTCATCTGCATTTTTATATGGCATTTAGGCCAGAGTTTCTGTAATTTTATACCTGCCTCAATTTTTATTATTACCGAGAAATTGGAGTCCGCACCATTTTTTTATATATTGCCACAGAGCACACTGAAATGTGTTGGTTGGGATTCCTTTAGTCCACTTTCATTTCAATACCATAAACAAAGGTTGTTGTCTTGTGCCAAAAGATTGTAATTTACCTTTTATCATGTTGGAAGACTTTCTATTGATTTAGAAATAAACTCCTCTCACCTCCCTCCCAGTGTATCTGTTGTCGCTATGATTTAGCTCACTCATGACATGGGTCAGATGGCTGAGAGTTTATTAGTGAACTTCATCTACATTAAGCGATCTACAAAATGCAACAGTGGACAAAATGGAGTTAAAATCAATGACGATACAGTATAAATAAACTGGGTGCTAAAGACACGGAGGACACTCTGACAGTTTACATGCCAACCAAGAGTCCAAATTGGGCACAGTGTGCACTCATCTGAAAGACCTCTGCCATACAGAGACAGACAATACAAAGAATAGCCTGGGCTAGAGAGTGACTAACATTTCCTCCTTTAATTGTCTTCAAAGAAACCTTAATACAAATCCCATACTGAGGATCTGTGTACTGGGGGACCATACACTAAGACAATGAACAAAGACATCTGGTTGCAGCTACACTAATTAGAATTTTCTGTATCTTCTCTGTTGCCCTGCTGGTACACTGTGAGACATCATCCTAGCCCATTTTGGGCTCTTAAGACATACGTGACTGGAAATCACAGCGGTTTTGATATTTCCTATTTTTCACTGCAATGTAGTCTTTCTGTTCCTTAGTGCAAATATGAGATGTGATGACACTATGAATACATTTCATCTGAAATATTGTAACCCGAAATCACCTGTGTGGCTTTGTGACACTTTGAAACTGAAACAAACAAGGAGCTGGTATTTGACCAGATTTGTTGAAAACAAATGGTGTAACATTGAGTGATTTAACCTACCTCTTTTCCCATTCATCACATGCTTTTTGGAGAGCTGCCAGTGCTAGCCACCAGCAGAGGTTGTACAAGTCAATTGTACTGTGCTGGCTGTGTCTGCAGTGTACTGACACCCAGGGATCCTGATGCACACAATCAATTAAGTCTAATGGAAACCTGGCTGAATGGATAGTCTACCCGACAGCACTGCAATCGGCTAACAAGTCTTAACTAATGAAACTCTGCTAACCTGACATATTTCATCAAACGAGCACAGAGGACTGCCATGGTTGCTGCTCTCCTGAACAACCAGCCTCTGTTTAACAGGGGGAAATCCAAATTAGGTACTGTTTCATGTTCAGACCGGGGAGATTTTGATAGCTCTCATATACAGTATCACAAGAGTAGCTGGTGACTGTTCTCTTATGAAATGGCTCCTGTTAGTATATGCTATAGCTGAATGCACATAATGTAGGTATGGTATGTGAAATGCAAGTGTTGAAGTCACCGTTTGTTAAGTGGGGGTAGGGTTGGTAATGTTCAGTGGAAATAAGTATTTCAAATGTATGAAGGAACAGAGGGAGACAAAACAGAACTCCCGTCTTAACTTGAAGTAGAGCCCAGTGGTAACATAAACACTAGGTAGTAACGTCCCCTACCAGTTTATGAAATGAAGACAGAAGGAATAGTGGCCTACTTTGAAAAACCTACTGACCCATTTCTCCTCAGTACGTGTGTTTTGTGCCACAGGGGAAATCTCTGTTCATGCAGCACAGTCCAACTCCTGTATAGGTTTCAAGGTAGATACTGGAACTGAAGCCTTACACTCTGAACCCACTGCCTGCCTTTATGCTATCTTACATTTAAAAACTATTTCATTGATTGATTATAATGATACAGAAAATACTTCCCTGGAAGACCTTATAGAGAAAACATCTACTGATTTATTGTAGTTAGGCTAAAGGAAGTGTCAGACCTTGACATTTGTGTCATTCTAGTGAGCTATAACTGGAGGTCTTAGTGTTGACAGGAGTCCGTTAGCTGTTCCTCTAGACCAGGGGTGCCCAAACTCTGTCCTGCCCCCCCCTCCTCCTCATCAAGTTTTTATTATTTGAATCAGCTGTGTAGTGCTAGGGCAAAAACCAAAACGTACACCCAGGGGGAGCCCTAGGACAGAGTTTGGAAAACCCTGGTCAAGACTGCAGTGTACACACACAGAAGCCCCGACAGTGCCCTAGCACGCATAAACGCTCCCTCCCTGCAATCTGAATGAATAATTGATTCATGCCTCAGCCAGCCACACACATCTTCTCCCTGACAGACAGAGTGCCTCAGTGGAGAGAGAGAGATCTTCCATCTCAGTGTGGCACTGCCAACATTCAGGTCACAATCTTAACACCAAAAGATGATGTAGATCATCCTAATTAGACTGCCAAACTATTATTATATTTATTCAATATTTCTACCATTTGAAAAAGAACACTATGACTGGCCCAAAGCCAGAGGATAAGGAAAAAACAACACAAAATAAATAGAAAACAATGAGGTACATTCAATTATTTCAGTTTGTAAATGTTAAGACAAATGTTCCAATTTACTAGTGTAGCAGATTGTGAGCAAACTGAGTAAACAAAATCCAGATTTAAAAAAGTAAAATATCAACTTTTTAAATCTACAAGCTTCTTGCATTCAAATAAACTCCAACTCTAACTGAATTTAACCTTTTTGGTTAGTTTTTTTCTCTCTAAACAATCATTCAGAGGACATCCCATCTCCTCTGGAAATTGGGCTGAGTCATTTTTCTTCAGTTGGGAAACAAGCAGAGTATAAGATGGGACTGAAAACACCCTGTGAGCCCCAGGAACCAAGTAAGTACAATTCTTCACTTTTAAACATGAAATCATGCCATGGGAAAATCATGTAAGGTTTGAACAACATTTTTTAAATGCTTGACCTCTGTCCTCCTGATTCTTCATTGACCACAGACAGCCCAAATCACACAGGGTTTAGGTCCAGCTGGAACCTGGTCAGGAGACTGAGATGGTCCGAGGGGAACATTTCATTGGGTAAACCCTTCATTGTCCAGAGGTCCTCCTCTGATAGGAGGGAGAGACGACCAAGCAGCTTCAGACCTCTGCTCTGCCGTTGACCTCCAGCTGAAACAACATTTCTGATAAGCCATCTCTCAATTCTTCTTTCTCTATACACTTAGTAGACAGGAGGACAATATCAATGGATTTTTATATATTTCCTTTGGATACATGCCCCTTACCTTTCTGATCAGCACCAGAACTGCCACGCCTTGGAGAGTAGAAGATGTAGTCGACCGTAGCTCCAACCTCGGAGTGCAGTGTGGTCACCTCAGCACGGTCTGTTCCAGGTATGAAGTGGCCGTAGGCTGACCGCAGGTTCAGGTTATGGGAGATAGTCTGTCTGAACCTGAGGAAGGACATGGACAATGTTATTACATTTAACATGTATTCAGCACTGTCAGAGAGATACAGTGCTTCAGGAAGTATTCACACCCCTTGACGTTATCCCCATTTTGTTGCGTTACATCCTGAATTACAGCCTGCTGCTACAGGACTCCTATTTATATTACTGCACAATGTCTATTTATTATCACACAATCCATTGCACAATTCCTCGGCACGTGTAAATATCCTACTTCAATTTGTTGAGTGCCTTCTTGTATTACATAAAAAAATCATTACAAAAATATTAATTTTAGTACCGTTTTATTCACTTAATTAATTTCCCATTGTCGAGAGGTGAACCTGCAAGTAAGCATTTTGTTGCACTGTGTACTCCATGTATATCAATGTGTATATGACAAATAAACAAACTTGAACATGAAATTTGGCACTTTGAAAAGGAACATAAAAGCTGACCTTGTTGCATAAGGATGCTTGTCATCAGGATCTATAGGAAATAAGTGAAAGAGTAACATACAGGAGTCATTATTAACTGTTCTCTACATAACTGTGCTCTGGGGTCTCACCTGCCGTGGGGACAGTTGGAATTAAGTGTTTTAGTAGTAGTGTGTTTTAGTGTGTGTTACCAGGTGTGTTGTCAGTGACCCCTGGGATGAGCTCCAGGTCCTGTGGCCGGACACAGGCAGCCTCACAGAAACGCAGCCGATGGAGGAAGTCATGGTTGTACTGCAGGTTCCCTACACATGAAGAACAAATATAGAGTGACCAGTCAGACCATCACACAACACTTAAATGGAGTAACTGTCTGAGTGAGAAGAGAAATCGACCCATTGTCATAATGGGAGCTTGACCAACAATCCACCCTGACATGGTCCAAACAGAAAGACTGACACATACATACCTGGTTCTGGACTCTGGGTTGACGTGACTTGACTCTTTGGCTCATTTACAGTTGTGTACTGGCAGTTGTCATCGATGCCCACGGTGCTTGGCCAAAGGGGAGCGAATACCCTCCTATGATGGATGTTGTAGGACAGGTCCTCTTGACCTGATATCTGCCACACATAGGAAACAAAACACAGAACTCATTGGCCAAGGTAACATACTGAACACCAACTCACCATTGAATTATTAAGTAGCTTAAAATTGACAACAACAAGCCATTTTCCATAGGAGTAGTGTGCTCACCATCCAGGCAGGTAAACCATGATAGTAAAGCTGTCTTGTAGTGATCAGTTGGTACAGTGGCATGTTGGGCAGAGCATTGAAGTCCCCACATAGAACAACATTGCAGTGCTCTCCCTTCACCTTGCAGTTCCTCACGATGCAGTCGATCTCTGCCAGTAGTATGGCAAGCTGGGTCAGCTTCACGTCGCCCCTCCTGGTGTTGAACAGGAGGTGGGTGGTTGCCACACAGAGGGGCGGGCCCTTGGCAGTGACTTCTGACCCCTGTGTGATAATTGGCTGGAGCAGCAGGACAATGCCCACGTTGTCTCGGTCCAGCAGCTCACACTCTGGCCTGTAGAACTCCAGCAGACTCTCTGACACCTGGGAGAAACGGTCGCCGCGGTAACAAACCACACAGCCGTCAGTCTTGGTGCCGGTGCGCCGCTTGTAAACACAGGTGTAGCCTTGAGGATTGAACCACAAAATTACAAATATTGATATACAAACAGCTATTACATGTCTGTTACCGACTGTAGCTGACATACTATTTTGCAATGGTCTTGATTGTGCAATAAACAGATACTGAGGGCCTTGGACCTACCCATGTCATGAAGGACAGGATGGAGTTGCTCTGTAAAGTGGTTCTCCTGGACCTCTTGCAGACACAGGATCTACACATGGGAAAAACATACAGCTCAATTCACAAAGAGACTCCGATGATAATGGTTCAGCAATACAGTGTCAATAGATGTTACTGTATTAGGTTGGTAAGGTCAGACTCGCATCTGGTTCCCATTTCTTGAACTCCTGTGTGAGATTGGGGAAGCGGTAGTCCCAGCTCAACACCTCTAGAGGGCAGTGTGTGTACAGCTCCTGGTTGGCCTCCAGCAGGTCCTGGGCCAGGATGTTGTAGGACATCACAGTGAAGTCAAACAGGGGCCGTGGCTCTGAGGGGGTACTCTGGGGAGGCTCTGGCGCTGTGTGGGTCTCACTCAGTTCCTCCCACATCCTCCACACCACTAAAGGGGAAGCAGAGATGTCTAAGCAAACAGTAACACTGAAATTCTGATGTTGATGTGGGTTACATTTACATTTTTTTACATTTACGTCATTTAGCAGACACTCTTATCCAGAGCGACTTACAGTTAGTGAGTGCATACATTATTTGTATTTATTTTTCATACTGGCCCCCCATGGGAATCGAACCCACAACCCTGGCGTTGCAAACGCCATGCTCTACCAACCTCCCCTACCCTGGACGACGCTGGGCCAATTGAGCGCCGCCCCATGGGTCTCCCGGTCGTGGCCAGCTACGACAGAGCCTGGATTCGAACCAGGATCTCTAGTGGCACAGCTAGCACTGCGATGCAGTGCCTTAGACCACTGCACCACTCGGGAGACAAACATTCACAAACATTCAATCAAAAACCTGTACTTAATGTTACAGATATCATGCAAATAGCTCACCTTCGAAGGCCCCTCTCTCCAGCGAATGTGGGTAGTAGCTCATGCCTGGGAATACTCTGGAAGGGCAGAACAACACCTCTTCCAGGCCAGGGCCGATGTAGAAATGCCAGCCCTTGGGTGGGGGCTGAGCCCTACTCTTCCATGGCTGTGTCTGGGCCTCTGCCTCATAGAGAAGGGAGACCAGGTCCAGCCCAACATCCCATATCTCAGCAGGCACTTCACCAGTGCTTGCATGTGGGTCTACAAAAGAGCTCAAGTCTAGCCCTGCTGCAGTCTGGCTCTCCCCCTTTGGTTTTTGCACCTGGGCCATGGTTCCTGACTCTCCCATGCTCATCTTTTCCACTATCTGTTCTAACAGGACATGGGCCATCGCTCTATCTTCTGTTGTCCTGCTGTCCTTGACTGATGGATTCTGTACTTCAGATGTCTCTGTTGTTAGCTCCAGTGCTGGGTTACTGTTCTCAGACTCCTCTGTGGGGGAACAGGGAGCCTCATGCACGCCATCATCCCTCTTGAGCTTCTCTGAGTGGAGGATAGTCTGCTCCTGGTCCTGCTGCTGGGGAGATTCCACTCTGACCCTGTCCTCCTCCACTCCGTCTCTCCCCTCTGCCTCCTTCTTTCCTTCTCTCACCTCTTCCTTCACTCCCCCAGGCAGCCCACCCTCCAGAGTTACTAATACAGGCTCTTCCCTGGCTGTCTCTGGTTCAGAACCCATCACCTCTTTCACAGTGCTTTTCTTCATCTCTGCCTCTTTACTCTTCTCCTTTTCTAGTGCACCGTTCTCCTTCAACCATTCCCCAGTCACTCTCCCGGGATCCTTCTTGGCCTTTGGGGGGCCGCTGCCTGTACTGAGCCACAGATCCAGCAGGGCTGCCTGCGTTTTAGTAAACCTTCTGGAAGGGACTTCACCATCCCACACCTCCTTGCCATTAATGGACACAGAGGGAGACTTTTTCAAGGGTTCTGTGTTAAAGAAATGGTGCAATAATTTACATATGTGTTCAAACACTAGCTTATTATTACTGCATGCAAATATTTTAAGCAATCATATAATTACTCCTCATAAAATCAAACAAACAGCTGTCAGTCACTGCACACGCCACAACAACATTTGCACGTGGTACTCATGACGTCACGTCACACAGTAAATGTAGAATCCTTTGCTCCTAGCTAAAATGTCAATGCCATGTGTTTGCTATTTAGGTTATGTTAAAGCTCAAATGGCATGCGGTAGCTAAAGCAGACCTGTTTAGCAACTGATAAGCCTTTAGTTAAACCATCAATACAAAATTTGACTCCAACAAAATATATGCTACGAGACGTGTAGCTAGTTAGAGCAAGCTATTTGGCCATTCAACTTGAGGCACCCAAACTAGCCAGCACGTTCGGCGAAAAATATACAGACAATAAAACAAAAAGCAAAGTATCAAATGTTTGTATGTGGTTTACCTGTGACGCAGTTTATAAGCCGTGTTAACGGGTAAAGGCAGTAAAATATCAGGCTCCCAATCATGCTCTGCTCCAATGATTGGGCGGACCCGGTCTATGGCCCGTGACATGAACGGGAGGAGCGCCCTTCTCAAATCGAACAATAATCTGCGCCACGCGGTCATGTTGTCAATTTTATATTTTTTTTTTTTTTTTCCATGTTGTCAACAAAGCATGGTGTATTGTCCAGAAACATCCATCTATTTTACATAAAATATGTGTTTGCATTTTCTAACTAGTTTTCAATGGAAAGGCAGACTAAGCGTTTTTATCAAAAGCAATCACTTTTGAAAAAACTAAGAATCCTACTCATTACTCCATGACTGGAACAAATTGCAAAAATCTCTGAAGCTGGAGACTCTTATCTCCCTCACTAACTTTAAGCATCAGTTGTCAGAGCACCTTACCGATCACTGCACCTTTACACAGCCCATCTGAAATTAGCCCACCCAACTACCTCATCCCTATATTGTTATTTATTTTGCTCATTTGCACCCCAGTATCTCTATTTGCACATCATCTCTTGCACATCTATCATTCCAGTGTTAATACTAATTGTAATTATTTTGCACTATAGCCTATGTATTGCCTTACCTCCATAACTTGCTACATTTGCACACACTGTATATATATTTTCTGTTGTATTTTTGACTTTAATATGTAACTCTGTGTTGTTGTTTTTATCGCACTGCTTTGCTTTATCTTGGCCAGGTCGCAGTTGTAAATGAGAACTTGTTCTCAACTGGCTTACCTGGTTAAATAAAGGTGAAATAAAAATAAAAAAATAAAAAAATGTGCTTAATTATATGTCACTTTTGTTTTGAGCCGAGTTAGCGTGGGCATTTGCCCCATTCGAAACAACTGGGAACTCGGAAACCTCTGACTTAAATGTGTTCACGACAACTGGGAACTCGGGAAAAAACTGAGCTCCGACTGGGAACATCGTTTTGAATGGTCATCGGAATTCCAAATCGGAAACTCTTTAGAACCAGTGACGTCATGATTTGACCTTGTTTTTTCCCCGAGTTCCCAGTTCCTCACGGCAGCCCGGTTCCAAAACAAACGCAACTTTCACCCGGGCCAGATTAATCGAATCCTCTCACTGCTCTGCTCAGATTAATTATGTATGATTAATTGTCATCATTAGAGGTGAAAAAGACTACCGCGGAGATGTACCTGCAGGCCTGCAAGCTGGTCGGGGTGGTTCCTGTGTCTTACTTCCTCCAGAATCTGGGCACCTCCACCATGAGCCTCAACCACCACGGCGTGAGACCCCTGGGGGGAGGCGCTTGCCATTGCCCTGGTGATAAGTCTGGTGGACGTCTATTGACACATTATCAACTTCAAGAAACGCTCATCATAGATTCCAATGTTTCTTCTCAGACTGACAGGCACGTCACCAACCTGGAGCTGGTAGACAACTACCTGCTGGCTGACTCGGCCAGATACCCTGTGGTGTTGTTGAAGGTACATTTCACCATTCAGCATCTGGTAAATTTGTATGAGCTCTTTGTAAGAAGGTACAGTAAATGTATCTGGTACCATCAACATCTCTAAAACATATTAATTCAGAAGTGGGATAAGTATGATGTGCTATGTGTCCCACAATCCGCCACAAGAGGGCATTAGAGTCGTGCAGGCCATGCAGTACTTGAAGTTTAGAGCTGTATTAAAATGCCCACTGTTTGTCAAGTAGTAGAGTGTGTCCAACAGTCACTGAATGCATTGCACGGAGCTGAGTGCATATATTTTTTTTTGCTTGACTACATTTCCATCAAATCCAGCAAACTTTCAGGTAGTACACACAGATTTGAAAATGAAAACAAAAAACTCTGTTAGTTAGACACACTGAACACAAATATAAACGCAACATGTAAAGTGTTGGTCCCATGTTTCATGAGCTGAAATAAAAGATCCCAGAAATGTTCCATATGCACAAAAAGCTTCTTTCTCTCAAATTTTGTGCACAAATTTGTTTACTTCCCTGTTAGTTATTTATCCTTTGCCAAGAAAATCCATCCACCTGACAGGTGTGGCATATCATTAAATTGATTAAACAGCATGATCATTACACAGGTGCACATTGTGCTGGGGACAATAAAAGGCCACTCTAAAATGTGCAGTTTTGTCACAAACACAATGCCACAGATGTCTGAAGTTTTGAGGGAGCGTGTAATTGGCATGCTGACTGCAAGAATGTCCACTAGAGCTGTTGTCAGATAATTGAACGTTAATTTCTCTACCATAAACTCCCTCCAACGTAGTTTTAGAGAATTTGGCAGTACGTCCAACCGGCCTCACAACCGCAGACCACGTGTAACGACGCCAGCCCAGGACCTCCACATCCGACTTCTTCACCTGCGGGATCGTCTGAGACCAACCACCCTGACAGCTGATGAAACTGAGGAGTATTTCTGTCTGTAATAAAGCCCTTTTGTGGGGAAAAACTAATTCTGATTGGCCAGTGGATGGGCCTATGCCCTTCCAGGCCCACTCATGGCTGTGCCCCTGCCCAGTCATGAGAAATCCATAGATTAGGGCCTAATGAAATTATCTCAATTGACTGATTTCCTTAAATGAACTGTAACTCAGTAAAATCGTTGAAATTGTTGCATGTTGCGTTTATATTTTTGTTCAGTATATATTATATTTCTCTACTTTATTTGTGATTCTTTTTTTTAACAATTTCAACAACAGGGAATGGATTCATAGAGGACGATGCTAAAAGTTTTGCAGATGCACTGGCAGTAAGTGAATAGAAATTACATACAAAATGCATGCATGTTGATGATATTACTGTCATTGGAGTCTATAGCTAGCTCCTTGCTATATCTCTCCCTTTAGAACAACTACAGAGTAAAAGAGCTGGACTTGAGCCACAGTCAGTTCTGTGGGAGAGGTGGGGAGCATCTGGGCCAGATGTTAGGTTGGACCATTTCACTTTATGTCTGCATCTCACATCGTTACAGTTGAGCAGTCTCATGGAGTATACAGAGTCTAATGGAGTCATTAGGGTTACAATCATGCACAATGTGAGTGTTTAGCGTTTTGCATCTTCTGCCACTGACCTTGTAATCGTAGAGCAAACGATGAAGGTCTGGCAGTACTAGACTTGAGCTGGAACCATCTGCAAATGAAAGGAGTTGTGGCTTTCTGTGCCGGCCTCAAGGTTTGGATAAACATACTCAACCCAATTCCCACAAAGTGTAATTCTTTGTTAAAAGAAAATAGTAAAACAGTATGTGATCAAGATATCTACTCTTCACAAAGGTGAATGTGACCCTGAAACACCTAGACCTGTCCTGGAATATCTTTGGGAATGAGGGGGCCTTGACTTTAGGAGAGGCACTGAAATTCAACAACACTGGTATACCTAGACCTCAACAACAACCACATCACCAACGAGAGGGTGGGCATGCAGTGCAAAGGGCTGGAGGCCAACGACACTCTCAGAGTGCTGATGGTAGGTGCTTGATTGACAGAGAAACTAGGGTGACTTTAAATGTTTTGTGTCCCTTCAGCTGGCTTATAACTCTCTGACAGTGGAGGGGGCACTGGCTCTTGTCACTGTGGTCAAGAAAACACCCAAAACTGCTCTGGAGGAGATCAACATATGTGAGCATTGTTGTTCTCTACTTGATGTACACTAGAAGTGTTTTGGTCCGTGTGTTATAACTTTACCATGGTTTGGAGTGTTAACTGAGTCATTTGTGTTTGTGAGTAGAATCCAGTCTAGCGGTGCAGTATGGAGGGGTCGGAGGCTTTATCGCTAAGAAATCACCCAAATTCCTTGACCCAATGATAGTCATTCAGGTACACTGACTGGTCAAATCATTTTTGTCAAATGTGTATTCAGATGTAGTAGTCACAAGTGATTGTAAATCATAACTGAATAGAGAGTATTTTTAAAATTATGCAAATTCCACTCACTAGGACCTAGTTATCAATGTTTTTCAAACCAGTGCAAGATGTGAAATAGGGAGGATTATGTAAAGGAAAAAACCTCTCTGCTCTACTCTTTTCTTTGAAGGATAATCTGGATCAATGAAAGCTGCACCTTTGGGACTTATTTCGGAACATTGATAAAGATGGGACAATGCGAGTGCCTGTGGCAGACTTCAGGAAGGCTGTGCACCTCTCAAACTTATTGCTCATCCCATAGTCTCTGACATTTGCAGGGTCTGTTGAGCTAATGCATTTCCAATGCTCCAAGATACCATGGAATACCCTCACTTGCATGTACTCATATGAGTGGTTTCTGTAATGTTATTCTCATACTGAGTGTACAAAACATTAGGAACACCTTCAGTTTGTAGGGGCATGGACTCTACAAGGTGTTGAAAGCGTTCCACAGGGATGCTGGCCCATGTTGACTCCAAAGTTTCCCACAGTTGTGTCAAGTTGGCTGGATGTCCTTTGGGTGATGGACCATTTTTGATACACACGGGAAACTGTTGAGCGTGAAAAACCCAGTAGCGTTGCAGTTCTTGACACAAATTGGTGCACCTGGCACCTACTACCATACCCCGTTCAAAGGCACTTCAATCTTTTGTCTTGCCCATTCACCCTCTGAATGGCACACATACACTTTTTAAAATTGTCTCAATCTTTAAAAATCATTCTTTAACCTGTCTCCTCCCCCTTCATCTACACTGATTGAAGTGGATATAACAGGTGACATCAATTAGGGATCATAGCTTTCACCTGGATTCACCTGGTCAGTCTATGTCATTGAAAGTTCCTAATATTTTGTAGACTCAGTGTAAGATGGAATTCAGTGGCCAGCTCATTGCCTTTATTTGTTAACTCTTATGTCTTATGTAACCATTACAGCAATCAGTCATCCCCTTGGATCAATACCAGATTGAGGTGTTGATTCAGAGACTGGATCGTGAAAGGACAGGGATGGTTGATTACAGGTGGGCTTTTCTCATACAGTACACACTGTCAGACTGTTATGAGTGTGTAAAGAAAACACCACACATCATCAATAACCTGAGAACTGAAAATAAAATTGTCATGAACTGTCCACACATTTGTTTGTCCTAAAAAAAAAACTCAACATGAGCAGACGTTTATGGTCAGAGTGTTGAAGTACGGCAAATGTATCTATTTATAAAAGTATTGAGAAACTTTTGTTATTGACCAAATACTTATTTTCCACCATAATTTGCAAATAAATTCATTAAAAATCCTACAATGTGATTTTCTGGAAAAAAAATTCTCAATTTGTCTGTCGTAGTTGACGTGTACCTATGATGAAAATTACAGGCCTCTCTCATCTTTTTAAGTGGGAGAACTTGCACAATTGGTGGCTGACTAAATACTTTTTTCCCCCACTGTACATAGCCACATTTCATGCCAACTTTATTCTCACCCAGCTAAATTAGATGGGATGATGATCTTTAAATGCATGTGCCTTAGCTCAATAGTGTGACCTCTGTTATTTAAGATATACAGTATCATTTAGGGCCAGGGTTGGCAAAGATCCTGCTCAGACCATAGCTCTTTTCATAATGTCTGGGAAAGTTCCCAGGTGTAGATGCACACCCATGAATCATCTGGGAAAATTCTAATACCACATCATTATATGACATACCTGCACTAAACATATCCTAACAGTTAGAATATGTTTGTCAAAGATAGCTGACGTCTCACAGTTGTAAAAAGGAGTCTAGATACTATGTGACATGTATCTTTAATAGTGACGGTGTGGGTGTGAAGAACACAGATGCTGATTTTCTCGGAGATATCACAGGCTTTATAAGTCTGCGGACCAACAAGTCTGAATCATAACCATCTCGACTACTCCAGAATGATTTCCACTCTGTTTGTCTTAGCTCTCCTGAGAACCACCTTGGCCTTTGGGGTATGTGTGATGTGATTCTGGTGCATTTCTCTCATTAAACTAACTGATGTCTATAGAAGTGACTTGTTTATTCGCCTTGTTCTCAGCCTGTAGGCCTGTGGAGTGAGAGGAACGGGACGGAGGATGGAGGGGGGAAGTGCTCCTGTGAGGCCTTCCTGCCTGGCTCTACCTTCCCAGTGGGAGAGCTGGTCCTCCTGGAAGAGACAGCTGTGCAGATCAACCACAAGCTGGAGATGGAAATGAACAAGGTACACCAGTATGGAGTCACATAGATGGTTACAATAGCCTATCACTCTCTGACGCACTATATACCATACATCCTATCATCAAATCCAATTTTATTTGTCACATGCGCTGAATACAACAGGTAGACCTTACCGTGAAATGCTTACTTATGAGCCCTTTCCCAACAATGCATAGTTAAAAAGTAAGAAACATTTGCAAAAAAGGAAATGGTAACACAATAAAATAACAATAACGAGATTATATACAAGGAGTACCATCATACAAATATAGCTAAGCTATAAAGATTCTACAATAAGCAATAGTTCTGATGACCTACTATTTTCTTAACAGTAGTTCAGTTTGCCTATTATAATGTGGCTTAAGGTAATTTGCATATAAAATATCCCTCCCCTCCAGTTTGAGACATATGAGAGCAAGCTGACAGTGTATGCAGAGAGGATAGTGAACCTGACAGTGCTGGTGGAGATGATGGAGAAGAACCCTGATGCGTACAGTGAGGCCTACATGCAGGATGTGAAGGTGCAGATCAAACAGGTGGAGGCTCTGGTACAGGAGCTCCTGGGCTCCGTACAGACCTCCACTACCGTCTTTGAGTCTCTGCACCAGCAGGTAACTACCCAAGAACTGTACCTAACAACTCATCTGGCCACGATACAGCTATAAACAATGACCATGTCTACTTCAGACATGTATCTTTTGTAGTACTTAAACTTCTGGTCTTATGGATGTTTATCTGTGTACCCTCAGATCTCCTCCATGGTGGTGGTCGTGACCAAGCTGGAGAGATACGATAAGAACCTGGTGTTGGTGACCCGTCGTGAGTACATCAACATACAGATCAAACTGGAGGAGTGTGAGAGGCGCCACAATGAGATCTTCAACCCCAACATCGGTAAGTCTAAGACTACTTTTATGGTGATACACATCCGCCTCATGCCAAAACATCTGTAGACCATTGCATCTTTGATGTCACTGACTTCACCCTCTTTTCTCAGGGTCCTGTGAGCACGGAGGTATAACCAGAGTCAGCAAGCCCATCGTCAATCAACTGAATGCCCACTTGAATGCTGGGTACAAATGGGGAGGCTGGGGGAAAGATTCTAAGCCTGTGCATGGTTCTGAATCTCAATACTGGTACTCTGGGTATAGTGGTGCCTCAATTGTTGACATTAGATTTTACAGTAGCTACAAAAATCTTATTTTGAGAACTCCATTTAAACACCAAAGCTTGACAAGTAGCTGGTATGGAACTGGTAACAATTTCATTGTACGTGATAACACCCTGTATTATCAATTGAACAACCCATTTAGCATGGCCAAACTGAATTTTACTACAATGAAATATGAGTACAGGGTGATTGCAAAGGCTAGCACCAGATTCTCGTACGGTCACTCACCCAATCAGAACCTAGACTTCGCTGCTGATGAGAATGGGCTGTGGGTGACCTATGCCACAGAGGAATCCAAGGGTAAAATGGTAATTGCTAAAATCCATGAGCCATCATTTGGTATAGAGGAGTTGTGGGAAACCAGTGTGTACAAACCATCTGTGAGCAATGCTTTCATGGTGTGTGGGGTTTTCTATGCTGTCAGAACAGTTGACATTCACTATGAGGAGATATTTTATACTTATGACACCAAGACAAAACAAGAGAGCTACATTACTATTCCATTTGAGCGGTTCCAGGACAAGTATGTCAACCTGGACTACAACCCCACTGATCAGAAACTCTACATGTACAATGATGGCTACTATGTTAACTATCATCTTTGGTTTGACAACCAGGCCACTGTAAACACAACACATCCCTTGGTCAGATAAAAGGCCTATTGTGGCATCTCTCATATTGAAACGCGTTATACTCAAATCAGATTTCATCTCTTTTGTAGTTGCTCTGATTATGTAGAGTACCCTGTTTCATGCTCAACTTGTTGATTTTAAATAAATCTCTGATGAATCATTATCTTTGTGTTCAAGTGTTTACTTTTGATATTACATCTGAAATAATACTGTCTTCATTATATTCAAGTATTATGATTCCTTCAGTCTTCAGTCTAAATCAACATCTGTATAATGAGGTGTATATTGGACAGAGTGAGCCAAATGCAGGTCAGTTGTGGCTAATAAGCATGATACAGTGTATTTCATATAAAATACTTTAAATGTGTCCCTTATGCTGATAACCTATTGGGTGCCAAACATGAAGTCAGATGCCAATACATTGTCTGGCTCTAGACTGTCTTGTTCATCTTCATGCAGGCCTACTGTAGGTATTAGGCAGTCTCACTCACCAACATCACAGAGGGGTTTTGTCGTACTGTTTCAGGGGATAATCTCTCTCAATATGCAGCACATTGTTAGGAATTAATTAACAATAACACCCTTCATTTCTGAGTATACTTAGTCTGCTCATTATTGATATCTAACCATATAGAAAATAAAACTTGTACAATATGATGTGAAATGGGAAGGCTACTGCAAAGTCTTGAAAGAACAACATTTGTCTTTGTTCCTTGTCTTATCTAAAAAATACTATGGTAAAACCATGTTGAACATAGACCCAATCCTCTTTTGGCCTCTTTGGCCATTTATTTTGTTAGCAATACAGTATGGATTGAAACTATGGAAAGTGGCTTGGGTGTTAACTATTTAAATGTGGTTCATGTACAGGGGCTGGATTCAGTCTGTATCGCCGAAGCATTGCGGATGATCCGCATTCCGATTGAGCCGACATATGCAGCGTTTACCGTGAATGCATTCTCTGCGACAGCAGAAACATTGCCTTTATTAATTGTCAATCACATTATAACGCGGATCTTCAGCCCCTATACTTCTTACCAACATAACAATCTAATGTCCCATGTGAAGAAATAAAGTAGCATAATACTTGTGAATTGTGTGCTGGAACTTGCTAGGCTATAGAATTGGAATAAGGATGAAAAAACGTTATTATACTATGCTTATCTCAACATGTACAGTCGTGGTCAAATGTTTTGAGAATGACACAAATATTAATTTTCACAAAGTCTGCTGCCTCAGTTTTTATGATGGCAATTTGCGTATACTCCAGAATGTTATGAAGAGTGATCAGATTAATTGCAATTAATTGCAAAGTCCCTCTTTGCCATGAAAATGAACTTAATCCCCAAAAACATTTCCACTGCATTTCAGCCCTGCCACAAAAGGACCAGCTGACATCATGTCAGTGATTCTCTCGTTAACACAGGTGAGAGTGTTGACGAGGACAAGGATGGAGATCACTCTGTCATGCTGATAGAGTTAGAATAACAGACTGGAAGCTTTAAAAGGAGGGTGGTGCTTGAAATCATTGTTCTTCCTCTGTTAACCATGGTTACCTGCAAGGAAACGTGTGCCGTCATCATTGCTTGGCACAAAAAGGGCTTCACAGGCAAGGATATTGCTGCTAGTAAGATTGCACCTAAATCAACCATTTATCGGATCATCAAGAACTTCAAGGAGAGAAGTTCAATTGTTGTGAAGAAGGCTTCAGGGCTCCCAAGAAAGTCCAGCAAGCGCCAGGACCGTCTCCTAAAGTTGATTCAGCTGCGGGATCGGGGCACCACCAGTGCAGAGCTTGCTCAGGAATGGCAGCAGGCAGGTGTGAGTGCAACTGCACGCACAGTGAGGCGAAGACTTTTGGAGGATGGCCTGGTGTCAAGAAGGGCAGCGAGGAAGCCACTTCTCTCCAGGAAAAACATCAGGGACAGACTGATATTCTGCAAAAGGTACAGGGATTGGACTGCTGAGGACTGGGGTAAAGTCATTTTCTCTGATGAATCCCCTTTGTTGTTTGGGGCATCCGGAAAAAAGCTTGTCCGGAGAAGACAAGGTGAGCGCTACCATCCGTCCTGTGTCATGCCAACAGTAAAGCATCCTGAGACCATTCATGTGTGGGGTTGCTTCTCAGCCAAGGGAGTGGGCTCACTCACAATTTTGCCTAAGAACACAGCCATGAATAAAGAATGGTACCAACACATCCTCCGAGAGCAACTTCTCCCAACCATCCAAGAACAGTTTGGTGACGACCAATGCCTTTTCCAGCATGATGGAGCACCTTGCCATAAGGCAAAAGTGATAACTAAGTGGCTCGGGGAACAAAACATCGACATTTTGGGTCCATGGTCAGGAAACTCCCCAGACCTTAATCCCATTGAGAACTTGTGGTTGATCCTCAAGAGGCGGGTGGACAAACAAAACCCCACAAATTCTGACAAACTCCAAGCATTGATTATGCAAGAATGGGCTCCCATCAGTCAGGATGTGGCCCAGAAGTTAATTGACAGCATGCCAGGGCGGATTGCAGAGGTCTTGAAAAAGAAGGGTCAACACTGCAAATATTGACTCTTTGCATAAACTTAATGTAATTGTCAATAAAAGCCTTTGACACTTATGGAATGCTTGTAATTATACTTCAGTATACCATAGTAACATCTGACAAAAATATCTAAAAATACTGAAGCAGCAAACTTTGTGAAGACCAATACTTGTGTCATTCTCAAAACCTTTGACCACAACTGTAATATCCTGCCACGTTGTTGATGACTGATAGTAAGATCCTGTTATGTAGTTGATAATGTCAGGTGCCATCTACAGTATGCCGTCAATAACATGTCTTCATAACTGAAAAACTGTCCATATGGCCAGTTTCTCATGCACTCCATGTCCACATCATTGTGATCAATAAAATGATGAGACAGATTTCACATAATTGTACTTGAGTATTTTATTACAAGCAAACAAGGATGTCTGCATATAATGTCACAAGAATTGAAGGTCTCTTATGCAACAGCAGTAATTATGGGAAGAAGCAAGATGTTTCTGATAAGCTGATAGGAGGGTCTTTAAAAACCTAGAACAGAAAGACAAGGAGCCACATCAGAACAACACTGGATACAAGATGGTTCCATTTCTTATGTTCCTGCCTCTCATTTGCCCTGCAGTGGCTTGGCTGGTAAGGGACTCTCATTTTCTCCTTCCACTAAAACTTGACAGCTAGAGACACTTCCAAAAAGAGTGCTAGTTTACTACTTGTGTGAGCTACCACTGTGAAGTTCAGTCTGAACTTGTATTTTCCCCCAGCCAATGGAGGACTGGGACTCTGGCAATGTGACTGCATCTGTAGGTGAGTCGGGGCAATGCCTTTGTCATGTGTTTCTACCTGACACCACCTTCCCTGCCGACCGTGTTGAACACATGCAGCAAGTCACCAAGGATCTAATGCTGGAAGTGGGAATCCAGATAAATAAGGTACTATTGTATTGTAATGAACACCATGAGGTGTGAACCCCTTGAACAGGATTGAATCCATATTGCATTTACACACCAGGTTTTAGAGTGATGTTAACAGTAGCCTACTCCAGTATATGGAACAAGTCTTGTAAACCTTGGAGGAGATGCATGTGTATATTTAACTGAGACCTCATTCACAGTATACCCTACTAGATATCTTACACCGAGACTACTACCTGTGTCTCTCTTGCAGCTGGACAGTTACAAGGGCAGGCTTGTGATCTTTTTGGCTGAGTTAAGCAACCTGACTATCCGAGTGGAGATTGTGGAGAGCGGCCCTGAGAAGTACATCCGACTGGATTTCGAGCTTCTCAGGATCGAGCTGAGAGAGTTCGAATTGTTGGTGACACAGCTGAAGGATTCCCTCAACTCCTCCTCACCTATGTTCGACAGCCTGTACACTGAGGTAAATGGGTGATAGGTAGACAGATATAGCAGAATGACTATTAATGACTGGCAGTGGCATGATAATTAAGTGACAGGTAATATCATGCGGAAGCAAGAGGAATGTTGCTGTATGGAACAAATGACCTATTTGTCCTTTGTACACATGCATCCATAGATTCGCAACATGAGCCTGATTGTAAACCAGCTGGAGAGCTATGACAAGAGTAACCTGGAGGTGATCCGTATTGAGTTTGGAAAACTGCAGAAGAAGCTGGAGGAGTGCCAGAAGAACCAAGAGGAGGGCATAAACCCAGATATTGGTAAGGAGCCTCTGTGATAGTAGCATTGTTAACATATTGTATCATTAGATCAAAAGCAGTAGTTTGTGGATTTGTTTGTCTTATATATTATTAATAGCTATTTATGTTTTCCCCCAGGCTCCTGCAACCATAAAGGCATTGCCAGTGTAGGGAAGCCAGTGGTCAGCCAACTGAATGCGAACTTGAATGCGGGCTACAGATTTGGGGGGTGGGGGAAAGACTCAAAACCCAATCGTGGCTTCGAATCAATGTATTGGTACGGTGCCTATAGCAGTGCCTCAGTGCATGACTTTTATCTTTACTCCGACTATCAAAATCTGGTTTTAAGGAATTCATTTAAACGACATAACTTGCCAGATGGATGGCAGGGTACCGGCAACAATTACATTGTTCATGGTAACACCCTGTATTATCAGAAAAACAGCCCATTCAGCATGGCTAAACTGAATATGACCACATCCAAATATGACTACAGAGTAATTGAAAAGGCCAGTGCAACATTCTCATACAGTTACTCAGCCAATCAGAACATGGACTTCTCAGGCGATGAGAATGGGCTATGGGTAACCTATGCCACCGCTGAATCCAAGGGTAAAATGGTCATTGCCAAAGTAAACGAGGTTGAATTTGGTATAGAGGAGCTGTGGAATACCAATGTATACAAAGCATTGGTAGGCAATGCCTTCATGGTGTGTGGTGTTCTCTATGCTACCAGACCAATAGATGTTCACACAGAGGAGATCTTCTACTCTTATGACACCAAAACAGAGCAGGAGAACTACCTCAGCATTCCATTTGAGAAGTTCCAGGATGAATATATAAACCTGCACTACAACCCTATTGATCAGAAACTCTACATGTACAACAAGGGCTACTATGTGTCTTATAGTGTCAAGTTTAACAAAGACTAGAGCCTCCCTCTGGTCTATTGTATCGTGACTGATGCGACTGATATGACGCTCTGACAGCATGGGGCATTGACTGAATAAATACTCATTACATTGTCTGATGTATTGACTTGCATTCAAAACTCATGTCCCTTGAATTTCTGAAATAAAATGAAACTGAAGCATTGAAATAATTGTCTGTGTTCTATTTCGGTTCATTTTCAGTTGGATTGAAAATGTAAATGTTTGTTATTGCCATAATTACTAAAATACCCAGCCACTGTGTCAGATTCGATCCCATTACCTAAGGCAGTCCAATGAGAAAGAGTATAAGGATGCAATATCCCACCCCTTATTTTTCAGTAGAATTTGAGTCACCCTGTATAACTAGTACCTCAATATGACTCATCCCCAGTATGATATCAGACCCTCTCCCACCCTAGTTTTGGGCTGATGGGCTGGGCTGTGGTTTACAAAATAAAAAAATAAAAAACTCTCTCACACCCTCACCTCTCATTTCCCCTCCCCCTCCCATCTCTCCTCATTGGGCTCAGGCTGGGGCTTCCTCCTTGCTCCTCTGTAAGCAAGCCCTCCTGGGGTTGTTCTTTGTGCTCCAGTGAGAGTCTGGCTCCTGTAACTCAGGACCAAATCAGAGCAGATTACACTAACCAGGCAGGGTGAGCCCACATAGCATCCATCCACTGCATATACAACAATGAACCATGCACATTGTTTTATTCTTATGGTTTAATGTCACTGTTGTACAAATCCATTGACTCATTCAAATGTGGATACAACATTATACTGTAGCATACTGTAATATATTGCAAAATCTATCTGAAATAGAAAAAAGGTCTGGAGACACAGCAAGACAAAAACAGCACTGTCTCTTTAAATCTTGCATCTGTCAGGATGAGGGGGGAAATGAAGGCCTTGTCAGGGTGCACCGGATTAGACAACACGGGTGTCCTCGTGGCTAATGGTACCACTGTACATCATCGCAAGCCAATACGCAGCCTCACTGAGCTCTCTCCTCCTTTTCTGTGCAGAGAGGGAGGCTGCTGAGGACGAAGGAAGGCTGCTGCTGGGGCAGTGGGTCTAGGCATGCTGATCACATCAGGTAGGATATATGTGTGCATGTACTGTCTGTCGTGTGGCAACCATGATGTGTGTATGATACAAGCATGTCTATCCATTCCAGACAAACAAATGGGATTATTCCATTGTGAATCTTGTGTTATCTGGCTTGTCTCTACGTGTACATCATGTTTTTCGTTAGTATCAAGGATATTGGTGCATGTATCATGGAAATACTGCAGGAGGCTGACTGCATGTAATTGCTGTGAGGATTCTCAACAACAGACACACTAGGGTGCTGCAGTGCTACTTGGCTTGACTTCCCCTCATTAGACTGTATGAGGGATGAGGAATGATAATGAGTGGGTGTGTATACAAAGCTAACCCCGTGTCACAATGATACTGTGGTAAGGCATCAGCACATTTTCATAGTGCACTTTTGTGGGATGCTAAGAGCTACTATGATTACAATACAGGGATCTGCCCACAGCTTTCGTACAGTAACGTACGTACCCACTGGGCACAGACGTCATTTCAACGTCTAGTTTTGATTTACATTTGGTTCAGTTGTCAACTAACGTAAATTCAATGTGAAATCAACAACAACAAAAAACGATGTCATTGGATTTAGGTTAAAAGTTGGGTGAAAAAAATACAAAATGCTCTTAGGTTGATTACTTTTTACAAATCTAATCAGTTTCCCACGTTAATTCAACATCAACACATTTATATTTTTGGTTGAAATGACGTGGAAACAATGTTGATTCAACCAGTTTTTGTCCAGTGGGTATTTAATCTGACAGGAGTGGGTGGACATCAGGCAGTTAAGTACTTTGAGTCATCCTTCCTCCTCACCACCCCTGCAGCACTGACTGTCTGTTTATTCATCAGCAATAGTACTACTGAAGTAGAACTGAACTCTCTGATAACCAAGGTTCGTATCGTCATGCTTGGAAACAAAGACTTTAACCTTCAAGTGGAGGAGGATAATCCCCCAGTGAGCCGACTAACTGCTGCCAGAGATGAGTCCCACTGCTCATAGGACCAGGGAGAAAAGGTGAGACACTCCACATGCTTATGATCTGATGAGGAGGCTGGTGAGGGGAGGATGGCTCATAATAATGGCTGGAATGGGGTGATTGGAATGGTATCAAACACATGGTTTCCATGGGTTTGATGTGTTTGACACCATTCCATTTATTCCTTTCCAGCCATTACTGTGAGCCCGTCGTACAACTGACTAGGTATCCCCCTTTCCTTTCCTTTCCTTCCTTTCCTTTCCTTTCCTTTCCTTTCCTTTCCTTTCCTTTCCTTTCCTTTCCTTTCCTTTCCTTTCCTTTCCTTTCCTTTCCTTTAATTTCCTTTCCTTTCCTTTCCCTTCCTTTCCTTTCCCTTCCTTTCTCTTCCTTCCTCCCCAATTAGGGTGCCACCAGCTGCCTGTAAGGGGAGAGGAACAGAAACAGTCTATTATTGGTCACATTACTTTCACTTTACTCTCCGTTTCATGCTTTGCCGTCATGTTTTTCTCAGACAAGTGACTAGTTAAGGGATTTATTGTATTCCTGGGGAAATCTTGACTCTTGGCTTTTGGCAGTTACCATCTCTGGACGATTTGATCAATCATTCACTGCCAGCATAAGGATTATTCTTAGGAACTTCCCTTAAAGAGAGTAAAGTCTTAGCGGTGGCAGGTCGTGTTATGACCCCTCCTAGGATATACAGTTCAGTGTGATTACATATAGTACAGTACACTCTGTTGTGCGGCTGCTAGGCCCGTCTGGACCTCCACAGGGCCGATCCTGGACAGCCTGGACAGCCATGGCCAAGAGAGACTACTTGGTGGAGGCAGCCAAGCAGATCCGCATGGCTCTGGACAGGGAGGTCAGTGAAGACTATGAAGCTGCCTTCAGCTACTACAAGAACGGGGTTGACCTGCTTCTCAATGGAGTTCAAGGTACAGTGGTAAATCTACGGTACTGTAGAGTATTGCTGTCAACATGCAGGGTTCTGGTTAGGGTTGAATAGAGCAGGTTAAGGCTTGGCAGACTTTAGCTACTCAACACAGTGAGAACAAGTCATGCGGCATGAAACAGGAACATGTAGATTCATCTGTTCATGATTCATCCATTTTAAAGCAGAATTAAATAGTTCCTATGAAAAACAGGAAGTCAGAAAGCCAAGGTCAGAGAAAGATTTCCATACTGGTAAAGCATGCTGGATATTCTCTCTCTCTGCTGTGCTAGTGAAGTATGTCAGCTATATTCAAACAGAAGCGTTTGAATTATATGAGGTTATTTCAGTTTCAGTTTAGTGAAGTGAGGTTTCTCCATTGTGTGAGAGGGAGAGAACTGAGGTCTGACGTAGTTGGTCTGTCTTCCAGTGGACCCTAACAAGGAGCGCCGGGAGGCAGTGAAGAGGAAGACTACTCAGTATCTGAAGAGGGCAGAGGAAATCTTTATCTCCCACCTGCAGGACAACCTGGGGAAGGGGAACTCTCACGTAGGGGTAAGAAGATTACATTTAAACCCTCATTTGACAAGATTAACATTCCATAATACTGTGCATCTTATGAATGGAAATCAACCCACTCTGATCATACATGTTACTCTGTGATACTGGCCACTCATTTTCCAGCTTTTCACTCCTGTGTTGATTCATATGTCTAGTCTGTTTATTGAAGAGGTGGTTAAGTGCTATTAATGTTAGCACCGCTGAATCATTTCCTTCTGGGAAAGCCCGAGTTACATCCTCAGAGCAACCAGTCTGTGCTGCTTACAGTCTCTCTCTGGAGATAGGCCACAGAACAGCACAACAACCCCATTCCCCTCTGTTACACTACACCCGACCCGGGATAGAAGATCACATTATATCTGCCAGGGTGCCTCGCACTGGCCGGCTGGGCGCTCTCTCTCCCCCTCTCTCTTATGTAACATGCTAATATCTGTCCTAAGATTGTAACTAATCCTTGAGTAGAAGCACTATTTCAGATCTGAATTAAACACAAAGACACGTGTCCACATCCGTGTTATCTGTGCTGTACTGATCTGTAATCTCTTTTTATCACCAGGGTTACAGTAGTCTGAGATTCCGGCCAATCAGACACCTGAGCTGCCCAGTGGAGGATCTAGAGATGTGTAAAGTGGTGGGGATCATCGATAAGGTAGGGAGGTTTTTACACCCACTGCTCTCAACCAGACAGAGTGTACTATAACTGTTTGTTACAGCTGATGATAATCTCTTGAACATACATCCTGGCTGTAGTTACCCCTTTATTAACCATGTCTTATAGATCCAGTGACAACCATGATGCTTACCTACAGTGAGGGAAAAAAGTATTTGATCCCCTGCTGATTTTGTACATTTGCCCACTGACAAAGACATGATCAGTCTATAATTTTAATGGTAGGTTTATTTGAACAGTGAGAGACAGAATAACAACAAAAAAATCTAGAAAAACGCATGTCAAAAATGTTATAAATTGATTTGCATTTTAATGAGGGAAGTAAGTATTTGACCCCTCCGCAAAACATGACTTAGTACTTGGTGGCAAAACCCTTGTTGGCAATCACAGAGGTCAGACGTTTCTTGTAGTTGGCCACCAGGTTTGCACACATCTCAGGAGGGATTTTGTCCCACTCCTCTTTGCAGATCTTCTCCAAGTCATTAATGTTTCGAGGCTGACGTTTGGCAACTCGAACCTTCTGCTCCCTCCACAGATTTTCTATGGGATTAAGGTCTGGAGACTGGCTAGGCCACTCCAGGACCTTAATGTGCTTCTTCTTGAGCCACTCCTTTGTTGCCTTGGCCGTGTGTTTTGGGTCATTGTCATGCTGGAATACGACCCATTTTCAATGCCCTGGCTGAGGGAAGGAGGTTCTCACCCAAGATTTGACGGTACATGGCCCCGTCCATCGTCCCTTTGATGCGGTGAAGTTGTCCTGTCCTCTTAGCAGAAAAACACCCCCAAAGCATAATGTTTCCACCTCCATGTTTGACGGTGAGGATGGTGTTCTTGGGGTCATAGGCAGCATTCCTCCTCCTCCAAACACGGCGAGTTGAGTTGATGCCAAAGAGCTCGATTTTGGTCTCATCTGACCACAACACTTTCACCCAGTTCTCCTCTGAATCATTCAGATGTTCATTGGCAAACTTCAGACGGCCCTGTATATGTGCTTTCTTGAGCAGGAGGACTTTGAGGGCGCTGCAGGATTTCAGTCCTTCACAGCGTAGTGTGTTACCAATTGTTTTCTTGGTGACTATGGTCCCAGCTGCCTTGAGATCATTGACAAGATCCTGCCGTGTAGTTCTGGGATGATTTCTCATGATCATTGCAACTCCACGAGGTGAGATCTTGCATGGAGCCCCAGGCAGAGGGAGATTGACAGTTATTTTGTGTTTCTTCCATTTGCGAATAATCGCACCAACTGTTGTCACCTTCTCACCAAGCTGCTTGGCGATGGTCTTGTAGCCCATTCCAGCCTTGTGTAGGTCTACAATCTTGTCCCTGACATCCCTGGAGAGCTCTTTGGTCTTGGCCATGGTGGAGAGTTTGGAATCTGATTGATTGATTGCTTCTGTGGACAGGTGTCTTTTATACAGGTAACAAGCTGAGATTAGGAGCAGTCCCTTTAAGAGTGTGCTCCTAATCTCAGCTCGTTACCTGTATAAAAGACACCTGGGAGCCAGAAATCTTTCTGATTGAGAGGTGGTCAAATACTTATTTCCCTCATTAAAATGCAAATCAATTTATAACATTTTTGACATGCGTCTTTCTGGATTTTTTTGTTGTTATTCTGTCTCTCACTGTTCAAATAAACCTACCATTAAAATGATAGACTGATAATTTCTTTGTCAGTGGGCAAACGTACAAAATCAGCAGGGGATCAAATACTTTTTTCCCTCACTGTATGCAAATAGTACCATGTCCTAAAATGTCACAATCATCTAATAACATACTACTCTAAGCTCTATTTAAACTAACATAACATGTATGTCTTCTCCCCAAGGTCCTGATTGTCCAAAGCCTGATTACCAAGGACACATGTGTTGTTAAAGTAAGTACTTCCTCCTGAGCTCAACACTACCAATACAGTATGTCAGAGGACCAATGTGGCAGACAGGTAGTAAAAGCAGTGCAGCTGTCTTATCTGTGTAGATGCATATCCAGTGCACAGATGGCTGTTGTCCTGTCCGGACCTCTGCCAGCCATTCTGTGGCAGCCCAGTCAATGGGAATACTCTCAGCCGTATCTCCCTGAGTATCCTTCACCATTGATCTGGCTAAAAGCTCTCCACTCTGACCCTCTTAGTGCAAATGCACCTCTGATTTCCGTAACCAGAGAGTTGTTATTGGAAAACACTGTAGCAGGGGTGGCTAAGGCGCAGGTCTCAGTAGCCTCATTTATACCTGGCACTACCATGCATCATGTGTCTTGATCTTGTCCACATTCTGATTGTGTCCACATCTTGAGGAATGCGTCTACATATGGTATTAAAATGTGTCTTTTGTACAACCACTGTGTCCACATTGTGACCAGATTTCCTGGTCTCTCCTTGTATCAAAATTATTTTATGGATATTCTTTCATAATAATATTTATTTATTTTAAGACGCATATTGATGCCTTAAGTCAGTAGTGCCACCTGTCAAGGATTTTAAAGGACAGGATAATGATTATTTAAATGGTTTCGCTGCCCAGATCCTGTCTACCCTTGTAAGATATCCAGACACAATGCATGCCTGACTACCTCCGGAAGTGGTCAGGAAGATCTGATCACAATGCGTATTTTAATCGTCTACACCTGTCTAAAAATGTGGACAAGATCAGGACGAAGGATGCATGTTAGAACCAGGTATAAACGGGGCTAGAGAAGTTGCTATCTAGGCACTGGTAGAGCCAGCTTTTGTAGAGATATGAGTTTTTAGATTTCTGTCTTTATCAATTAACTATAGACAAAGTTAAGACTAGACAGAAAACTATTTGTAGTACAGTAGTGATAAGTTGTATTTTGACCAAGGTAATAGTAACAGCATAGTAATAAGTGTATTGTTCTGTTGCACTGTCCTCTCAGAGCCTGCCCAAGTCGGGCTGGGAGAGCCGGGACCAGCCCACTATCATCCCCCAAGGCGTCCCCTATATGGTGAAGCTGCTGAAGTACTATGTCAGTGAGGACGCTGTGTACCTGCATCTGGAGCATGTTCAAGGTGAGCTGAACACAGGCTCTGCCTGCCAGCCCTGCAGTATGGGAGATTTAGCTGATGCTCTTACCTAGCCTATAGCCATGCAAAGGGAGATTTATGTCCATGGCATAGCAGTGGACCTACAGTTTAAATGTTTTGTTGATGGTTGCACTCTTCAGCCATTTTGGGTCAAGGATGCCACAGAGAGTATAAATAATTGCTGAATTAAAATTAAGAAAAACGACTATTGTCTTATGATGTATTGACTTTTCTATGCTCTGTAGGTGGAAAGCTTTTCTCCAAACTGTCCAAGGTCAGGAAAGACCGAGCCAAGGAGCACCCAGAATGCTACAGTCCCAGCCAGCACAGGATCAAACTGAAGAACAGCTACACCTCCCCTACCATCAGCTCAGACTACACCTCCCCTACCATCAGCTCAGACTACACCTCCCCTACCATCAGCTCAGACTACCAGCAGAATGACAGAGGGGGCACATGGACAACCCCTCTCCTGGAGAGCGAGGAGAGCCCAGACACAGACTCCCCTGCATCCTGGCACGAGGCTCAGCAACGCCTGGAGAGCTGCAGCACCCACTCCTACTGCGAGGAGACAGGTTGCCTGCAGAACAACTCCAGGTCTACAGCACCACACGCTCTGGCCACACAGCCCTCCTTATCTGGGCCAATGAGGACAGACATCAGTCCCCATATCCATCCAGCAGGCCACAGTCAGTGTTTGCACTCTGAAACTCAGGACAAGCCTGCTCTTCCTAGTCATCTGTGCATCGACCAGGCTCCTGATGTCACCTCTGAGCCTTTTGGGAAGGCCACTGGAACAGAAAAAATAGAATCCAGTTTGGATTTCAACGTGGTGTGGAATGCTGCTGATCCGACACAGAATTGTGAGAGTTCAGCCCCATATGCAGTGACTGGTACTGACTCAGATATAGCTGCAGGTAATCCTGTACCTCAAACAACTCAGACCTCTTCTGGTGGGACAGGGTCAACGGTGAACTTGAAGAATCATTCTATCAGTTTGTGTTCACAGAGAAGTTCTGTTCCCAATACATTGCAATTACCCCTCCATAATCGAAGCCAGGCTAGTGAGAGAGCAACTTTGACCTCCTATGGCTCTCACCAAGGGAGTGTTTCAGGTAGAGACCTTGAAAACACTGTGGGTGTGGAGATATCCACACACCAGGGGAGAGGGCAGGTAAACCATCACACTACTGAGGAGAGCATGGTGAACTCAGTAAGCAGGGACACAGAGACATCCCAGCCTGGCAGAGTTGTGTGTCCCTCTACAGTAGACAAGCTGAAGCTCATAAGGACATCCTCAGGGAGCTCTCAACCCCCTTCTGTCCCTCACTGTCACAGTGCTGGGACACAGCAGGAGACCCAGCCAGGCATCTCCCTGGCCCCCACAGGGGCGAAGTACCATGTGGGGCCTCCTTGCAGAGAGCCAGGGGAGGAGGTGGAGGAGGGCTGGGAGCTGAGCCCTGTGAATAAGGACATCCCCCAAGGGAAAGGATCACTGTGTGACCCCAACACGCCTGGCCCCACAGGAGCCTCCACACAGTGTCGGAAGGGGGACATGGATGCTTTCCTGAAGTCAAAGGGATCAGATGGACAGGGTGAGGATCAGATCATTGAGGTGGAGAGCTGGTGCCACCTGCCCAAGTTCCCAGCCAAGGCCTCCAGAGGGAGAGACAGGGCCAGGCAGGGCTGCTGGGGGCTGCCTGAGGCAGAGGTGCGTCTGTTGGGGGCTCAGATCCTCGTGGCCCTGGAGAGTCTTCACCAGCAAGGTGTCATGTGCCGTGACCTCAACCCAAAGAACATCCTGCTTACCAGCATCGGTTAGTCACCTAAATCACTTTAACTCCGTAAGGTTTTTGAGTTGTTGAGTTTTCAAGACTCAACTTAAAAACTCAAACTTTGGTTGTGACGTATTGGCATGTTTCTCAACAGGAAAGGTCTGCCTGACATTCTTTGGCCAGTGGAGTCAAGTTCAGTCAGAAATCAACTCTAAAGCTATGGAACAGATGTACTGTGCACCAGGTGAAAACAATGTTTATTCAATAAACCTGTCATATGTTACAACAGTTACACATAGGGTTCCTACCCTACAGTGCCTTCTAGTGGTGAGAATCAGACATTTAGTTTGATCCAACAATAAACCTGTGAATAACAGTTCTGTTTGTTGTTGGCCAATAGAGATTGGAGGTGTGTCCAAAATCACAGAGGCTTGTGATTGGTGGAGTCTGGGTGCATTGCTATTTGAACTTCTTACAGGAATGGTAAATAACATTTGTATTGAATAATCTGTCAAGTTTATTCAATCCAAACATGTATGTATCTTGATTAGAGTGCTGCCTACTGATCTGTTGATAGTGTATCTGTGTTGGTACCATTATCAAGGCATTGTTGTTGAAACTGTATGCCTGTTCCTGTGCCTCCAGCCCCTGTGGCAGTTCCACCCAGCCGGGGTGCATTCTCACACCCAGCTCCTGATCCCAGACCACCTGAGTACTGCAGCCGCCTCCCTGCTCACTGAGGTAAGGCCTGAGTCCCCTTACACACCCATATGGCCTGTACTGTAAATACCTTAGACATATACACACACCTGCTGCTAGCCTGCTACCAAAGACACACACAGCCACAAACATTGTACAAACTCAAATTGGCTTTCTGAATGAGTGACTATTGTGTGTTCCACAGCTTCTGCAGTTTGACGCTGGTTATCGATTAGGCTCTGGAGGCGGTGGTGTGAGTGACATCAAGTGTCACCCCTTCTTCAATGGTGTCTCCTGGAAGGCACTGAGCAGTTAGCAGGTCAACAGACCAGGCTATCTGTCTGTAGCCTGAATGCAGCCTGAAAAGTTATCTGCAGCCAAGTAAAGTTGGGCAGCCACTGCCCCCTTGTGGCTAAAATAATTGAAGCCCTAGCTCTGTAGCTACTTCCTGAGTATCTTGTACTTTCCAAAGAATGATAGATTAGAATTGTAATTCAGAGCAGCAGACACAGCCAACATGTCAACCGTGCAACAACCAACCTCTGCCTGCTGTGTTCTTTGTAACCTCCATGTTTGAATGATAGAGGCTAGTGTAAACCTCACCTGGTCTTTTGACATACAGTAGGGCAAAATGTACTCCTGGGTGACTTTTTGGCTACTTCTGTTGTAGAAATGACATGCAATACTACTACTGTTAACATATCCATGTATATCATCACCAAGCATGAAAACGGATGTTTTTCATTGTCAAATACTTTTTGGACGGTCAGCCAATAATGGTTGTGATAAACAGCGTTGACAATAAGGTTCATAAAATGAAGCAATGCATCTGTGCTGTGTTAGTCTTTGATACACACTCATGGTCAGCCTTTTTTCTGGTCATCTGTACATAGCCTATATCAGGGTTTTCCAAACTCAGTCCTGGGGCCCTCCCTGGGTGCACGTTTTGGCTTCTGCCCTAGCTTGATGAGTTGGTTATTTGAATCACCTGTGTAGTGCTAGGGCAAAAACTAAACCGTGCACCTAGGGGGAGCCCCAAGACCAAGTTTGGGAAATCCTGGTCTATGACTATATTTCTACCACAGCTCAGACAGTCTACCCACTTCCTGACTTGTAAGTGATGTGGCGTGTTCTCAGTCTCTTTTTAAATGTCTCCATTTCTTTTAAGCTTCCAAGGCCTGGCAATATCTATTTTAAACTACACGCCAGCCACCTGGTTTCTGAATTGCTCTTATCGGCAATCATTTTGACAGCATTCTGTAAAAAAGGCAAGTGTCTGTGTAAACAGAAAACAAAATGCATAGTTAAGATTTCATTGGTAAAAATATTATTTTTTTAACAGCAGAAACATTTTCTTAGTGAGCGTGAATCAGATGTCAGGACCCATTGATTTCATCAGTGTAACAAAGCATCAACAACCTGTACCATGAACATCTTAGGCTATAGTGATGTTGCAGTCCATCTTGTGATAGGTAACAATTGTTATTTTCTCAGCAAAAATAAATGAAAAATACTTAATGCAATTTTTTGCCATTTATATTACAATTATTTGACAAATATTTATTGTAGGTAGAAAATGGCAAATTACGCTTTGAGTTGTACAACACTCTCTCCCTGCCCTAGACACACAACATTTAGCATCAATATTTTCACAATTTCAGCCCATGCAATAAGTCCAATGCACCTTTTGGTCTATTCAAGTATCCCTTTGCCTAGTTAACCAACACAATAAAACGTCTGCAGTTTAGGATCATCATCAGGCAGGTATAGCTGCTGCGTGTGAAGGGCGGTAGGTTGGTTTGTTTAGCCATTGACTGTGGGGAGGCTGGCTCACATGTCCAGTAGCAGCACTCTGGGATCTTCTACCACAGTCTTGATCTTACGCAGGAAGGTGACCGCCTCTCTGCCGTCGATGAGGCGATGGTCGTACGTCAGAGCCACGTACATCATGGGGCGGATCTCCACCTGTAGCAGAGGAGGAGGCGCTTCAGAGACAGACAAATACTGCTTCCTGTCTGTCTCTATTCCACATATGATAAGGGGGTCTCCTGAGATATGAATCTACAATATATGAGGTAAATCAAAGTCTACAGAACAGAGCCAACACCCACCTTGCCCCCGATGGCCACTGGCCTCTCGAAGATGCCATGCATTCCCAGGATGGCAGACTGCGGAGGGTTGATGATGGGCGTGCCAAACATGGATCCAAACACGCCACCGTTGCTGATGGTGAAGGTTCCTCCATCCATGTCTTCCACGGCCAGCTCATTCTTACGGGCCTGCAATCAACATCATCAACTTAGAGAATGCACAACAAAGTCCAAACATAAAGTACAGAGAAATCCATGTTCTCCTACCTTCTCCCCCAGCTTGTTGATGGTCTTCTCAATGTCAGCAAAGTTCATTCCCTCCACTCCACGGATGACAGGCACCACCAAGCCCTGCGAGACAGGACGAATGAGATATTCAGAATTTTGGTTAATGTATATTAGCCCTGTTGTAAAAGTGTTCAATGTGAGTAGCCAACCATCGGCATTACCTTTGGTGTTGCTACAGCCACACTGATGTCCACGTAGTCCCGGTACACAATCTCTTTGGTGGTGTCGTCAATGACTAAAAAGAGAAAAGGTATGAAAATAAGTTTGAAAATGTTAAATACTGTATTAACTAATAAACTTTAAATCAAATCAAATTGTATTTGTCACATGCAAACGAATACAACAGGTATAGACCTTACCATGAAATGCTTACTTACAAGCCCTTAACCAACAATGAAGTTCAAGAAATGGAGTTAAGAAAATATTTACTAAATAAAATAAAGTAAAAAATAAAATATAAAGCAACACAACGAGGCTATATACAGGCGGTACCGGTACCGAGTCAATGTGCGGGGGTACAGGTGAGTCAAGGTAATAAAGGGGTAAAGTGACTATGCATAGATAATAAACAGCGAGTGGCAGCAGTGTCAATGTAAATAGGGAGGGGAGGGGAGGGGGGGGGGGGTCAATGTAAATAGTCCAGGTGGCCATTTGATTAATTGTTCAGCAGTCTTATGGCTTGGGGGTAGAAGCTGTTAAGAAACCTTTTGGACCTAGACTTGGCGCTCCGGTACCGCTTGCCGTGCGGTAGCAGAGAGAACAGTCTGCTTTAGCGTCTATGATTCACTTCCTTGAAGCATATAGCGTTTTGTGTGTCTGTGGGGAGGGGGGGACCCACAGACAATTTTAGCCACATATACGTTACCAGTGAAGATGAACCACTTCTTGACTGTGGCTAGTTTAAATAGGCCAGAGAGGCATTGGCAGAGTACACACTAAGTACGGTTGTCTATGTAAATCTCGTTCTAGTTCTTAACCAACTTAACCACATACACCTGACACCAGTGGATACTAAATGTGTGTTTCCTTATTCAGACTGATATGAGAAGTAAAGCAAATTCTGGGAAAGAAGAGCACACCTCCGTTGACGGCAGGCTGTTCCATCAGAGCGTATGCTGAAGCCTTGACAAAGGCAGACATGAAGCCGAGCTTGATGTTGTGTTTCTTCAGGAAAGCGTCTTTGTAGGCCTTCCTCATCTCACTGATGTTGCTGTGGAGAGAATTAGACCAAGTCAAAATGCTGTCGTCCTAACCTAATTATTTTCTGGAAATTTTGGAATAAATCGACAAACAAATACATTTGTCATAGACAGCTCTCATATTGATAGATAGCATACATGCATTACACTCAATATTTTCAACCAAACCTAAAAAAACTACCCACAGTTTTTGGTAAAAGTTCAGCTTCTCCAGGTCATGGTGATTAAGTGCTATTGACACTGGGCTAATGTTTCACCATTGGTCATTTCTCCTCTGTATGATGAAAAGGGACTCTTGTATCTCTTTTTAATTGTTTAACCTGGTTTAAACTCTAGGGTTTCTTCGCTAACGGCATTAGCCTCTCCCAAGACACTGAGAAAGGAGAGAAGAAGCGATAAAAATCTTCACTTTCCAAACCCTCTAAATCTTATTGGCCTGTCATAAAAGCCCATATCGGTTGAGGCAGCTCGTCCACTCAGAGCGCAGGTCTCTGTGGGCCCCAGTAGATGCTCTGGTCTCCTGGTCTGACTGCTCCTTCGGCTACAGATGAGCCCAGGCCTGGAAGTCTTCCTCCAGACCATCAATGCCAATTCAATTAGGATGCAGAGAAATCCCTGAATAGCTGAAAGTTGACACCCCGCATTTGCATGGAAAATAAATCCTCAAAGTGTCATCTTTAGCACAGGGGTCAAATGTGGGCACTAACCTTTCCTTGTAAATGAATAAAGCCCCTGTTTTAAGAAATCTTATCTTTGTTTTCACCAATATTACGACCAAATATTTACATTCCATCGTTTAAGAGGGCATCGGGTTTCAAAAAGCTTTTCCTATTGAGCAGATTCAAATCTATAACCATTGTCTGTATGGTCTCAGCTTGAATAACACCTAGAAGTATAGCCTTTCTTTGCTTTTGACCTTACTTCATCCAGATACGTTTATTTTAGAAAGGACATATAATCCCTAATATAAATGTATACAGTGTGGTAGTAATGTTTAATATGTGCTAGATGAGTAATCAGCTCCCTTATGACCCATTTCCTATCTAATAGTGATAGGGCTTGATAATGTAAGACAACTATTCTGTTATTGCCTACCTCATGTCGACCTCATTAAATGTTGTCAACATAGCGCAGGTGTTCTGGGCTTCCTTCAGTCTCTGGGCGATTCTCAGACGCATACGGTTCATCTTCACCTGAGACAGAAATTAGGAAAAACAAAAAAAATCACTATTTTAAGAATTTTCCCAGAAATATTTTATCTTAAGAGAAAACATCACAACAGCTATACATACTATCAGATACTGTTTTGGTTGTTGCATACTCTACCAACACTATGGTCTGAGCCATTGTGAATAATAATAATAATAATAATAATCTGTCTCCTTTACTGCAGTATTCCTGATTATGATGCCTCACCCTGTGCTCTGTTCTGTCTGGTTTAGCCCTTCCATCTGTGACAGCGGCTGGGGAAGCAGGAGCAGCAGTGGGTTTGATGGCTGAAACTGTACCGAACAGACAGGGGAACAGGAGTTTTTAGTTGCCACGCCACCTCTTCTTAGCCATTAGCAAGTGTCACTGTCAACAGGCAAGGGCCAAGTGATTTATCCTATTTCCATAATCAACAGTGCACACTGGTCACGCTAAATACTTCTCACATGACAATGAGTCCATTGAGTGGCTGACAGACTAACCTGGTATGGCAGAGATGGCAGCTCCTGGCACGGGTGGCACTGGGGGCATAGTGGTAGGGATGGGGCCCACTGCAGAGGGAGCAGGAGAGGGGGGTGTGGCAGCAGCAGGGGGTGGAGGGGCTGCTACTGATGCTGCTGGGGACTCTGCAGCTTGGGCAGCAACAGCTGCAGAGAGAAAGGTATAAGAATGCATTAGGCAAGATTAATATTAGACAATAGCAATGTGTTTACTGTGTAGGTATAATGTGTATAATCTAATAGCTCTGTAAACACAACATCTACCATGTGTCTTGAATTTAGAAGATTTGTTAAAAATGTGGTAAACTCAGTGGTACTGACCTCCTTTCCGGAGTTTGAAGAGAGCCTGTCCTCCTTCGACCTTCTCCCCATCAGGGACCAGCAGCTCCTCAATCACCCCAGCAGCAGGAGACGGCACCTGCACTGATGTCTGTGGAGCGACACAAACCATCAAGGACCATGATGATACATCTTCCCATGGGTCTGTTACTCTAACAATCTACAGTCAACTGTTAGTTTATTACTTTATAAGGCTGTTGTAAAAATGGCAGTTCAAAAGGTGAGTGATTCAGTGACCATTAAATAATTCCAGAACTGTCATACCTTGTCCGTCTCAATTTCACAAACCACCTCATCCTCTTTGACAGAATCACCAACCGCTGTAAAGAGAGAGTTGCATTTAGAGTGGCAAACAGATAAATATCTACCTGCCTGCAACCAACATCTGAATGAGAACAATGAACACAGAGACAAACGGACAGAGAAACACACATAAGTTACTGTACCTTTCTCCCACCTAACATCCCCCTCTGTGACTGACTCTGCAAATGCAGGTGTCTTTACTGTGATGACTTCATTCCCTAAAAAGACAGAGACAACACAATACTGACTTCATACAACTCTTGTAGTGTTACACAAAATCACATTACTGCTTAGATCACAAGGGTCAAATAAAAAGGATGGGTGTCCAGGCTAATACATACTGCAAGCTACAGATGTCTTGAAGTATCTGATTTGGAAGACGCTGGACCTGGCTTCACATTTCCTACAAATAAAAACAGTCAATACAGAAAGTATAACTGCACAATACAAGGCTAAAACACAGCTGAAGCAATGTTCCAATGAGAAGACAGGTCAATGGTGTAGCTATAATACTTACGTAGGGTTGTTGACAGTGACACTACGGCTAGCTGACAATCCTGCAGGACAGATGACAACAGTACTGAGTTCTAGTGCAGAATCTCAAACTACACTGAACAAAATTATAAACGCAATATGCAACAATTTTAAAGATTTTACTGAGTTACAGTTCATATAAGGAAATCAGTCAAAACTCATTAGGCCCTAATCTATGGATTTCGCATGACTGGGAATACAGATATGCATCAGTTGGTCACAGATACAAAAAAAAAAAAAAAGCAGGGCGTGGATCAGAAAACCAGTCAGTATCTCATGTGACCACCATTTGCCTCATGCAGCGTGACACATCTCCTTTGCATAGAGTTGATCAGGCAGTTGATTGTGGCCTGCTGAATGTTGTCCCACTCCTCTTCAAAGGCTGTGCAAAGTTGCTGGATATTGGCAGGGAACTGGAACAAGCTGTCATACATGTCGATCCAGAGCATCCCAAACATGCTCAATGGGTGACATGTCTGGTGAGTATGCAGGCCATGGAAGAACTGGGAAATGTTCAGCTTCCAGGAATTGTGTACAGATCCTTGCGACATGGGGCCGTGCATTATCATTCTGAAACATGAGGTGATGGCGGCGGAAAAATGGCATGACAATGGGCCTCAGGATCTCGTCACGGTATATCTGTGCATCCAAATTGCCATAGATAAAATGCAATCGTGTTCGTTGTCTGTAGCTTATGCTTGCCCATACCATAACCCCACCGTCACCACGGGGCACTTTGTTCACAACTTTGACATCAGCAAACCACTCGCCCACACGACGCAAATACGTCTGCCTGGTACAGTTGAAACTGGGATTCATCCGTGAAGAGCACACTTCTCCAGCGTGCCAGTGGCCATCGAAGGTGAGCATTTGCCCGCCGAACTGCAGTCAGGTCAAGACCCTGGTGAGGATGACGAGCATGCAGATGACGGTTTCTGACAGTTTGTGCAGAAATTATTTGGTTGTGCAAACCCACAGTTTCATCAGCTGTCCGGGTGGCTGGTCTCAGACAATGCCGCAGGTGAAAAGGCCTGGGCTGGCGTGGTTACATGTGGTCTGCTGTTGTGAGGCTGTTTGGACGTACTGCCAAATTCGCTAAAACGACTTATGGTAGAGAAATTATCATTATATTTTCTGTGGCATTGTGTTATGACAAAACTGCACATTTTAGAGTGGCCTTTTATTGTCCCCAGCACAAGGTGCACCTGTGTAATGATCAGCTTCTTCATATGCCACACCTGTCAGGTGGATGGATTATCTTGCAAAGGAGAAATGCTCACTGACAGGGATGTAAACAAATTTGTGCACAACATTTGAAAGAAATAAGCTTTTTGTGCGTATGGAACATTTCTGGGATCTTTTATTTTAGCTCATGAAACATGTGACCAACACTTTACATGTTCCATTTATATTTTTGTTCAGTATACTTCATAAAGGAAAGAGTTGGGTTCAACTACTGTGATTTACACGCAGTTTCAAAACACTCACCTGACACAGCCCGCTGTGCAGACACATTGTTTCCCTGTCAAAAAGACCAGCAACCTGTTAGCTATCAATATAAAGTGATCATTAAACAATTCAAAATATAATTACATTTACATTTTAGTCATTTAGCATATATCATATGCATATGTTATATCCCCCCCTTCTAAAACGAGGGAGTGAAACTGCATAAAACCAACAATAGGTGTTTGTTACCAAGGACCATGTTTACAATGTCCACATGAACAGTCTGACAGACAGACTTGGACATACTGTACCTCCCTGTCAAAGGTCAGTAGTGGTGGTGGTAGTGGAGGTGGGGCTACTGCCACGTTGAAAAAAAACTGGGTAACTCGGAACTCTCCGACTTCCGAGCGTTCAAGTCAACTGGGAACTAGGATCGTTTTGTCAACTGGGAACTAGGATCGTTTTGACTGGTCATCCAACTATTTAATGCATGCGTGTTAAACCAATCAGTGACTTCAACACATGGAAACAATGTAGGCATACATTATTATACAAACAGACTGCTAGGGGATAACTAGCTACTATAAATAAATATATAACCAAGTGAAAATAGATTGATAGAGGGCTGTCTTATCTGTGTATTTGAGAGTTCGACTGGTTTGTTTAATCTAACGTTAGTTATGCAAAGATTGGACAGTCAATGTGATGTAAAATCTGAATAAAAACATATAGCTATTCTAACTAGGCAAAATAAAATAGTCTTTATCATCACAAAAATAGCTATGTGTGCTAGCCAAAACTCAAATGACCTCAGATTGTTTTCAATAGAGGCAAGCTATCTAGGTAACGTTAGCTAAATAAACCACAGGTTGGCTAACTAGTTAACTTCGTGAAACCACATAAAATGTTAGCTATAATAAAATGATATTAGAGACACTGCTTTAGAATTCAAAACCGGGTTGAACCAATGTCTTGCCGGGGAATCGGGTGTCATGCTGTCCTTGGCTTGCAATGTGAAGACCTACGGCGGCCTACTGCTCGCACCCGCGCCGCTTCTACACCTCTCCTAACGTAGACCTCAGCATTGGCAGCAGCATGATGAAGCTCCGCGTGAAAGTGTTCCATTTATGTAATGCCTACCTGACGAATGACAGCGAGAGAACGACAGAAATTCCGGGTGAAACACCGGGTGTGGGATAACATGGTGTCTGATATGACAGCAACCTGTCCGCGGGAGGGTTCTCCTCTCCTGTAGCACGCCAAAAGCTGCTAAAGGCGGAAGCAGTGTGGGAGGAACCAAGAGCCCCAGCTAAAGAGGGGAGTGATCAAAGGGCTGTCCCAAAGAGGATTCACTGTGGAAAAACTAGTGGCACAGTGAGTGAAAATGAGCTACAATAAATGTGCATTATGCATGTTTTATTTTTCCTAATCTATCCCTAAATATGATTGGATAATTACATAATAAGATAATGTGCTCATTTAAGCACGGGCTTTTACGCCAGGGTAGTGGGTTCGATCCCCGGACACCCTACGTAAAAAAATTGGACACATACTGTAAGTCGCTTTTAAAAAGGTTGTAAATGGCCATATTATATATTATGATTCATTGTGATTATCAGTTTTAGTGAATATACAAATGGTAGCCAAATCATGTACGTGATCTTAGTTACACCATAAAGTGCATGCTACCGGTAAACAAACTATCAGTTCACTACAAATTGTAGCCTACATTTTCTTCTCATTCCATAATCTGTTTTCTTGCTAATTGTCCTCAAACTCACACCACTCTGGAAATATGCCCCTATTAGGGCCAATACGTTTCGATTTGTTGAAAATGACTACAAATAAGTTTTAAAAACGTAAGATGAGCCTCAGCTAATTAGTTATATTGAGGATTTGTTTTGAATTATTATCCTTGATCTGCCCGTCTCTTTTCACTTTCCCAAGTTGAGTCAACTCCGAGGCCACGCCTCTGTTTCTAATGCATTGACAGTCGCTCCCGCACTCATCACATTCATTTTCGGTGTATCAACCCGACTCGACTCTACTCAACGCAACAGGTAAGGTGCGCATGCTGTCTGTTCGTTTACTTTGTGACATTCTCATGATGACAACCAAGCCTAATATTACTCAGCTACATCCTTAGTTTCGCAACAACTAAAGGCTATGATTGTTGACCTTATTTGTAGTTGATGTCAGCATTGTCCACATGCAAATTAATTGGTTGCTTATGATTTCAGCTATGTTGAATTCTTGACGGTTTTTTTTGTGTCTATCAGTAACTCAGTGAATAAAGGCACATTTATTTTGTGTTTTTAGGCAAACCTTAGCCACATTTTAGGCTTGATTAAACATTTGATGGACAAGAACTCTCAACTTATCTCATCATTAATGAGCACTTATAGACTACTTTTCACTACAGATTACAAGCTGCACTGTAACATTTTGTAATGCTTGTCTTGTTTAAAAATATATTAATAACTATATAATTGATTGATTATAGTTTTACGGATAGTTCCGTCATTTCCATGCAGATTGACGTAGGCTATAGGCGTATTATGTTAGAATATCATGATTCGTTTGGGATTGATCCAAATAAATGTACTTGATAATCATTAATTGCCTAAAGAATAAGAGTCTCCTATTAGATAACCTTACTAAAAAAGTTGTAAGGATGATTCAACAAATGACAGAAAGGGTTTCCATAAAATAAAGAGGATGAAATAATCCATCCTCAAATTGTAAATCAAGTATAGAGACTACCAGCTCTTCAATCACTGCCATACACCAGGTAGCCTATACAATGTGCAATGTGCTGTAAATTATACATTAAAGACATGTGCTGTAAGTGGAATATGAATGACTTCACTGTATTTATTGAGGATGTCTATTTTTCCAACTTTATGTAGTCATAGTGGTCAGAAGATCCTTTTTGTTGTGTTTTCCCTCATAAAAAGTTATTGCAAAGAAAATGTTCATATTGGCTATATGGTTATTTACTGACTTATATAAAACAAAATATCTGTCACATGAGGGCTTGGTGAAATTGAAATATATAAAATGTGGATCTCTCATATACAAATTCATTGTGTGTTGTTTTTATAGAATGCAAGTCTGTCGTTTGTAATGTGTAATTAATAGTGATTGTGATACATTTGATCGATGTATGTTTTCACCAGGAGACATTTTTACTAGCTAACTTAACGTGCTGTTTGCAAACATGATCCACACCATAGGAATAAATCAACTTACGAAGAAACTACAATTGAACGCTAATGAGAGATTAAAACATTAATTCATTTATTTTCCTCTTAATAATATACATTGATCCTTTATATGTTTTTTCTGAATATTTTCTTACCTTTCGTATTCTAATTAAGTAAAACCTTTCATGAGTAAAACTGTTATTATTTGTATCATTCATATTGACTATCTCCATCCCAAGATGAAAGGGAGACACAAGTGTGCACTCCCCTGTGCCTTGAGATCTTAGAGATATCTCTTATAAATCTGAGGGTCTTCAAATAATGACCTACGGGCCTTTGACATTCCATGCTATGAATGTAATAACAAGTTTGTTAACTGAGGTAGTGATGATAAGATCACAGATGAAATTTCAAGTTCTTAAAATGAAATGGCAGCATCACATGTGAGGCTATTGCATTATATTTTTAATTCTTTGAAATAATTGTTTAGTTCTGTGCATCACTACTTTAAGCTCCTATCCCAGGTGTCGTAAGCATAATGGAAGAAGCAGATTATTATTTCCCACCATGATTATATACATTCAATCAATTATATTGAATATAATTTAAGTGGCATGTAATAGAGAAATGAGGGAGCGCTGTCTACTAACATTTAGTAGCCAAAGTATTCTGGTGCAATTCCTCAGTATGTTTTGTAGGTTTAACTTGTACTTGTGCTTTCTACTTTCCCCAAAACATAACCATATTAACCAAAAATATTTTTAAGTGTTCATACTGTTCACAGTGCTATAGATGCTGTACTGTACTGAATAAGAGATTTACGGTATATTCAGGTTTTTTCCTTTGCTTTTCAGATACATTTCTAGAGCATTCGTCTCATTGTGACTCACTCCAAGGTGTCCCGACACAGCAATAAAAAGGTTCCCAGTGAGCATGAACCTTAGCCTTCCTGACCAGAACATGCACAACCCCAGTGACGGCGGTCTGGAGGATGACAAGGCTGAGCTCATGAGCCCCTGCTTCCGCAGAAACGTGTACGATGAACCTCTAACCTCATACTCCAATGGATCCATCATTTCCCACCTCCTGCGCAAAACCATCCACAACAAGAGGGCTCTGGACGAAAGCCACTTCTACCTACCGACCTCGGCTGTGTCCAGCTCCACCATGGCTGACTCCAGTCAGGAGGACCAGAGTAGTGTCTCCTCCAAGGACAGCGCGGCAGAGTCTGCATCCCCAGGCAGTCACCTCTCAAACGGAGCCAGCCCTGAGGGGGACAGGCCACTGAGTGATCACCTCCAGGCCAAACGTGCCCGTGTGGAGAACATCATCCGAGGCATGGCAGGCTCTCCTAACAGCAGGCTCCATGGGGACAGTGAGAGGGCCGTGTCAGACACCAGGGAGGCTAGAGAGGCCTACAGGGAGAACAAACGCAAACAGAGGCTCCCCCAGCATCAGGAGCACAGTCTCAATGCAGCCGCTCCAGCTAACAGAGGCAGCAGTAGCAGCAGTGGCAGCAGCGGCAGCAGTAAGGATGAAGAGTGCCACAAGCTGAAGGAGCAGCTCCAGAGCATGCAGAGGCTCCTGAGACAGCTCCAGGAGAAGTTCTTGCAGGTTTATAACCAGGAAGATGCTGAGCGCGAGGACAGAGATGACACAGGCACAGCCAGCATCGCGAAACATGACGAGACCACACCAAGCAAAGAGTCTGGGTTCCGTATGAACATGGATGAAGAGTTAGAGAGGAAGCATGACCGGGCTAAAGGGGGCTGTAAGGACAGAGTGAAGAAAGACGGAAGTTATCTGACACATCAAAAGGAAGGCAAGTACCTACAGGAGACTCTGAAGCATGAGCTTTCCAAAGCGGTGAGTGAGAGTGTAGATATGGTGTTCAAGAAACTCTCCTCCACAGGGCTCAACCAGTCACCTTATCAGCGCATGTGTCACACCCCAGAGCACGTCAACGTGAGAGCTGAGAGGAAGAGCCAGGTAGCCTGTAACCAGGAGCAATCACACACTGAGGAGCCAGTCAAACCCCAGGCTCTGGAGTACTATGAGAGCACTGAGCCTCGCAGCCCTGAGGATCAGACCGAGGCTCTGTCTCTAGTGGTCCATAAGCCGCTCCTGAGCCAGCTTAGCTCAGTTACCCAGACGGTGAAGAGGCCCTACCCCTTACACCAGTCTCCATTCCAGTTCAGCTACAGCACACCTCTCCATGACAGTCAAATCCTGGAACACCTCCTCAAATACGGGCCCCACACTAACTTCGGAGGTCTCCCATGCATGCCCCCATCCATGGACAGAACCTCCCCAGACTCGGTAGAGCTGCCCTGGGATGCCATCACCATGAGGTCCAAAGTGACATCCAGCCACCTGACCCACCACCCTCGCCCATCAGGCCTGGGACCAGTGACCGTGGACAGTCTGTGTCTCCCTCACGTCAAGATGGAGTGTGGGGATATGCAGAGCATGGCAGAGAGAAACTCCTACATGTCTCTCAATATATCCTTTTATTGGCCTAAAAAATCTCATAGTGTGGTAGTGTTCCAGCTAACATTTGTCAGCATATAGATTTAGTAATTTAGAATTGCATTTACAGTATATAATCAATGGCTGTATGCATTAAATGTTTCATATCATATTTTTTTCACTGACATAATGACACATAGAGCATTATGTACACTGTATTAATAATCTTAGCTGTTTTTACTAATATTGAGTTATCTGATATAATGTACCTGCATTTATTATAAAATCCAGTATACAAACTCCCTCTGTTTGCCTTCCCAGTTGAACAATGACTCGTTGAGGTTCAATGCAGCATGCACAGTTCCAGTAATACAGACTTCAAGGAAAACCATGTATTTGATCTTGCTAACACAAAATAAAAAAAATAGCATCTTCTTTAATCTTAGCAGAGTAATGACTTTAAGTCTAGAAAAAGACAAATAAAAAGGAATACAAGGCTTTGATAAGAATTGTCAGGAACAAAAGCCAATTTTCAAAGGCAGAGAAAGCTTCTGTTTCTGTCCAGGAACAGTGTTTTTTCAGACTTGAAAAGGTGCAGAATATATTTCTCTATCATCAGTGTGATAGGAGTGCATCTGAAAGGTCATAACTGAGTGCCTGTGGAAAGCAGAAGTGCCTCCGTACCAGAACACTTGTCTTCTTGAGCATATATTGGATACATACACAGCCATCAAAAGATGTGTTTATACACACTAAAAACATTCCAACAATAAATATAATTCAGTGAGAGTATTTTCAATGACACCACTCTGCATTCTATCATGATTATGATCACTTTAATAATATATTAATATCATCACATTATCAAACGAAACATATTCATAATTATGTCTACATGCTAATATTCCCCTGCTGCTGCTGTTTAGCATTGTTCGATCATTGGATACATTACCGGCACATCACAGGTAAGCTGTAGTAAGCCAACTCCTGTACCATATTTATTTTTCACCTCTACTGAACAACTCAAAGAAATGTGAAGATCGTAAACATGGTCAGAAGTGGTCATTGTCCTTAGTTGTAAGGATTTGGAGAATAATATTATCAGGCTCTCTGAGGATATCCTTTATCTTTACTGTACAAAGAGCTGTGGTTCTCTTTGAACAATTTCTCATCAATCTTTCATTCCAACTTCCTTATTTCAAAGGTAGGATTCCCTAATAAATGTATAGTGTGCTGTGACCTGCTGATAAGGAAGTATTACCTAAGGCGGGGCTGTGGGCTACAGAAAGAAAGGTCTCTGAAGATCTAGCTGAATAGAAACTTTGCTTGAGGTATGATTTTATTTGTAACATGACAAAGCAGATGAATACAAAAAAAGTCTGTTCCTCCCAAGCTACTAATCTGTTATAGTTCAGAGGGATGAGGAAAACATAATGTATGAAAATACCAATGCATTAACAAAAATGGATTTCAAAATGATAAACAAGCAATTACTTTGATTAGTTTAATACAATGAAATAGCTGGAAGATGTCTTCAAATTGTACAGTAACTAGCTACTATTCAAAGCATTTTCCAAACAATCACAATCACCACTGCTAGGCGTTAGGTGTAAGAGCCGCAGTCACTAATTAAAATCCCTAATCTAGTTCATAATGTTGTAGGGTCATTATTGACTCCCTGGTTACTACAGAGCTGTTATTTAGTGTCATTCATTTTAATTGGAGACAGAGGCAACCCAGTATTCTAGTCTATTAACACTTTGCAGAGTGTATGTGAACTGTATTGTGATTGGGATCGACTGCCAGTACTTGCGGCCTTAACACATTGACACATTCAGGAAGGCCTAACCCCCAACCATCTGAAGAAAGCAAAGCTGATGTTCTTCTACACCCGTTATCCCAGCTCCAATGTGCTGAAAACCTTCTTTCCCGATGTCAAGGTACGCTATCACAATATTAATTAACATGATGTTATTTACTGTTAATGGGTTTGTTCTATGTTCACCATATTTGCCTGCAGAATACTTGTTGATGTATTTTTGGGACAGAATGAGCAGTAGGTCGGAGGGAGGAAACAAAAGAACACACGCTTTAGAAAAACAAAGCTGTTAAGCCAGTAGCATGTCCTGGGGCGTAGACCAGGGAGATAGAGGGGCATTCTTTCTTTAAAAAGTCCCTCCAGTCAGCAAATGGAGTGACAAAAGACTCTGTAAAAAGCCACTGTCGTTCGGCGTCAACACAGGGCAGGTTTTAGACATGCAGGCAGTCAGGCTGTGAGGCGAGCACTGGGCCTAACCACAGCATCCTGTATGTCTGTGTGCCCTGTGTGTCTCCTCTCCTGTCCCCTCTCCTTCCACCATGGCCGGGACATGTCCTGCTGGGGGCAGTTTGTGTCTGGGGCCCAGGCCTGGCCTCCACACTACTCTATCTGACCCTAGGGTCATAGGGGAGGCCTGCAGCCAGCAGCCTACTGCGTCTCCTCCTTGCCCACGACCCTGTGGTGGGAAGTGGCACTGAACAAAAGACAGTTCTAATCCTGGTGTCTGATTCCATCCTATCAGGCAGAGTCACTGAGAGGGAAGCTTCCTTCTGTCCTTACGCTGCGTCCGATAACAGCAGAGAAAATAAACGTCTTTGATGCTTGCCCAGCCCTTGGGCGTTTTTTTCTTTCTTTCTGGATGAAGAGATAGAATAACCAGGCTAATGTCAAGACTGAGTTTAGAAACACACGGCTTTGACAGATGTTTTTTTATTCAGTAAGTTGGTGGGAAAAGATCAGAGCAATTAACGTTGAATAAAATGACAGACCAACACAATCCATATTACTTGCATGCATACTGAATAGAGGTTTTTATTCTCTTGTGGAAGGTTTTACTCAAAACAACACATTTATATTCCAGCTTAGATTTGAAAGTCGATATGAAAAAGAGAGACGACACGGTTTTGACACAGTGTAGGTTTTCGATCATCTTGCATCAACTTGATGATTTGGTCAATAAAGACATGTCATCTCAATAAACAATATCAGTGCATTTTCTCAACTTGTTGTCCCCTTGTGTCCCCAGTTCAATCGCTGCATCACCTCTCAGCTCATCAAGTGGTTCAGTAACTTCCGGGAGTTCTACTACATCCAGATGGAGAAGTTTGCCCGCCAGGCCATAGTGGACGGGGTCACCGATGTGAAAGACATGTCCATCAGCAGAGACTCTGAGCTGTTCAGAGCCCTCAACATGCACTACAACAAAGCCAATGACTTCCAGGTAAGTCAAAAGATGTGTATCTTACCATATGTATGGTCAGCTCCTCCCCTGGTATCCAATGTAACTATATACTGCATATAAGCTCGTCAATGTTTTTCCATGACTTTTAGATTATTAGATATTAGATTAACACCCTCCCTTTACAAAGTAAATTGCAACATGTATTCAAAGACAATATGGTCAATGCTGAGTGAATGATCTTTATGTATGGGAACAGTGTGTTCATTCTGCTTTCATCAGCACTCCTCAGTTGATGCAGCCAATGCTGTGTTTTTTGTCCTGAAACAAACATTTGTCATAAAGTGAGGAAAACAATAAAGTTGTTTAGGCATGAATGCGATAAATTACACATTGATGTAGTATCAGGGTAATAAACCTTCATTAGCATATCAGAGAACTCTCCTCCCAGTAACCTGTTCCTGGTCTGGTCTGGTCAGTAATCTCCTAGTTGTGGTCACGTATGTCCTTACCCTGACCCATGTGTCACTGCACCTGTGGCTGCACAGCCTTTGCAGCCATTATCTAAACTCTAGAGCAATGCTTTATCAAACTGTGGGAAGAGGAAGCTGCAGAATCCCACTAAAACAACTCGGGATTAGAGGACCAGTACGCCTGAGCGAGGCTCAGATTGCTACTGATGCGGAATGCTGAGAAAGATGCTGTGAATTCCGAGGGAGAAGGCTGTTTGGTGGGAAAGAACCGAGACCGTTTTCTTTACCTTGGGACCAAGACATTCCTTTCCCAGGGATGCTTTGTGTCGGGAGATGAGAAAAAAAAAATTATGCCAACAACTGGACTGTTAGCTGGTCTACGGGAAATAATGGCACCGAATAGATTCTTCTCCCAGCATCCAAACCTGATCTGTGTTGATCTGTGTTGAGAGCAGGTTGAAATTCCTGGGAAGGCTTGGTGCTTTCTCTCTTTCCGAACAGCTAAGTTCAAGCCAACAAGGCTACAAAGACAAAGCAGAATCCCACTACAGACAGCTAATGATTATGACATTGTATTTGTTTTATGAGTACAGAGAACAAATTGTGAAGGAGCTGTCTGTTTTGAAGTGAGTGAGGGTGTTAAATGTGCTTGTAAGCAGGGCCGGATGAAGAAATCATAGGCCCCGGGGCTTTGTTTTTTTTATAGGCCTCCCAAACTTTGCTTTCCAAACTGTACGTTTTCCCCGCGATTGTATTTTGAAATCTGCAAAAGGCAAACCGAAAGCTGCAACCAACCATAGAAATATAATCCATATATGGCAGTTCCCATTCAAGTCAGGACTGGCATCGATTGCTAGTGTACCCATGAGTTTAACAGTCAAATTGCCAGGGTAAGAAGTTACAAAACCCTTCTATGGATTATATGTCTATGGCCACAATGCAACAAGCTGTGTATTTGGCGCGCATGCTGCCCAAACGGCAGTCTTCCCAACTGTAACATACTGGTAACTGCCAAAATAAAGGAAACACTTGAGTAAAGAGGGATACAAAGTATATGTTATGGTGTGGGGTGCATTTTCCTGGCATGGTTTAGGTCCACTTGTAGAATCTATGCCAAGGTGCATTGAAGCTGTTCTGGCAGCTCGTGGTGGCCCAACACCCTTTTAAGACACTTTATGTTGATGTTTCCTTTATTTTGGCAAATACCTGTATGTGCTTGTGATAAAACTTAATCCACAGTCATTTTTTATAAACTATTGATCCTCTGTGGCAAAATTATGCTCTAGTGTATTTTGAACATTGAGACATTATTTATTTTCTTGCTTCTTGGGCCCCCTAAGGGCTGGGTCCCAGCCCCTGACTCACACAATTCACAAGTCACATTTATTTATTATGCATTTTTATTTTTTAGTAATTAGTTACCCAATCAAGGCAGGGCCCCTCAGTTACCCACCTGGGCCCCATACCTCCTCTCCTCCTCCCATCTGATGATTAACAGAGAGGCAGCAGCAGGCTGTCTACACTCATTGAGAGCGGGCTCCTCCTGTGGTTGACGGTTGCAGTAAAAAAAGACAAAATATATACTACATATATAATATATACTGTATATATTTCCTTTATAATATTTTTTGGTAAAACATATATATATACAGTATTATTATTATCATTAGTGTTATTATATATATATTTTTTGCTTCCCCTTTGGCCCCCACGGGCCTGGGCCCAGGGGCTTCAGCCCCGGTAAACCCCTGCGTTAATCCAGCCCTGCTTGTAGGTCCAGATTCCACAGTGTTGGTTCAGAGCACTGTACCAGAGCGTAATATAAACAATGAGACAACACACTTACCATCCACTGTGGTTTGTCACTCACAACATCAAAGAAGCCTTTGGTTTAGATTTTGTTTGGTTTCAGTGCAGGTAATTCATTGAGACTTGGCTTTAAGCACAACATTGTGTTTGATCCCTCTACCAACAGGTTCCTGAGAGATTCCTTGAGGTTGCTGAAATTACTCTCCAAGAGTTTTTCAACGCCATTTCAACTGCCAAAGATTCTGACCCCTCTTGGAAGAAGGCAATCTACAAGGTCATCTGTAAACTGGACAGTGATGTCCCAGATGAGTTCAAATCATCTACCTGCCTATAGACAGAGCAAACAAAAGCCATGCTCGAGGAAGGAAGGACATTCATTTTTGCAGTCATACAATGACAATAAGTGCTAATTTTAACACATCTTGCCAATGAATTGGATTTTAGTGAGAGAATCATGGAACAAATGTATTATGTTGTAAATGACATATTATACACTGCAGTATAGGAGCCTACTTACTGCACAAGCTTTTTACAGTCTCAGTCACCTTTATAGCACTGCTCCAGCTCTCTCCTAGGAGTTTTTTTAAGACTTAGCTGACAGCAGATCGTAGTGTGTCTGTGTGTCTCCATATGGATTCAATTAAGACAAGATGTAGTTGCATGTTTGTAGATGTACTGATATTTAATGGCAGTGTTTTAATACTGTAGGATGCTTGCTAGGTCTGGTAGACTTACAAATGTGAAGAAAATGGTACTTTCTATACATATTTGACTTATGGTTCCTAATGGACATGCGGTTTTGGATGATTGTGAGAGAAAGACATACTGTGCTAATTGTTTATTTTTATTTTGTAGCACGTGTTTTATGTAAATGTCAATACGCCACAATTATATTAGGATACTCCATAAAGTGTTTTAAGGCCAAATGTATTAACCTAATAGCATGTAAATATTGCAAATGACCACAAATAACCAATTCTATGAGAGAAAATGACATGTACAAAAAAGTACAAAGTTATGTTTAGATGTTTTGTGCCTATTTCTATAGTCTATGGCCTATTGTCAACTCAATTCCATAGACACCATATTTTGAGTGGTTATTTGATAGTCCTGTTGATAGAATAAAGCTGCACTTAATTCATCTTGAGATGTCTTGTTTTTATATCACTGATCGTAAGTCACTCTGGATGAGATTGTCTAATAAAATGACTTAAATATAAATAGATGGAAATAATCACAATTTTATTTTATTGAATTATTTCACAATTAATTTCAGGCATCACCAAACATTTAGTCAATATAATGTATATTTTTAGTACTACTGTTTGTAACACCCCATTGAAAGTATTCTGCCTAAATTCGGAGCCACTAAGGTGCCTCTAATCCATGTCATAAAGACAGCTGTTCAAAGTCCTACAAACTATGCTGCTCACATTGTTCACTGAAGTCGACTTTCTAAGGCCTGCATTCATTGTGCGGGCAGCGCGGATGCGAACAACTGCCATGTCTTAAAAACAGACACAATGCATTCCCTCCTAATGAGTAATGCCCAATGTGACCTCATATCAGAGTTGTGCCATCAAAGCAAAATTCCACAAACCCGTTGACTTTTTCTTCCAGGCACCGGCTTGCTCAAAGCGTGTTAATCACTTTACAAAAACACACACACGCTGACCCACAGATATACACACACTGTGACACCACAACTATGAATGGCGTGATTCCTCTCCCTGCTATCTGATAGAGGGCCGCCTGTGGTTAGCTCAATGGAAGCAATCATTTATTATAAATCTATCAAAAGACAATCAATACAATCAAAACACGCTGTCAAAATGCAGTATAGCTTTGACTTCTTATAAACACAAATGAATAAAAAGAAGTCAAAAGGTCTGCATACACTGTGAGAGTAGCAGCTCTTCATTAAAGTAGATTGTTTCATGTTCATGTTTTAAATCATTTTGGCACTTCACAAAACAAACATTTAATTGGAAAACCTGTTAGGCACCCAAGCACCAATTACATCTGAAATGATAACATTTAAGAAATTAAAACATTTGTTTGATTAGCTTTATGAGAAGGAGCGGATAATACAAAACCTAGGTAATCATTTAATAGACATTTCTTTTCAATTAGATCAATCTTCTTCCGTAAATTGATTTAACATTTCAACTCAATTAAAAAGCCACCGGTTGAACTAAAGTACTTTGTTCAAATTAATTTGTTGTGACATTTTCAGTACAAGACTTGGTAATGCCTGATATGATGAAAGAAAACAAAGAGAATTGTCTCAAATGTCCAACTGCCCCAGGGCTTACTGTGCTGAAGCTCCCAGTGTGAGAACATAGTAATAGGAAATATATAGGGCAGGGGAAAAGCAAGAAAATTCTAAATGAGAAAACAAAACATATAGAATTTTAGTATAATTGTAAGGTGTGTGTAATGTAAATATCCCTTCTTATTTGAACACTGTTCCCCCAAATATTAGAAAGAGATTTTTAGAGAGGAGGAACCATGCTAGCTATGCTTGTTTGTTAATTATGAGAACACCCTCTAGTCAAGAAGCAATTACGAGAAACAATTGAATGAAAAAATGCCCCCACATTTACATATTGTAAAACTGTCATGGTAGTGTCTTCATGGAGACTTGTAAAGATATGTGTATATATCTTTAAAAACAGAGAAGGCAAACAGAGGGAATATCACAGAGGGACATAGTAAAGGATCATTCAATAGAGAAACAGTGTCATCTAGTGGATCACTGAAGTAACATAGAGCGGTCTTGCCACAATTAGGGCACTGACCAAGATCTCACTTTTATTATTTGATGCATGCCCTTTGATATTTCAGTATCTACATGTGCTAGTTCATAGCATGTATACTGTGTTATTCTCCCAACATTATTTGTTTTCTTTTATCATTTAGCAATCAAACAAAACATTCTTATACAGTAACACAGTCATGTTGTAAAAGTCTCCACACAGGGGTGCCCTAATTACTGTAACACAACTGTTATGATACTGTTACAATACTGTTACAATACTGAACCTGAGCCTATCCTCCAAACTTTTTGATTTGCACAACAGATACAAATATAAATGTGACTTAAACAGTCGTCAATGTGAATGTTTCATCACCTTGAAATTATAATCTCTTTTTAAATAGTAGCAACCATTTGGATTACACAATTCAACACTGACTTACTGCCGCTAATTCTGTGCCAGGTTCCACAAGCATAAGAAAATAACCCCAGAAAAATGTTCAGGTACTGTGATGAAGTAACAACAGTTTTATATAAATGTATTGGTGTATGTGCGGTGCAACATCCTTTTGATATTACAGTAAACACATCTAGCCTCAGCTGGGTCTGGTAGACAAAGCCAAGAGCAAACACAAAAGAGCTGAACACAATAGGAGCAAAGTGGTGGCACTGGGATGGTTATTGTGCTTAATCTTCCATTTCTTACTCCAAGATATGGGCTCATTGGCACGGTCACACAGGGAGGGCGTAGGGAGCACTGGGAGGGCGTAGGGAGCACTGGGAGGGCGTAGGGAGCACAGGGAGAGCGTAGGGAGCACTGGGAGGGCGTAGGGAGCACAGGGAGGGCGTAGGGAGCACAGGGAGAGCGTAGGGAGCACAGGGAGGGAAACTTGAGAATGGAAGACGCTGACTTTAGGCTGCCCTTCAGACAGCCACTCCTTGGCATAGTTTTGTGTGATCACCGGTAAATCTTTATTAATTTTAATTGGAGCCCCCATTTAAAAGAGCAATTAACGCGGATTAATCGAGCCCATCCCGTATAATGTCTTCTGTTAATTAGTTTGTCAGCACTGTTTTAATATCATCTAATGACTTCATATTTCAGGGATGACATTAAAGAGATGCTGAAGGAAAAGAAATGGCCTTATCAGAATGCCGAGCTTTAATGGTTGATGTCCCCCGCTGCCAGGCAAGGTCAGGGCTCTGTGGCCGCTGGGGAGGGAGGGCAGCCTGCAGGGTGGCACCAGGCGCCTGCTGCCTCCAGGGACAATGCACTGCTCTCTCACTCACACTCTCCCTCACAAATGTATACAGTCCTGAGAGAACTCGACTCCACTTTGATTATCATTACAGCTGGATCAGTTACTGAGGAAAATTTACCATTCTGACAAAAGAATAGCAAACTGCTCTCTTGTTTGGTATTCTACAATGTTGACAATTGTTGTAGTAACTGCTGATATGGAAGCACATTACCCCCTACATTGTGTGAGTGATGGTGTCCTACTTGACCTCCCACCTCTCATCCTGTGAGAAAGCCTAGCAGACAATAGGGGTTGGAGGTCATGTCCTCTGCCCCACCTGTTTTAGGGTAAACAAACCAAGGCTCAGGATCAGGGAGAGAGGTTGGTACTGTAGCCCTATCTCTCTCTTCATCTGTTTATCCATCTGAGAAACCACCATATGTCAGGGTTCTCTGTTCCTCACCCCCTCTACAGCCGAGAGCCACTGCTTGTGAGTTGTGAATAATGCCTTCATGGACAATTCAATGGATTCATTATGAGGGGAATAAGTATTGGGCTCTTCTCTGTTTGTCACTATGGCCAGGATGATCACCATACATCAGTGTAAGATAACAAAACCCTAAAATGGGACATGGTAATAACAGAGGTTTAAAATGGTTATATGACGATCCACCTCAAGAAGGAAGGATATAAATTAATCGTAGACACTTTCCATTTGAAGTCATATGGCTATTTTATGTTAATTAACACATTTAACTTGGTCCCACCAGCATGTGAGCCTATCCTCACACAATAGAGACAGAGAGATTGACAGGCCGAGTGAAGTTGATAAAAAACAACACCTCAAAAAGCTCATCCAGTTTATTGCGTCTCTGGCGTGCATCCCTGCTAATTTGAGTGTGCCCTCGCACCTCCACTCTCCTCGGCAGATTCATAAATCTCATTCCCATTATCCCGCTAATTAGCCGGGATTACAGGAGCATGTAATGCCCCCGCCTCCCAATAGATGGATTGGAGGACGGTCTCTTTGTTTTGAAATCACTTCCTGATTGATGTACAGAGTCCTAGTTTGCAATTGTAATGGCCCAGATGTTAACAATCAAATGCGTTTCCGCTCCAGGAAGTAACAGTCTGTCATGGAAGAGGAGCCAGCCAGGCGTGTAACGACACATCACAGGAGTGTGGGGAAGAAGGGACCGGGAGGGGAGGAGGGGGAGTGGGGTGGGGCTAGCGCATGCCCCTGCCCATAATTGAGCGCTCTGTTCTTCCCACCATAAGTACCACATAGGCCCTTGTGTTGATTGTGCCATCAGGCTACACTGATATAGCTAACTG